TATCCGGTTGTTTAAGGTAAAATATAATTAAATTTGACCAAAAATAAAATCTTTCATTTTAATAAAATTGGACAATAATTATGAGACGGAGGGAGTAATAGATATCAAGTCTTCTCATGTCAAAGTCTAACAATAGTACTAGTATTTTCGTTTGTAATAATCTTTTAAGTTCTGGGGTTATTTGCACACGGGCGCCATTCCACTTGTCTATATTTCCAATCGCCAAAGTTCTCACTTGATTGACCAAAGAAATATTGTTTGAAATGGACTAAAAGCAGCCTTTTGATTTGCATTATTGGTTCCTATTTTAGCCACCAAGCCTTGGCAGCTTAATAATCTAATGACACAAAATTACATAAAAACGAAAACAGCCCAGGTTTTGTCTTCAAAATGACAAGAAAGGGAAAAAAATAAATATTCTCTAAGTCAATAACAAGTTCTAACTTTCTTTTCGCTTTTCACAAATAAGAAGAACAAGTTGTTAGTTGTTACTTTCGGCGAGGATATAAGTTTAATTTTTGTCAGATCTCTTCTAGTGAATGCATCAAGACAGAAATGAGGGGGTTATTCAACGGAAATTATTTATTATTAATATGTAGATTGATCTATATATATAGTTAAGAGGCTTATAGATGGACAAGTTGTGTAGTTCGAATCAAATTGCACCGTATTTTAACAATTATTTGGTCAGAAACCATCCCCAAACAGAGCCTTCACCAGAGTGCATATTATTCTCTCAAGTCTACTATGTAACTACTTAGTACTTACGGACATGTACGTATATTACAGGAAGACTTTTCGGACAGATTATTTTCCTATTAGTTATGATATGATTAATAAGTAGCCGTAGATTTATTGGTCTATTATAAAATTATGATTTTGTTTGCCGTTTTCAATCAAATGGGAGGATGTAGATATTGCCTGTCAAAATGATCAATGATGTAATTATATATACATTTATTCTTTTTATTTAATTATTACTGAACTAGTGTTAATGTGACCTAAAGTAGTGATATACCTACTACTCTATTGACTACACTTGTAAAGTTGTATATCGTGTGTGTGTTTGTGTTTTTTTTACATAAACATTTACTCCTCGAGTCTTAAAAAAATAGTCTCATTCTGAAATTAAAATTTTAAAATAAGACTTAGGAGATTTATATCATTCAAAAATTCTTATAAAACTAATAAATAGACCTTTTAACTTGGGAGACTAATTTATCCGGTTCATGGAGTTTAAGTTTCTAATTTGAATTATTTGAAAAAAATATAACTTATTCCAATAAACATTAGATTTTACAATATTGGACAATATCTTTTGAATCCTACGAGTAAACAAAAACTGGGTAAAAAGATTTAAGATCGTGACAAAACATAAACAAAAAATTCATCTAATAGGAAGGAAAAAAGAAAATAACTTCGAAAATTCAAAGTGAAAAAAAAATGAAAGGATAAAAGGTTATGAATGATTATGTAAGAAATGTTTCGATCACGACTTACATGAACTTTGTCGCATTTACTTAATTAACATCTTTTATGAGTTAGTAAAAGAGAAATTTATTGTAGAAAACTCGCATAAGTTTGAACTTTAATTAAATTTTAAATTAGTAAAAAATGATACTCTTTTTTTTTTTAATATATTTCAAGATATATCGTGGAAAACAAACAGAGCCTTCATGATGCGCGTTTAGGTGCTTCTTCTAGAACATATACTAGCAAATGCCATAAAATTTGCCAAATTTGACTATCTAGCTTGAAAAGAAAAGTAGTCTTTATGTTTTCTTGTTGTTTGGTTGATTAATGTCATATTATTAATGGAGGCAAAATTGACAAGCTGATCGAATGAAGCAAAATTTGGATTGTATATCTCCATCGTGCAAGTTATATCCGACATTATATTTCTTTTACTATTCTACGATTCTAGATCACTTCGGAACATAAATTTCAAACACCATAAATGTTATATATACTAAACGATTTTTTTTTTTAATTTCTCCTGACATTTCAAAAGTCATAAAATGTGGGAACTTGAAAGTCTTTAGCTTCCAATCCAAGAAATGCAACTACTGCTGCATGTGAAAAAATCAAAAAAGCAAAATCAAAGATATGCTGATGATTTTTCATAAGAAACAGCGTTCAGAACTTTTATTATAGAAAATGCTTTGGTTGTTAATCATACGTATAATTTTGAATTTACTTTAATGTCAATGCGGTCATATTCTTCTAAGGATCTACCACCTTCTACGCCTAGTTGACTTGTATGATTTCTATATTATTATTATTATTATTAATTTTTTTTTTTTTTTTTTATTATTATTAGTCTCTAACCTCATGAAATAAAATTAATCTCGTTGATTTCTTGTACCATAAGTTGGAGCTGATAAGGATACCAACGTTTACACATTTATGTGAAATTGTTAATGGAGGTTTGGTAATTTAGGCTCTGTACCATAAGTTGAATTCAAATTCGGACTGAATTTTAAATTTTAACATTAAAATGTATATATACATTCATAAAGTGGTATCGGGTCGCAAACTCATATATGTTCTAAAAAAGTGGACGTAAATAATCTCTATCATTTTGATATATGCTCATGAAACAAAAAAAAAAAATTATGAATTTTCTTACAATTTTAGAAAGAGTATTAATAAATTAAATAATAGCGTTATCCTTTTGTTTTTCTTTCATATCAGAACTTCCTATCAAAAAAAGAAAAAAGAAAAAGAAAAAAAAAAAGAGAATAGGGGGGTGAAATAAATGGTTTCTTCTAGAAGGTACCAGGATAAGGAGTTGATTGAAATTATTCCTTTGAAAAGTCCAACTGTCCAAGTCATCTGTCCACGGCGGCTGCTCGTCAAAGTCATACTACTACTCCCCCGAGTCCCCTATGTCCGAAACTTCAAAAAATGAGCATCCTTTTTTTTTTTTGAACCAAAAAAAGGGAAAAAAAAAAGAAAAATAAGGAAAGGCGTCTATTTTTTCCTTGGCACGTGAAAAAAACCAATCTGGCACGATTATTCTTAATTTTCATTGACGTTTTTGAATAAAAAATATTTCAACCAAAGGGCGCCCAAACACGAGCAATTCACAGATAGGGGGACAAAAAAGTGTGAAAAATTGGTTGTCAAGAATGATTAGCAAAATACTAGTTGAAACTTCGGAGATTGGTCAATTATTTTTCTCTTAAGAGATTATTGACCAAAATTAATAGCAAGTGTGTAATTAAAAAAAAATAATTAATGAAATTAGTAATAATTAGAGTGAAATATAATAATAGTAAAAAAGAAAAAGACGGAATTTTAAAGTAACACGTTCAATAATAAACTTGCGATGGTTTAGGTTTTTGTAACGTTATATCAGTTACTATCCCACACAGTGTATATTTTCACCATCTCCATTAGTTTTCATGAGTCAAAGTTTCTTTCAATTTAAAAAGTCATACTTTTAATCTTTTTTTTTACACTTTATTTATATCATATTCATGATAAATAAAAAGGGAATAAAAATAAATTAAGCTAGTTTTTTTGGAAATAGAGCTAGGTGATGAGTCCTAACAACATTAACAAGAAAGAAAAAGAAAAAATAATAAGCAAAAGATAATCAGGTTCTATCCATGTGCAAATTGCAAGTTTGCAATATACATTGACTGTTGACTGAGGTTTGAAATTGATTTAATAATTAATCATTCTGCCGCTCTCATGGTTTGACGTCTTCTGATGATTTTTGACATTTGACGATTAAGGTTGTCACGTACCTACGAATGACGCACCCCCATACAAATTCATATCAATAATTCCCATTACGCGCGTCTTAAACAATACTCTCATACTGTTCTAAAATTAAGATAAAAAAAAACATTTATGTTTATTAGAGTAAAACCGTATAATAAAAACTATCCTTATCTGTAACTAAAACATTCACAAAGTTTTTAAGAATAAGAAAATTACTGTATAAACTTGCTTTGAATGTTAGTTATTTATATGCAAAAAAGTATTATAGTAAAATATAAATTAGCATTTATAAAGTGCGTTTCACTCACATTTAAATGAATTAAATGGGTTCACTGAAGTGAATTTTTTTAAAAGAAAAAAAATAAAAAAGAGTCTGCTTCGCGAACATAAAGGGGAAAAAAAAATTATTGGTGAAAGGTTGGAGGATAAATTCTCTACACTTACCTCCTATTGTCCCCAATATTATAAAGTTTTTCTCTTATTTGGCGACATGTTTTAAAGAATTGGGGCATAAGAGAATTTTCTAAAATTGAAACAAACAAAATGAATTCACAACATTTGTGATACAAACATGTTATAAAGATTTCGACACAGTTATTAATCAATTCAAAATACATATAAAAAAAATATTTCTATGCAACTTTTACATCTACATTTTGTGTGTAACAAATCAACAAGAATGAATATAATTTTCGTGATTTCTTAATTTTCTCTCTCATTTTATATGTCTCATTGTGCATCGGTTGCACTCAAGAAATTCTCAATTATGAGTCTCGAGCTAGATTTGTTGTAACGCCATAAATCACTATGGAAGAGTTATAACATATAGTTAATGTAATTTGAAGAAACCATCGAAAGTAAATGTCAAAGATTACACATTATAAGTTTATTAGGAGAGGGAAAAAACAGAAAAGAGAAAAACCGACAACAAAAATGTCAAAAAGTGGCCAGTAATTAAGAAGAAAATTCAAGATACATAATAATATAAAAAAGATAAAAACAGACAGAAGACATACAATGAAAATAAAAAAAGTAGCAAACGCGTGAGAAGACGTTGATTTTTACAACTTTTTTTTTTTTTTTTTTGTCCTCTTGGAAATTGATTTATAGTTATCTCATTCCTTTCGTTTATTAGTCGCCGGTCAAACTGAGAAAACTGGAGTAAAATTTATAAATGTTGTTGTTGAAAAAAATAAAATTACAGAAACACCACCAAACTGTTACACAGATACGGCTACATTAAATTAAATAAAACGAATTAAATTCACCCCCATTTAATTATTTGTTTAAAAAAAAAAGAAAAAATGAACTGAGATAAATCTTAGTACTAACAAACAAAAGGAAACAAAATCCAATAAAATACGCGTCAAGGTTTTTTCTCCTCTTCTCTTAAATAACGTTCTACATAAGACCTCCCGAAGTCCAACCACGTTCCCCTCGCTGGTTTTCTGCCACCTCTTCTTTCCGTTTCCAGTTCCCAATTTTTTAGAGAGAGACACACACACAATAAACCAATTTTTCCCTTCTTTTTTCAAATAGTTTTTGGCCCCCAAAATACAAAAACCACTTCAAAACCCAATTGTCGATTCCTCCAGATAAGCATTCTCTTGCATAACATCTTCAATTTTCTAGGATCAGAGGATAAACACAAAAAAAGATTGTTTCTTGGTGGAAGCAATAATTTGAAATAATAAGAAAAAAAAAATTAGACAATGGTAGACAACATGCAGAGGTTCCGGCACGGCGGTGGCCTTAATGAGATCTTAAAAGGGTAGCGGCGGCTGGTGGTTTGACCTCAAATATCATCTTTGGAGGATTACTCTGTTTTATAAATTTGTTTTTTTCTTTTGGGGTGTTTTTTGGAAGATGGGTTCTAGCCCAATTATGGTACAGGGTGCTGCCGGCGGCGGGGGCGGCGCCGGCGGGTGGTGGTGCAAATTGCAGCGATCTCATCACAACAACAACGGCAGCAGCAAGCACATTAATAATAGCAGTAGTAATTTGCTTAATAGTGGTAATAATGGTGGTAATAACGAGTCCTGTGTTGTGTCATGGAGTTTTGGGTATTTTTTGACCGCATTTCTGATGCTGGGTTGGATTGGGAGTCTCTACGGGAGGTTGGTGTTGACTCCGGACGTCCGGTCAACTCTTTCCGCCGTGGGTTGCCTGGAAGACGGTGAGGGCTCTTGGTCCATCGGTGTTTTCTATGGCGACTCTCCTTTTTCTCTTAAACCCATTGAAGATGTAAGCTTTTCTTTATTATTTTTCTCCCCCACTCTCTTTCTTTCTTTCTTCTGAACACATTTGCTAGAATCATCACTGCTCTTTCTTCTTTTGAGTGGGGTTTTCCTGTTCTGAGTTTTGTGGGCCCTGGCTAATTCTTTGAATTGCTTTCAAGTTCTATGCAAGGTGGTCACTACTGTCTTTTTGCTCCCCTCCTTTGATAAAAATTCCTACTTATTTACATTTTTATGCACTGATTCATCTTGTCTTTTTTTTTTTTTTTGTTTGGATGTAATTTTGGAGGTGTATATATTTTTTTAGGTTCCGTGAGCTGTAAAAATCAGCCTGTTAAAGTTGCTAGATAGTGACTGGTAAAAAATTGCAAAGATTCTATGCAAGTATGCATTTTTGGCTTGATATTTCTTTATGAAGAATAATAACTTCTGGTTGGAGGGATGATTGAAATGTTTTTTTTTTTTTCTTTTTTCTTTTTTCCCAAATATTGTTTCTTTTCCTCATGCTGATGTGTAAATTTTGATTGCAGATGAATATATGGAAGGATCAAAGTGCAGCATGGCCTGTAGCAAATCCCGTGGTTACCTGTGCTTCAGCTTCAGGGTCTGGTTTCCCCAGTAATTTTGTGGCTGATCCTTTTCTTTATATTCAGGTGAGCAATTTCACAATCCTCTACTTTTAACTTGATTTGTCCTTGCAAGAAATTTGCTTTTCCTATTGTTGCTTGACTTTTGAGTAAGTTGGTGCACTTGGGCTGTTGATGAATAGTACTGACCATAAGCTGTTTGGACTTAGGATAGAGTTTTGCTGACCTATCCTGTAGAGTTATCTCTAACTGTTCATCTGATGGATCGGGATTTTCAACCCCAGTTTGAGCTGCTTAATCATTGTTTTTGAAATTATTGCTTTATCATATAGTAAACTATTCCCCTTCATTGCTTGATGGGGTCGAGGGATCTTTCAATGAATGCAACCCAGTTGTTGGAGAACTTTTTTGATTAGAGTGAGTGGATTGAGAGAGCTTTCTGATTGGGGGATTAGGAGAAGATATATTCTTATTAATTTTTATGAGTAAAGTTTTTGCTTTTTATCCGTGTCTTTCTTTTTTGGCTTTCAAAAGGCTTGCAGGGGGCATAAACATTTTTTTTTGGGGGGTGGGGGCTATTCCCAGTAAATTTTTTAACTACTTCTTTTTGATCCTCGAGAGAATGTAAAACCTTGGTGAAATCGCTGGTTAGAGAAGGCGGGGACCAGTTAACTCATCCCATGGATATTATAGGTTTTCGCAAAGTTGATTTAAGGTTTCTACTAAGAAGAAATGTCGTTGTTATAGTAATGACAATTTAGTGGTATTAGTATACAAGGTGGTTGAAAAGTGCCCAGCTGTTGTTTAACCAAAGGATAACGTAAAGGATTTTGGATTTCAAAATAATTTAATAAAACTACAGGTTTGGTCCCTGATAAAGTAGATAACAAAACCTGAAGATGGTGCTGGAAATTATATTAGATTATATAAGATATAAAAACATGGTGATCAATAATTACGATGGTAGTATTAGATGATTGTAGTCTTGCTCTTGCTTATCTGAGAGCTTTACTATTTTGGTTTAGATAGAGAGATTTCTGACATATTCTACTGGTAAAACTTGTATCATCTGTTCTGTAATGAAAGGCATAGTAAGGATCATGGTGCTGTTACAGTGTAAAATGATCGGTAGTTTGAATTAAAGTGGGCGATTTTTAGGATAAAGCATGGAACTAAACAGAGTCTTTTTTGTGAAATTTTTAATCTACGTGATCTATTTCATCAGCTAAAGCAGTTATCGTCCCTATCTTCTTTTCTTTGTGTGGGATTCCAGTTTCAATTTTTAAATGTCCTTTACTTTCTGACCAAAAATTAATCAAGTCTTTATTGGATTCCTCATGTCTACTCCAAGAATGAATAGAAATTCTTTACCCAACAGGGTGGTAACCTGAATTTGTTAGCGATCAAGTAGAATATCACGTAGCCATTAGTGTCTGATATCTGACTTTTTTAAGCTGCCTAATTTCAAATCAAGATAATATGTGCTTGTATTTTAAGTTTAAATGAATATATTCAGATTTACCTGTCTTGTCACCTTTTGCTTGGTTGAGAATTTTCCAGAGAATGTTACCCGAATGTACCTTAATATGATGATTTCATTTTATTCCCTTTTTCTCTTCATACTTAGCTTCTGAGAATAACCTTTTTCTTGCATCTTTTTAATTAGTTGCCGTCCGCATTGTGCTCTGATGATTTGGTATTTAGAGATTGGTCTGTCATTGGCTATGCAAAGTTGGTTTTAGAATCTGTCAAAAATTATTGCAGGGTTGCTTCTAATATTCCCAAAAGTAGAAAAAATTCACTGGTCAGAAGAAAAGTTAGGATAGTGTGAGGTTAGATATAAATTCCTTTATTCTTTTACAGAATTGATTCCAGTGCTTCTGTTTCCCATCCTAAAACACCACCCACTTTTCATTATTTCTTTTCCTCGTAATGGTCAAAATTGATTTAAAGTTGCATGGCTTCATTCCCTGAATTATGTGAGCAGAGGATTACATTGCAACAAGAGAGTTATGAACAACAATTTCTTTAAGAAAGTACCCCGCCCTCCTTAGTTCTTCTGAGCGAGGTTAATTCAATATTCATGTTCCTTAGCTCTTTTGCTAACGACTAGCATCACCTTGCTTTTCTTTTGAGTTTTGAGTAATTGGAGTAGGGAAGATATTTACTTCGTAAATGAAGTAAGACCAAAAGACTCAATGCGGAAAAAATTTGGAAACTGGAATTCAAAAAAAGGGGACGACGAATTAGAGGTTGTTAGGGTTTATATAACCATTTAGTAAGAGTTCGAAAATTAACAGCGCCCTTTTCTTTTTTAAGTAAAACTTTTATTGTTTATGTTTATGTCTATGTCTTACACTTACTACTGCCATGCAGTAATTGGTGGCAGAACCTTTACAAATTTGAAATTTGATTGATTCTAGGGGGATGTACTATACTTGTTCTTTGAAACAAAGAACTCTATCACTATGCAAGGCGACATTGGAGTTGCCAAAAGTGTTGATAATGGAGCCACCTGGCAACAATTGGGCATTGCTTTGGATGAAGATTGGCATCTCTCCTATCCTTATGTCTTTGATTACGATGGCAATGTAAGGCCTCTATTTTTTTGTTGCAATCTTTAAAAACCGTGCATTTGCGACAAGCATACAACCTTGTATCTTGTTTGTATGAACAATTAGATGGGAGTGAGGAGGAGTTTTGAGAAAATCTTCTCATGCTCAGGTCTTTATTTTGTATCTGCATTCTTATATTTGGCTCCTTCCATATTTTTTTTGCACTGGATTATTTATGGTTATTGATTGTCTGCTGTATATTTTTTTCAAACAGATATATATGATGCCTGAGGGAAGCGCCAAAGGGGATCTTAGACTTTTTAAAGCAGTGAACTTCCCAACAAAATGGACATTGGAGAAAATTTTATTGAAAAAACCTCTTGTTGACTCTTTTGTAATTCCCTATGGAGGGAAGTTTTGGCTTTTTGGTTCAGATCATAGTGGTATTGGGACCGAGAAGAATGGGCAGCTAGAGATTTGGTATAGTACTTCTCCCCTGGGACCTTGGAGACCTCACAAGAAGAATCCGATATATAACACAGACAAGAGCATGGGAGCTCGAAATGGAGGCAGGCCATTTGTATACGAGGGAAATCTTTATCGGGTTGGTCAAGACTGTGGTGAGACATATGGGAGGCGAATACGGGTCTTCAAGGTAGAAATTCTTACTAGGGATGAATTCAAAGAAGTGGAAGTCTCTTTGGGCACTCAAGAACCAACTAAGGGACGGAATGCCTGGAATGGTGCCCGCAATCATCACCTTGATGTGCAGCAGCTGAGCTCTGGACAGTGGGTAGGTGTGCTGGATGGGGACAGAGTGCCGTCCGGGGATACAAATCGCAGGTTTATTCTTGGATGCGCTTCAGTCTTCGCAGTTGCTGCTCTTGTTATACTGGTGGGTTTGCTAGTTGGGGCTGTGAATAGTATAGTTCCCTTAAGTTGGTGCCCCCACAATATGGGTAAAAGAAGTGACGCTCTCTTGTCTTGGGAGAAACCAAACTTGCTATCCTCCAAGCTGAGACTGTTCTGCAGCCGTTTGAACAGAGCAAGCTCATTCCTCCGTGCCAAAATAAATGTAAATACATTTACTGGGAGGTTGGTTATAGTTTTGACAATCTTGGCATCAATGGTCCTAGTGTGCCTCGGGGTTGGATACATTTATGGAGGCAGTGGTGCGCAGGAGCCTTATCCATTGAACGACCAGTACTCGCAGTTTACAATGCTGACAATGACCTATGATGCACGTCTTTGGAATCTGAAAATGTATGTGAAACATTACTCTAGGTGTTCGTCAGTGCGCGAGATTGTTGTTGTCTGGAACAAAGGAAAACTTCCAGATTTGAGTGAATTCGACTCGGCAGTTCCTGTGAGGATAAGGCAAGAGGAAAAGAACTCGTTGAACAATCGTTTCAGGATTGATCCAAAGATAAGAACTCGAGCTGTCCTTGAGCTTGACGATGATATTATGATGACTTGTGATGATGTAGAACGGGGGTTCAAGGTGTGGCGTGATCATCCTGATAGGATCGTGGGGTTCTATCCCCGGCTGGTTAATGGTAAAACCCTTAAGTATAGAGCTGAAAGACACGCCCGCAGGCACAATGGCTACAATATGATCTTGACTGGTGCAGCTTTCATTGACAGCCAGGTGGCATTCAAGAGGTATTGGAGCAAGGAAGCACAGGCGGGAAGAGAAGTGGTTGATGAGTTGTTTAACTGTGAGGATGTCCTGCTGAACTATTTATATGCTAACTCAACCTCTTCCAAAACCGTTGAGTATGTAAAACCGGCATGGGCTATTGATACCTCGAAGTTTTCTAGTGTAGCAATAAGTCGGAATACCCAAGCCCATTACAAAGTCAGAAGCATTTGCCTAGAGAAATTTGCTCAAATGTATGGCAGTTTGACAGACCGAAAGTCTGAATTTGGCCGGCGGAAGGATGGCTGGGATGTATAGTAGTAACAGATGTAGTCTAATTTTTATTTCATTCATTTAACCGTCATCACCTTGTAAAATTGATGTGTGTAGTCGTATGAATTCTGCTTCTGAGGTTGTAGGGGATCTAGGTTGATCAAATAGATCTGGGAATCAATTGTACATTTGGTGGTTGAACATGTGTTCTTTTTGGTGGGTTTTTCTTTGCAGAAATACTGGAATAGAGCAGGTGAAGAGGAATCTGGTTTTAGGTTGTAGGTCCTTTTTTTTTTTTTTTTTTTGCGGGGGGTTGTTTTCTAATGTAGTGTTGTGGCATGGGACTGCTTAGTTTGCCCTGCCATGTATGCTGAAAGATGTGATTGCGGAGACCTTGGATCGGTTTTCTGCTAATGTACATGTAAAGTGCAGAGTGATGGCAAGTTACTGCCTTTTCCAAAATGAAAATGCCTTTCTAACAAAAATGATCAATGTTTGGTTTGCAAGCTTTCCATTTCATTTGCAGCACCTAAGCTATGACATGTTTATATTCTTGCAAGTTCAATATTCTCCAGTTATGGTTACATGGTTACTCTTCCTTTTCTAACAGCCTCAATCAAAGTAGCCTTGGTGGGTCTGGTAAAAATATCTAAGACCAACTCAAAGTTGAATGCTATCAGAAGCAGCATTGAGTTAGACCTGATAAGAAGGTTTCATTGGGGGAAAGAAAAAAATAAAAAATTTCTTTATATTTGAACGGTTGTTATTGTCATGTCATTTGGCCATGATGTAAGTTGCAGAGACAGAGAAGTGATTGAGGGTGAAAGACTTAGCCACCCCATACCATGTCAACTAAAAGCCAGCTAGCTTAGCTAGCTTTGGATGTGATGCCCCATTGTAAACTGACTTCATTGCATAACTAGATTTCATGTCATGCTGAACATCCTGTCCACGTCTTAGATTGGGAGTCTTGATCGTATCCATTGAAGAATTATTTATGCTGTTTTGGATTAGGATTCTGGATCAGACCAAATTCTGTTGGGTCTTCAAGTTGTGTACACGAGTGTGTCTTCATCCTATGTCGATGAAAAAACTAGTCCACTTTGTTGAACTATTAATATAACAATAATGATAATTATTTTAGAACGGATGAAATATCACTTACATTGAAGGGTGAAATTAATCCGTTAATGGCTTGTTTTCCTCTCCGAGTTCCACTAATCCAATATTAGGTCGATCAAAAAAAATCATGTAGCCTTTTCCAACAAATTTGTCCATGTGGACTCTGTCGTCATTTCTGGCGAAAAGGTCCGCCCCAATCCATCCTCGATTTTCTAATGTGATAGCTAGTAACCGATGAATAGAGAGAGGTGTCAATCTTTGAGTTTTCAAGAACTCTACTCTGGTCTTTTACCAAAAGTTGAGAGAAATGTAAATTCCATTTCCTCATTAATAAGACAATTAGGAAAAGAAGCAAAATAATTGTTGGAAAGATTACCTAAAATTAACAAAAGCGAAACAAACAAAAGAAAGGGGAAAAAGTTAAGAAAGGATAAAAGCACAACTAAGAAGTATTGGAATGGTTAACTATAATCAGGTTCGAATCTTAACACAAGTATATAGTCGTGATTAAATCGGATACCAAATACGTAATATATATCAAAAGAGAAGAAAAGGAAAAAGCAAAGCTCAAAGTTCCAAACAACCCTTTGAATTTTTACAGTCAAGATGTTTTACAAAATGCAAACAAAATGCATGGCAATGTGGCAATGGTGGCAGAATGTCAGTGAAGCCATTTGTATTGAAGGGCCTTCCCCAATCATAGGCAGCAACCATCATACATCATCCTTCATCCCTCCTTTTTAGGACCCCCTATTCCAAAATTTTTACATGTATCACAAGCATTTTCTTTTTTTTTTTTTTTGTGCAGAATTTAGAAAAAAGGAAAAGAGAAAATAAACCCCTTTAATCAAAGTAATCAAAAGGGAAGATAGTGGTTTACAGGAGCCCAAGAAAGCAGAAGAAAATTTAAGAAAAAAATAAAAATAAAGCAGAAGCCAAAAAAAGAAAGAAAGAGGACATTGCATCAGAAAATATGCTAGGGAATGATGCACATCATTTCATTCCCATGTGCTTCTTCAATCCCCATATCAATCTTTCATCATCCAATTCAATTCAGTCATCCATTCTTATTTCTTAGCTTGTAGCTTTTCTAGGGTTTTGATGAAACAAATAAAGCTCTTGCCTTTTTCGCGGATATACACACCACCAGATTTTTCCCATGATGTATATTTGTTGTATTTCAATGAGGACTCATTTGCTTTTGGTTACCTTTGACATTGGGTTGGCTTTTTCAGATAGCTGTCTCTCATAGCCTCTGAGAGAATCAAATTTTTTTTTTTTTTTTTTTTTTGGGGAAGAGAATCTGATCTGACGTCTGATGGGTTCTGCTTGATTCTTCTGCAAATTCAAACAGTCTTACTTCACCTTTCATTGGAAGCTGTGAAATAATCTCTCTCTTGTTCCAAGATTACATTTTGTTTGTTTCCCCTGTTTTAAAAGGGCGGATAAGCCATTTTTTTTTGTAGAGGGACTAAAGAAAGAGGAATTTGTTTTGAAATGGAGACGTAGAGGGGTATGAATTTGGCAAAAAAATACGCGTTCATGCTTGAAGGGCCGGTGGAATTGAAGGGTTGTTTCTGAAAGAAATGTTGGCATTGGTGGGGAGTGAAGGAGCTAATACGATGGAGCAGGAATTTGATTCAAAACTTAGGATTCAGAACAGTGCACCTAATCCTACCACTCAGAGATCTAAGAGCTTCGCGTTCAGAGCACCCCAGGAAAATTTCAGCATTCAAGATTTTGAATTGGGAAAGATCTATGGCGTTGGTTCTTATTCCAAGGTCCCTTTCTTTTTGCCCCCACTTCCAGAATTGATGTTTTTGCCTTTCCTCTTTCCCTGGTTTAAACTGTTTCATTCTGTTATCTCTTCTGTTTGTACAAGTTGATTGCTTTTGGGGGTTTTTTTTTTTTTTAATTTTTTTAAATGTTGAAATTGGCTGTCTTGATGGTTGCCGTCCCTCTTTTCTTCTCAAATTTTTTATGCATTTGTTATCTGAATTTGTAGCTGGGGCCATCTGTGTGGAAATTTTTTGTTGTTTGCGTTTTGCTTCAACAAGTTAGGCCCAGGAAGAGAAATTTGAACCCTGAACATGTATTCATTCTCTTTTCTTCTTGTTTCATCAAATTTAACACATTTGTTCATTCATGTTCGGGTTGTTTATTTGAAAATAAATGAAGTTTTATTACTCTTTCTACAAAGCTCTAGCTCAGCGCTTCTTCCCTATTCACATGGCTAACTTGAGGTGCTGAGCTTAGCCATGTCCAACTATCACTTTCCAGCATTACATTGATGCGTAAAACTGTCCTAATTTGAACCGTGAACAAAACAGTAAGTTATTAGCAATAGAGGTTTTAGTCAACTATCGGAGAGGATGACCTAATCGGAAGACTCGTACATTCCCGACATGCATCCAGGGCATTCCGATGTTAATTGTGGTAGAGGTCTAATTGGGAGAAAGGGCTTTGTTCGTATCACTTGTAATTGTTCTTCTTAGTAAAAAGATTACATGATTCGAAAGCTGCTGGAAATTTTTCAGAACTTATGATGGATAATCAAATCACGGTATTCCATAACACGTAGGTTCAGTGGCAATTTTCTTCATGAGAAGAAAGTCAAGTTTTTGAACTTTTGTTGTCATGTTTCTGCATATCTGTTGCTTCAACAGGAGAAAACCATAAAGCAGGAGCTACCTAATCATAAGTTCAGTTTAGCCTAAAATAAAGTTTTTCCCATAGAAATTTGTTTCTTCATTAAAAGAGTCTTTCTTGTTCGCTTAATTGATTTGTCTTGTGGCCTACCTTCAATTTATCTATTACTTGCCTGCATGGGAGGCTCAATTGATACTTAAATGTTCTTGGAAGGATAAATCCTGTTCTCTTTCTTCTTCTTCTTCTTTTTCTTTCTCTTTTTTTTGTTTCACTTTTTAAAATTTTAAAATCCTGTTGTTATCTCGTTTCTTTAAACTTGGTTTTTTTTTTTTTTAAATTTTTTTTTAAAAATTTCCCCTCTTTTGGATTACCACCAGTGAGGTGCGGACCTTTGAATTATTAGACGTTCTTCTAGAGTTTGAATTGTATCAGTTGCACTTACTAGTTTGTTGTCCACAAAGATTCCTTGTTGAAATTTCTTTTGCCTGTCTGCAAACACAGTCTGCTTCTTTATGACAATATTCATGTTTATATGGGACATTTTTATTCTTATGCAGTTTTTTGTGTCTAATGGCTGATACAAACAGGTTGTAAGAGCAAGGAAGAAAGACACAGGAAATGTATATGCCTTGAAGATCATGGACAAAAAGTTCATTACCAAGGAAAATAAAACAGCTTATGTGAAATTGGAACGCATTGTCCTTGATCAGTTAGATCACCCTGGAGTGGTGCGGTTGTATTTTACATTTCAGGATACTTATTCATTATGTGAGTCCTATTGCAGCTTGCTTCTTCTTTCTTTTTTTTTTTATTTTTATTTTTATTATTATTATTTTTTAAAACGGTGTTACTTGTAACATGTTTGTATTTTATTGCATCATGAAGACATGGCCCTTGAGTCCTGTGAAGGTGGAGAACTTTTTGACCAAATCACAAGGGTGAGTAATTTTCGGAATCCTTCATAAGATACTAACTTTGATTGTGGTTAAAAAATTTAAATGCTTTTTGGAAATGTTGATAGAATGCTTGCATGGAATTTACGATTGACCTTCTTTTCTTGGGTACAGATTACGATTAACCTTTAAATTGAGTATTACATATCCTTTGTATTTAAAAGTCTTGATTATGCCAATTTGACATATTTAATAGTGCTTGATACCCGAGGATCTTGGTTTATATGTGTCCGTTCTTAATACACCACGGAAATTTCTTGCTGTTGCTAGTTTGTTATATATTTCCTGAACATGTTATTTTGCCTGCTTTACATTGCACACTTCTGATGCACATTGGTCTTTGTTTACACAGAAAGGTCGCCTGTCACAAGATGAGGCCCGTTTCTATGCTGCTGAAGTTGTAGATGCGCTTGAGTACATACATGGCATGGGATTGATACATCGGGATATCAAGGTAACTTTGATCATGTATATATTCTATTAGGTTTCTAGAGATCCTAATGCTTATGTTGGATGGCAGCCGGAGAACCTGCTACTTACTTCTGATGGACATATCAAGATTGCTGATTTTGGAAGCGTTAAGCCTATGGAGGATAGCCGAATTACTGTTCTTCCGAATGCTGCTTCTGGTTAGTCTTTCTTAATTTGTCATATATGATAGCTAGTGTGTCATTCTTTTGAATGAAGACTGGATAGAACTTGTTTCTTTCCTGAACACCTGACTGTTATGTCAGTAATAGTTATCTCTTGCCCTCTGCAGATGACAAAGCTTGTACCTTTGTGGGGACTGCTGCTTATGTCCCCCCAGAAGTTTTAAATTCTTCTCCTGCAACCTTCGGGTAAGGTACCCTTTGCTTGGAAGACCTCTACCTTCCATTTTTTTTTAATAGATGAATGTAGTGCGTAATTCATTTTTTGTAGACTGTAGTGTTGATGTGATGTATCCTTCCTTCATTTAGAATATATTAACACTTTTGAGAACTTTAATACATATGTCAACTTGGACCTTGTTACTCTAGCCTGTTGTATCTGTTTCAGCTTCTGAAAATTTATTTGCTTTTGTTCTTTATTTAACCAGAAATGACCTCTGGGCACTTGGCTGCACGATTTACCAAATGCTTGCGGGCACTTCTCCTTTTAAAGATGCGAGCGAATGGCTTATTTTCCAAAGAATAATCGCTAGGGATATCCGCTTTCGAATTATTTTTCTGAAGAGGCTAGAGATCTTATTGATCGATTGCTGGTAAGCTGTAAAGTTTTTTTTTTTTTTTTTTGTGAACTAGCTATTTGTCATTTCTGTTGTCTGAATGAACATCTTTTTCTTCTTCTTTTTTCTTTTTTTTGGGGGGGGGGGACAAGATATCCTTAGCCACATTCATAATAAGGCAATCTTTGTAAAATTAGAAAGCCATCTTGCAGGTTGTAGTTATGAAACCTCAAATTATGTTATTGGTTCCTAATCTCCCACTATATTATACTAAACAATTTGTAAGGCAAGTGATTGGATTACCGCTTTTGTTCCTTAGAGTTCTTTTATGATACCACAATAGACATAATATTGTTGCTTGAAATTGTGAACCAGTTTGAACTTTGAACTTTTTAGTCTGATAGACATATCTGATTTTAAGAGTCTATGGACGTCTACAAGATGGAATGTTACTGGAAGGGTCCTTGTTTTACCTGCTCGAAGAATCTGTTGATTACCGTTGGTGGAATACCTCAGCATCACCTGATTGGCTTTTGCGTAGCCTAAAACATATTAGTGAGAAAAGTGAAGAAATGAGTTACAAGAAAATTTATGTGCATTGAAGCACATAAATTTATGTGCATTGAAGCACGTTTATGTGCTTCTTTTGGTGCAAATTTATGTGCATTGAAGCACGTTCTGTCATTTTAACAGGACCTTGACCCAGGTCGCAGACCAGGTGCTGGACCTAATGGCTACTCTTTGCTCAAAAGGCATCCTTTCTTTGAGGGGGTGGATTGGAAAAATTTGAGGTCCCAAACGCCGCCGAGACTTGCTATGGAGTCTAAAGTATGCCCTTATATAAGTTTCTGTTTAAAAGAACTACTTTTGGCTTTGCAGTTTTCATAGCATTAATGATAAGAATTTTCCTCCTTTTACTGTTATTGTAATTTCAGGGTCCTCCGAATGGGCCTGATGCTCAAGAACCTGCATGGAATCCATCCCATGTTGGCGATAGTTCAGCTAGGACAAATGATGGAAACGGTGCTGCTACTTCCTCTTCTGAAGCTGGTAGCATAACTAGACTTGCTTCAATTGACTCTTTTGACTCAAAGTGGTGAGTTCTTTTATCTGTGGAAGTGATTTTGTCTTTGTTCGAGTTGTTTTTTATCATTATGCTCATGCTGTAGTCTGTTAACAGGCAACAGTTTTTGGAGCCCGGTGAATCTGTTCTTATGATCTCTATGGTCAAGAAACTGCAGAAATTAACAAACAAAAAAGTACAGCTTATTCTCACCAACAAACCAAAGTTAATCTATGTAGACCCTGCAAAACTGGTGGTCAAGGGGAACATAATATGGTCTGATAATCCCAATGATCTCAGTATTCAAGTCACCAGCCCTTCACATTTTAAGATTTGCACTGTAAGTTGAGCTTTCATGCCTTTAACACAATCATGCTCAAAGTGTATGTTTCCAGAGTTACGTGTATTTATTCCTTGATTTTTTAATTATGCAGCCGAAGAAAGTAATGTCCTTTGAGGATGCGAAACAAAGAGCATCACAATGGAAAAAGGCCATCGAAGCTCTTCAAAACCGGTGAATTCTGTCAATTTTGACAACATATTTTTTGGATGTAATGAATTTGTAGAGAAACACTGGAGATCTGAGAAGGAAAAGCTCAGGATGCTCCCGAGGAAAATTATCAAAGTTTACGATCTGTATCTTCTTTGTTAGCAAATAGTTTTAACACTGTAAGTTGGTCCTGTGAAAGATCTAACTTAAAGTTCCTCTTATGGTGCATAGGCTTCTGGTGGTGCATCATGAAGAGTTCTTTGACCAATTGCATTTTGTCTTATTAGTGATTCATTAAGTTTGTAAATGTATCCAATTTTTGTTGGTAATCCTGAAAGGTCATTTGAAACAGTTAATGGTTGGTTGGACTGCTCTACTTGGACATCGTATGGTTTCCTTCCGATTCGGATTAATTTTTTCCTTTTACCTCTTTAGTGGATTGATGTCTTTCAAATTTTTTTGAGTAGCATAAAGTACACTAATATTTGCAGATGTATAATACTTCTACATCATATAAATGGTAGTCACAATACGTTCAAAACTATTTTGGAAAACACAGAATTCCTTTGCTTGATTGTGAATACAATGAGTGAGGGAGAACCGTAACAGTCTTCATCCTTGAGAAGTTGTAAACCCAACCATTCCCTCGTTGTTGGTGTTAAATTGTTTATGGACTACCAAAGTTCAAAACTTTGTGCTGTATGAAATGATGTTCATTGTGTTGTATTTTCTGTGATTTATAATATTCCAGTCTCCCATTTTTTCCTATTTTTTAGTTCTTTTTGGCACCATTTATTTAGGGGTTTATGGTTGTTGTAAGTTGCACGGAAAGTTGTTTTAAAAATGCAGGGGCTGTTGAGTGTTGACCAATGGCAATCCTAGAATCTCTAGTATCCAAAAAAGTATTCTGCAGTATCAAACCCGTACCAATCATGAATCATGTGTAAATTACTATATGGAGTTTGTGTGGAAATGGGGAAACTTCCTCTCTGAAAAATGTATTCCTTGACAGCTATTTAAGTATTTGCATTGGAATTAAGGGGAGTTCGCAAGATCGACGCCATGGCTGTAAAACGAGTGAAATGGCTGTTACTAGTGTTGTTAATTTTGATCTGCTTTCTCTCCTGTACTTCAGCCATTTCGTCTTCAGGAAGAAGAAAAGCTTTGATCAGGAAAATCAACCACAGAGGGCCTTATCTGGGGCTTATTACAGTATATACCCCTGAAGAAGATGCCTTTTTTGCTGCCGGTGCTTTCCAGCCTAGCCGAAAACATCCTTATGTAGACTTGTCAGGTTTGATGTTTCATCTGGATGATCTTTAAGAACTTTTTTAAGCAATGAATCTTTTTATGATGTTTAAAGTTCATTATTTACTGCAGGCCGGCGTTTTCGAATAGGAAGGATAGGTCAAACAAAAGTCATTTATGTCAGATGTGGTGTGGGAATGGTGAGCTTCAGCCTTTCGTGTTCCTTTTCCAATTGGGTCAATGCAACAGCTAACTCTCTTCTTAATCTCTTCCGCTTCTGATGTGAAAGGATCTGAGCCGGAATTGGAGTTCTGATTGACCATTTTTTGAAGCATTTTATAGAATAGAAGGCTTTCAGGTTGTGTTCTTTTTTCAACTATGATATTCTGATTCCCTCAGGTGAATGCTGCAATGGCAACACAACAAATGTTGGATGTCTTTGACATGATTGGAGTGGTACACTTTGGGATTGCAGGCAATGCCAATAGCTCCATGTCTATAGGAGATGTCGTCGTGCTCAAGCAAGTTGCTCAGACAGCTTTATGGGACTGGCTGGTAATGATGTAGCTGTTTGGTCAAATTCTTACATGAACACACACATACATACATAGGAATTCAGTTTGCCAATTATTCACATGTACATTAATCTTTTGTTAGAAATCCAACGCAACTATACCAGCAGATGATGTCGCTGCATTGAGCTTCAGAAGCTACAACGTGCCTCTTGGAGGTGACAATGAATTGGGGCGCATTGGTTATATGACCGAGTCCTTCTATTCAGAATCAGGAGAGCCTAACAATGCCAAACATACAATTTGGTTTGAGACTAGTAAAGAATGGCTTGAAATTGCTTCCAAACTGGAGGTGTGCGATTTGCGCTTTATGGTTTGATCAGTATTGCCTCCCCAGCGAAATATCAAACCATTTCACAAACTCTCTTTCTGAACCTCTTCTTTTGTGCATACAAACTGTAGGGAATGGAGCTACAGCGGTGTATCAACGCGAGCTTTTGCCTTCCAGAAATGCCCAAATTAGTAATTGGACTAAATGGAACAACCTCCAACTCGTTTGTTGATAATGCAGCTTACAATTCATCTTCTCAACTTTTCATGTTTCGTCTATTGACATGGAGAGTGGAGCAGTAGTCATGGTACCACAGTACTTTCAGTGTTTCCCTCTTACATTATTATAACCCGAAATTACAAGGATACATAATACTAATTCTTTCCATTTGGCCACCTTGCAGACATGCTTGTCGAATGGATTCGATGTTAAGGTTATCCGAGGACTGTCTGATTTAGCAGGAGCTCAACATGGAGACAATCACATCCAGGTGTTCGGATCTCTTGCCGCATCAAATGCTGCCAAAACTGTGGTTGAGTTTGTGAACACATTTGGAAGACAACATTTCCCCGTGACCATGTCTAGGAAGCTGCTTGTTGGATGACTTGGATCAAGCAATTCCGGAGTCAATGAACTCTACTGTGCTCATAATTTGGTTGGAAAGAAGGAAACATCGTTATGGAGTCTTCTTAATCACTGTTGAAGTCTTCAAGATTGAATCTTGTTTCAATTGAAATAATAATATGAGAATGGTGTTTTGGTGACCCTTTACACTTCACATTGAATAGCAAGATTTTGAATCACATCAACACATCATTATAGGTGTTCAATTATTTCTTTTAGTATGTTAACTGGTGTCCGAAATCACTGTCTCGAGTAATCCTAAATCAAGTGGCTAAGAAAGAAAAAAAATAAATAAAGAAAAAGAAAGAAAGAAAAGTCAATGACAACTTGTGTAAGTTGCATGGTCCAATATAGAAGGCTAGGATTGCCTGACGAGAAAAACATCCAAAAGAGTTTCCTTTTTTTTGGGGGTCGAGTTGTTTCATAGATTTTTACAGAGGTCAAAAGCCCATAACTTGTTTACTAAAGAATCATGCGATGATGATGTTTTCATTCCCTTACGTTGTAGAAAGTAGAGACTTCAATTGTACTGCGATGCGGAGGTTGCATTGCAGATTTGCCGGGCGGTGAAGTTCAATCTGATTCGGAGGTTTCATTTGACGACTACGCTCCGTTATCTACCTGAAATCAATTTTAAGTATGCAGTTGAATTGAGGGAAATTTTTCAGAAATCCACAGAAATGGCTCCAAAGGAAGTGAAATGGCTGTTACTACTGTTAGTTTTGATCTGTTGTCTCTCCTCTGCTTCAGCCAATTTCTACTCCTCAGGCAGGAGGAAGGCTTTGATCGAGGAGATCAATCAAAGGGGGCCTTATCTTGGTCTCATTACGGTTTATAACCCAGAAGAAGATGCCTTCTTTGCTGTCGGTGCCTTCCAGCCCAGCCAAAAGCACCCTTATATTGATTTGTCAGGTTGATGTTTCTTCTGCTTCATCATTGACCATTATTATCAGTGATCTGGTTTTTGATATGTGACATCTTACTTGTCTTACTGCAGGCCGGCGTTTTCGAATAGGAAGGATAGATGGAACTAAAGTCATTTATGTCAGATGTGGTGTGGGAATGGTAGGCTTTCTCAACTTCCCATCTACCTTTTCATATTTGGTTGATGCATTACTTTGATGGCAATGGAAAAGAAGTAAAACTATGTTCTGACTATTGAGTTCTAATTGATCAGTTTTCGTTGGTAATTACTGGAGAGAAGTTTACATTGTTCAACAATGGTGTTTTGATTCATTTAGGTGAATGCTGCAACAGCAACACAGCAAATGTTGGATGTGTTTGACATGATTGGAGTAGTACATTTTGGCATTGCTGGCAATGCCAATAGCTCCCTCTCTATAGGAGATGTCGTCGTCCTCAAACAAATCGCTCAGACAGGTCTATGGGATTGGCTGGTAATTAATTGATGACCATTTATGACTGATAACACATACAGAATTACAGATAGTTGGCCAATGTATGTTCCTCTTTTGGCAGAAACCCAATGCAGTGACACCAGGGAATGATGTTGCTGAATTAAACTTTGGAAGCTTCAATATGCCTTGTGGAGGAGGCAATGAACTGGGGCACATTGCGTATAAGCCCGAGCGTTTCTATTCAGAATCAGGAGAGCCTGACACTGGACAATATACACTTTGGTTTCGGATTAGTCAGGACTGGCTTGAATTAGCTTCCAGTCTGGAGGTGAGCAACTTGGCTCAGCTTTAAGGCAAATAATCAATGTAAACAAACTGTTTTTGAAGTCTACTTTTCATAAACATGTAGGAGCTAGAGAGGTGTATCAATTCGAGCTTTTGCCTTTCAGAAATGCCCAAATTAGTAGTTGGACTAAATGGTACAAGCTCCAACTCTTTTGTTGACAATGCAGCTTACAGAGAATTCCTCTACAGAACTTTTCATGTTTCATCAATTGATATGGAGAGTGCAGCCATAGTCATGGTACAAAAAACTGCAACTATCCTCGACTGCTCCTTTACATAAATGCTAGGAATCAGCATGATTTCTGATCTCATTTCCTTTGTACCCCTGCAGACGGCCTTGTCCAATGGATTCAACGTCATTGTCATCCGCGGATTATCTGATTTAGCAGGAGCGCAACGTGGAGACAATCCAATTAAGCTGTTTGGCCCTCTTGCAGCATCAAATGTTGCTAAAACCGTGGTTCAATTTGTCAAAACATTAGGAGGAGACCATAAACATTTGCAGCTGGCCGCGTCTAGATCATGAATGATTGGAATAGATGGAAATATTGTTTTCAAGACTTCAATCATTGTTGAAGTCTTCAACATCTCATTAGCAAATTTGCATATTGGTTTTAGTGAAATTGTGATCCCTTTTTAGGTGCACTCTTTCACTGAGTTCTTGAAATCTATAAGATCAGATTAGTACTTTTTCATATTTGTTTCCTCGAGAAATTTTGAATCATGTGTTGGTGCACTTTTACAGTCACATCTTAGCATGATCTCGGGGTGATGTTGAACCAGAAAAAGAAACAGAAAAGTGGTAATGTGTGTGTGTGTGTGTGTGTGTGTGTGTGTGTGTGTGCAATTTGTAAAGAAAATGGTACAGAAGGCGTCCTTCACCTTCCTTGTCTTACCTAAGCGAAAAATAATGCACAATATAGTAGGGGAAAAATACAAAATCCCTTTAATTATTTTTTAGGTCCCAAATTGACTGAATATAAACTATTACAAACCCTCAACTCAAATTTATTTTCTGAGAGAAATTGTAGTAATGAAATTCATCATTGTTTACAAACACAAAATAATTTAAATTCATTATCAAATATCTCAAAACTGGATTTTACAAGTTTCATCTCAAATAAAAAACAAGTATTTCATACCATTTTTTTTATTATTATTTTTTATTTATAGTTGACCTTCTTGGCTTTTAATTCTAGTTTTTTAAATTATTAATTTTATTAAGAAGACCAAAAAAGAATACAACATAAAATTGGTTTTGTTAAGAGCACACTAGGCGTCCTGGTGTTCCACTTTCGTTTGTTCAACTTTGTGGTTCCTTTGTTTGATTCTTCGTAGTATATTGAACCAATTTACGCTTGCAAACTGAGAAGCTGTGTAAATCTGCTGCCAACGGATGATCCATGGCCCTATCAAGACTCCGTAATCCGGTGATCTCTCGAGCTCCGTCTCTTCTCCGGGCCCGTCTTCTCTCCTCCACCAGCCGATCCTTCCACCGGTAACAAACACTCCGCCAATTTTTTTTCCTTCTTGTCACTCTATCACTCTAATGCAATTTTTATATAGTGGAGGGATTTTCCATTTCTTTTCTTTTTTTTCATTGAAGCACGTTTAGTTGAATGATTGTGGTTTGTGATTGATTAATATCAATCTAGTCAAAATCAGCTGCTCAACGCATTGGAAAAATTCGGAGCATTTACGTAGTCTCATAAGATTATGTATGTTTTTTTTGCCTAATTAGTAAACTCGAACGATGTGAATTTATGGCTATTGGCCAATCACAACTTGTTAATTCCAGTACCTTCATGTAATGGAATGGAATATTTTGAGATGTTCTAAAAGTGCTTCTTCTGTTATTTTGATTGTCATTTTGAGAAATGTTTGGTAATTTCGGCGGCCAGTGTTCATTTAGTTTGTATATTTGAGCTGTTCGAGACCGCTAATTTGTTTCCTTTTTGGTTTTGTTCACTTATGCTGCAGAATAAGGCATCTCAATTCAGTTGTTGATGTTGAAGACACATTAAGGTTACTTCCACCGACTTTTTTTGGCTTTCCTATATGTTCCAATTACTGCATTTGCGATTGAAATTCGTGTATCTGTAGGTGTTTTGTATAAAACAAAGGGTAATTTTCATTTCAATGTGTAACATTTTTCCAGTTACACTGCTCTCGTGCATGATTAGGAATAATTTGTTAGAGATTCAATATGCAGCACTTTCAACATGGTATGACCTGTTGCCATAGTGCCTGATATCTTATGCCATGGTAGCTCGCTATTAGGAGAAAAGTTTTATACCAACCTTTATTTAGCTATTCCAGATTGGTGATTCGACTCTATTGTTACAGAGGTTGGATTTTGCAGCCTCCTCTTTATGGATCTATCTATCTACGAGAACCAGTAGAACACAGTCTACAAGACTTCTGAAATATCTTTCATGCGATCCTTTTTTGCTTGTCCCAGTTATGCTAATATCTATTCTAGCTCTTTGCTTCTTTATATTATGTGTCAGAACTCTGTTGAGCATGAAGGGGTATCTTGGTGAAGCAGTAAGCTCTCTTGCCATTGACCTAATGTCATGGGTTGAGTCACAAAAATAGTCTGTTTTAAAATTCTAAGCTAAGGCTACCCACACTTGGATTTGACGACCTGTCTGGTTCTGAGATCTCATGCATAACTTTCTATGCTTTAGGCTGTCCTCTTAAAGTTACTGTACTGATTTGTTAGTTTGAAAATCTAATACCTAAAAACACACACTAAAAAAACGATCCTAACATACCCTTAACTTTTAAATGATTTATCTTACTGCAATTCACTGACTGTGAAAATTATCAGGACTAGGACTTTACCTGCTTGTGGTGGGGTACATGGTTATTCTTCGAAGTTTAAGGTCAGTTGTTGTCTTCCCACAAAGAAAAAAAAAAGACGTCAAGAGTCTTGTAAAATCTACCAAAGCTGTTGTGTTTTTCTCCTTGCCACATTTGCTTTCCTAATAAAATTTTCTTAATCATGCAGTTGGAAAATGGCATTAGATATTTCTCATCTGGAGGTATGTATATCACCCTTTTTGACACGTTATGCAGTATCTACGAAAAGTTGAAAAATGTTGACATATGGTCATTGTGAAGTTAGGATAGCTTGTCTATCTAAATTGATAGGCATCTAAAGTTTTGTTCTTGCCACAATAATAAATTTTTTATGTGCAGCGTATTTTTTTGAGGTATATTGTGCTGGATTTGTTGATTGTGGTTGTCTTAGATCACAAACAAGGATAATATGATATGTTAGATCGAACTTATCTATTTATAGGCATGAATCCTAGTATGGTGCTCATGTCACAACCCCCCAGAGTTTTATATGTTGGTCAACCATGCTGGAGTGGAAGCTTGAATTGTATTTTCAATGTGATGAGTGTTGATCAATGGTCTGTAACCATTTTCGAGTAATCCAACAAAATGAAGTTCCTAGGTTATTTGGTCGTTTAATTTAATTCTTCGCCCAAAAAAATCACAGCTTGAGAAAGTGAAATGGGCATTGACTGCCCTTTATTCCTTACAGTTTTCTTTGTTCAAGTATATGGAGCCTGATTGACTAGTAGGGTACCCCTTTTTACTGTGTAAAGCTGCTTCTAAGGGAACTGGAATGAATTACTAGTGGGAAGTATTGAATGTGAGGTATCTATTTTACTATCGAAAATTGACATCGTGTTCGTTCTGGACATTGATTTTTTGTAGATCCACCTCAACAAACAGTTGTAGAAATGCCAGCTCTGTCCCCTACAATGGTAAGATTCCTATGAAGGAAGTATATGGGTATACAAAAATTGATTTCTTCAAAATTATGTTAATTGTGATGCGGAGTTATTAACTGCTTAAGTTTCTTCAGAGTCAAGGTAACATTGCGAAATGGAAGAAAAAAGAAGGCGATAAGGTCAGTTGCACTAGATAGTTTTTAATGGGTTAGTAGAGTTGCACCGCTTTTTTTTTTCTGTCTTCCCATGCTGGTAGTATTTGTATCCGGTTGTTATTCTGTTGGTGATAATGTCTTTTATATATGTAACTTACTTAGTTTAACTGTTATTGCATGTTTATTTTCCTTATTTCTTTTCGCATTATGCAACAGATAAATGTTGGGGATGTGCTTTGTGAGATAGAGACAGATAAAGCGACACTCGAATTTGAATGTCTTGAGGAAGGGTATGGCATAAATTTATCTCCTTACATGTTTTTGTACAGTCTTTAAATATTTGCGAAAGGGGTGCTTCTTTTATTGCTTGGCTTTTTTTTTAACTATATAGTATTGAGTACGCTATGTTAACCTGAGGAATTGTTACTTTCTTGATTTTGCATTATATTGATTTAATGCACTATTGGCATTGAGAATGCAGAATTCCTTGTTCTTGTTTTTGCTGCATCAGTATCTTGGCATGTATTTGGTTTCTTGAACTTATCTTCTGGATTTACTAGAATAATATCTGTCACCTTTTCTGTGTTCTTCTAGTTGCAGTTGGTGATTTCAGTTTAACTGAAAATCTGATTTTTTCCACTTGTTGGGTGGATAAATAAACTGGAACATGATTTAGGCCTAATTATATGTATGTGTACACCACATTTTTGAACCATCATGCACTAGAGGTTCAGTTGTGCATTTTTTATGATTGTGATGAATTTCCCAAATTGAAAATCTTTGCAGGTTTCTGGCAAAGATACTGGTACCTGAAGGTTCCAAAGATGTGCCTGTAGGACGACCAATAGCAATCACGGTAATGTGAGACAGTTCTAAAGTAACTTTGTTTCTGCTTTTTCCTCTAGAAGAAGTAAAACAGAATACATATTTGAGTAGTAGAATGTAGCCTCTCTTAATATATTATATGAACAAGTTTTATGAAGGAGTTCTTTTAAAATTTGATCTGTTCCCCTCCTAGCTCCTTTCAGACATGTCTATTTGAACTCATTTTGATTGGAAGAATTTCTTCATGCATATTCAGGATTTGGTTTAATATATTGACTATTTTTAAATTGTTGCTGATTTTGCCTCATGTAATGCCAGTGTTCTAGTTTCTCGATGAGTATGTGATAAATGCTGATTAAGCTGTTTCCTTAGGTTGAGGATGCAGATGATATAAAGAATGTCTCGGTCTCTGCTACTGCAGAAAGTGGAGCGGAAGTCACCGATGGAAAACCCCATGAAGACACTGGAGAGACAGAAAAGGGGCCTAGTTCTGGGAAAAATATTTCTGACCTTCCTCCTCATATGATTCTTGGAATGCCAGCTCTCTCCCCGACAATGGTAAGGAGAAGCTAATAGCTATTCCATATGGTTCATATTTCTCTTCAATCTCCTTGTCTAACCTCTTATGATATATTTTGTTTATTTTCTACCTTCTTTCATCTTTGCTTGTAGAATCAAGGTAGCATTGCTAGATGGAAGAAGCAGGAAGGTGATAAGGTCCGTTTGTGTAATATGTTTGATGTAAAACAAAATCAGAAGACCTAATTGCGAGGAGGACTAGAGATTATTTTCTTGTTCTTATTATTGGTGTCACCTTGTACAGATTGAAGTTGGTGATGTCCTTTGCGAGATAGAGACAGACAAAGCAACCCTTGAGTATGAAAGTCTTGAAGAGGGGTAATAAATTTTTTTCTGATTACTATTTCACAATACATTTGATTGAACTTTCCTAACTACTATTCCTCGCATTAGAGAGGCCTATGGAAATTCGTTAGAAATACCTATGGGAACTTAAATCTTTGTTAAAGATTAATTTCTGAGAGCATTGACGTTGATATAATTTTTTCACAAGATTTCTGTGTAACTATTCATGACATAGTTAAGAGTAAGATGGCATGTGGTGTGAATTATTCAAAAGATTGGCTTTCCTTAAAGGATGGTAGTTTCTGTAATGCTATGTCCCCTATTAGGAAATCGCGGATATTGTTCTGTAAAGAAATGTTTCCAGCTGGGAACTATTCAGGAGAGTGGTTCTTCTGATGATCTTTGTTTGAAAGTTTATTTTGCAACGTTATATCGAAATTTTTTTGTATGAAAGCTTTACTATTAGATATTTTGGCTTTACTTTTTGTACGAAGAAATCTTTCTGAGATATTTTGGCTTGACTATTTCAGATTCTTGGCAAAAATATTGGCTCCAGATGGTTCCAAGGATGTTGCTGTGGGACAACCTATTGCCGTGACAGTAAGTTCTCTTGTGCGGTTCCTTTATTTGCACGGTGCTTTGCCTTTTTGGAACTGATTTATGTTTGTTCTGCAAGGTTGAGGATCCAAATGATATCGAGTCTGTAAAAACATCTTTTGGTGCTGATGTGGTACCGAAGGAGGCTGGCACAGTTCGCCATGATGCAACTACTGAAACAAAAACTCAGAAAACAAGTTTCAAAAGAATAAGTCCATCTGCAAAGTTACTCATTCAGGAACACGGACTTGATGCATCATCCATAACCGCCTCTGGTCCTCATGGTACGCTTTCAAAGGGAGATGTTTTAGCTGCAATAGGAGCTGGGAAAGGTTCTCAAACGAAAGCGTCTAAAGAGAAGACGTCACCAGCTCCACAGGGTGGCTCACAAGCTACTTCGCTGCCATCATCAGGTTTAAAATCTGAGCTGCAGCAGGCAGATGCTTATGAAGATTTTCCTAATAGTCAAATTCGCAAGGTATCTCAATTTGTTTATTTTACATCTTCCAAACTTCCCTCGTAGATTAGAGTTCATTTTAAATGATAAAGCTCCAGTTATGATCTATTGCTGTTTACTCACATGCCTGTGTATCTTAGGTTAATAAAGGTTGAGATTGTTATATGAACTGGTAGTACAATAGGTATCGTCAAAAATATTGGGAAAAGGAAATGAATGAAAATACAGTAATCATCATCATGCATTCAACTGAATTACGCATGCATGTCTAGATCCACTTTTGTTGTAATGTTGTATTCTGTTTTCTGTAGATTTTCTTTACATGATTAATGCATGCGCAGATCTCCTAACCTATTTTCAACATACCAAATGTTGTAACTTGCATTCATTTTTTATTCAGCTGCGCTAACTGCTGAGTTTTACAGGTCATAGCTACAAGATTGTTGGAATCAAAGCAATCTACACCTCATCTGTATTTATCTTCAGGTTGCCATATGTTTTCTTTAGTAATACTCGCTAAGTTATGTATGATATCTTTGATCTGGAGTATGTCCTTATTGTGATTTTTAATAGATGTCATACTGGATCCACTTCTCTCATTCAGGAAGGAGCTTAAGGGTACAAGCTTCTTTTTCCTTTTATCAAACCCCCGACCCCTCCCCTTTTTGACATTCTTTGGAAAGCTTCATCTTATATGTTGACATTTCTTATACAGAAAAGTTTGATCTCAAAGTTTCGGTGAATGATATCGTCGTCAAAGTCGTAGCAATGGCTCTAAGAAATGTCCCTGAAGCAAATGGTGATTTGTTCTCCTTCATATTTGGTTTAATTTTTCTCTTCCTTTCTGGTTATATGGTCTGTAAGATACCGTGTCTACCTTTGGGAATCAAGTTTGTTGTCTCCACCTGTTTGCCTTTTACTTATTTCAGCCTGTGAAATTTCTAAGCTTTGATGTTGTTTCTCGATATAGTTTTCTTCTAGTGTCTTGTGAGTGCTAACAGTCTCAAGCTCCTTGCTTCTAGCTCTCCTTAACATCTTCTGGGTCTTTGTAATAGTACACCCATATATAAACATTCACTATTTCCGTCAACTGTCAAAGTTATAATTTTCTCCGAAGCTGATATAACAAATAGTAACATATTGTACTTTTCTTAGTATTAAAACTATTGTGTTAAAGGATAGCCGTGTAGTTGTTTGATGCCAAGCTATTTTCAATTTCCATGTGTTCCGATGCACATAACTTATACATTTTTAGATGAGGGGATACAGTCTCACTTCATGCTCTTATCCAGTTTTGGGTTTCTGCCATTGAATAATATCTAATTTGCAATGCAGCTTACTGGGATGATAAAAAGGGTGAAGTAGTATTATGCGATTCGGTTGACATATCCATAGCAGTTGCAACTGAAAAGGTATTCAGTGGATTCTCATTCTGTAGCTATAACCTGTATGGATCTCTAATATTCTGTATGTCAATCACAGGGCTTGATGACTCCCATCATTAGAAATGCAGATCAGAAATCCATATCATCTATTTCCTCTGAGGTATTTTTGGACAAAGTTCATTTCATTGTTATAGCTTTTCCATCAGTCATCTCAAGCATATTTTTCAAAACTGTATAAACATGTTATTGGGAAAATATGCTTGATTCTGATTTTGTATGTCTATTGCATGAAATTAAAGCAGTTCGGTTGAAAATCATGTTTTGTGATGTTGAATTAAATTTCCTGATAGACTTCTTTCAATCACAGTATAGTTTGGTTTCTTTATGTTAGCAGTTTCTTGTTTTATTAATTTTGCAAACATCCATAAGGTGATGTATTTAATTTTGATTTTTACAGCGATATTCTTTTTGGTAGATTCACTGATTACATTCATTGACAACTTGGTGGATTTTACACGTGTTTATCTGCTCTACGTTATAGTTCTCTAAAACTTATTCTGATTTATCCACAATAGATCAAGGAACTTGCTGAAAAGGCAAGGGCGGGGAAACTCAAGCCAAATGAATTTCAGGGTGGCACTTTTAGGTACTGAACTTTACCTTTTAATTTTGTTTCTCAGCTTCATATACTTTAGTTTGGCCGGTAAAAATGCTCACTCTCTCCTGCAGCATTTCAAACTTGGGAATGTTTCCAGTGGACCGTTTTTGTGCAATCATAAATCCCCCTCAGGTTCTCTCTCTCTCTCACACACACACACTCATTCATTCGCTCACTCTTCCAAAATGTTCTCAAGGGATTGCATAGTAGTATGATTACTACCTGTCAAGTCTTTTTTAAGAGAGATGAAGATATGCTCAAAATTTGTCTTTACATGTGTACAGGCCGGCATTCTTGCAGTAGGTAAAGGTAATCAAGTTGTCGAGGCAATTGTTGGCCCAGATGGTAAGATATCAGTAGTCCTTTACGATAGGCATGTGTTCTTTTCTTCAGACCATATCCATATTCAACTGTATACTCCCTTCTTTAGGAAATGAGAAGCCTGCTGTTGTCACTAAAATGAGTTTGACGCTTTCAGCTGATCATCGTGTTTTTGATGGAAAAGTTGGAGGTATGTTGGCGAGTTAATATTTCCTACTTGTGTGTTGAAAACAAAATAAAGAAGAAACACAAATGGATAGCAGAACTTACTAAGTTCATATGCTTTTTGATTCTCGAACCTTTTGATTGTTAATCCTAATTAATGCCAATGGATCATAATTTTTCAGGTGCATTCATCACTGCACTGGGTTCAAACTTTGCCGATATCCGAAGACTCCTTTTGTAATCGCTCACTTGCTGACATCCAAATTCAACCTTGTGATTATCTAGAAACATACTTTTAGCAAATTCCTGGTCAGGAGTTCTTAGAGCTTAATCTAGCTAGCGAACCGTTGACCATTGTTGTGCCATATTTTTGAGGGTAAAAATTTTCGAGGCCTGACCCTTCGCGGGAAGATTTTTTTTCCTTTGGAGTTTAGTTCATACACCGCTTGAATCAATAATTTAAAGGGGTATAATTTTTTCCCACTTCATTTTTTTGTGCCTTCTGCATATTTACTGATGGAAAGTGATGTAAAAATAAAGTTAGATTTGAGAAAGAATACGTGCATTGCATATATGCACAAGTTATCTTCGTTCCTCTTGATATAGGCTTTTGTTTTTGCATTACCTTCTGAGGTTTTTGTTATTACAATTCAAGATATTTGGCGTCTGCAAAATTTTGGTGTGAAAGAATACGTTGGACTAACTTCGTCCTCAACCTTTAGTTCATCATTTAGTATCCAATAAAGGGGGACAATGTCAAAAAGCGTTGAGGTAAGGACGAGGTAAATTCCGAAATTGTCGATGACGATGAGCCGATGAGGAATCATATGGGAAAGAATCCCATTACACTTACGAAGTAAGGGTAAAAAACACTACTCTAATTCAGCAGCTGCAAATTTGACAGCTAAAGGTTCGTACCACTGGGGACCAAATCCAGCGGCTCTTCTTGCTGCCTCATTAAAAGGAGGTTTCAGTGGCCCTCTGAAGTATGTCCGGACCACCTCGTGAAATTTCTTAACCACTTGGTCGTCATCGTCACCGCTGCCAGAATTTAGTAACTGCAGCATCAAAATGCCGTCATCCCCTTCTTGGTTTCGAGTTCTCAGGCAAAGATACCTAAACCACTTGACTCCGGCAGCACAATGTGTAATCTCTTCAGGGTATACCACCGTCTCCAAAAGGTCAGCAGTCTGATCGTCTCCTCCATTGCGGAAACGGGAGATTGTTGTTGGCACCACGTCAAGGCCACGAGCCTGTACATTTGATTCCATAAATTTATCAAGTTCAATTTTGATTTAACCTGTGAGATGACTTTATATGCACAGTCAATAAGTAGAGTTCTCTCTGCTCCAAAACAACCATTCATTGACAATTATTCTGGGAGAAAATAGATAATTCCAAGAAGTAAGACTAATATTTTGGAACGTGTGAGCAACATAGTATTGCATATTGCTGGATGGATAAAGCAGTTAGGTTAGTTTTACGGAGATGCTCCGAAGATTTCTAGAACTTTGCCAGTGTGCAACGGCAATGACTCGAACATATTATTCGTCAATAGGAGTTTAGATATTTAGCAGTATAACAAACCTCGTGAACACAGTGTTCAATAGCTAAACGACCTAGCAAGTCCTTGGAAGTGGCCATAGCAGAGTCCCAAAGACCATCATGTGCTGGCAAAGCTCCATAAGACGATCCCAGCTCTTCAAGCCGTTTCGCAAGCAGAGTGAAATGCCTGCCTTCATCTTGAGCTACCTTGACAAAATCAGTGAAAAAATCTCTAGGCATGCTCTCTTGCTTACCGAAACGAGCAATAATGTCCTAGAAGAAACAAGAAAAGACATGGCTCCAGAGGGTAGATGATTAACACTGAAAAGGGAAAAATGAAAGAGAAACTAGAGTGTACCCAAGACAAGTCAATTGCCCAGCTCTCAGTGTGAACAAGACTGTGTACAATGGCTTGTCTACTCTGCAAGCTTCCAGCTTTGCCCAGCTTCGGCATCATACCAGGGGACACCAGCTTCACCTGTGAATTCAAATTCAACATATCTCATCATTTATCAACTCAAAATACAGCTCCTGATCAATATGCAGCTCAAAAAGAATTTTCAATTCATTGAGACATTTCGTCGAACAGTTGAGAGGACATTAAGTGTACGGACATTGTTGAGCCTGGCAGGGCGATCGGGGACTGTGAGTTCTTGGGATGAGTCGTAAGGCTGAGCAATTAGTCCTTGCAGCCATTGATTAGCTACTTGGTCACCCAAACGGGCCTTCTCAAACGGGTCACCCGTGTTCAGAACTCGGAGCGCCGCTTCCACCAGTGTCTCTGAGCTTCCCATCTTTGTTGATCTTTTCACAATTTCTGATTCAATCCTAATTAAACCCGACCCGGGTCATTTATACGCTGTTGTAGCCTGGACTCTGGAGTTTCGCGCCAATTTATTAAATTCTCTTATTCGATGAATTAGGGCTCATTTTGCTGTTTGATTTCTTAGTTGAATTGGCGATATTTGTACCTATTTTTATCTCAAAGTGTTTGATGCATATTAGGCAGAATTCTAACTTAACTAACAAAGCTGACTTTTTGGGGGGTACGATTTTTTTTTTTTTTTTTTTTTTTTTGTTTGTATTAATGGGATTGAAGATAAAGAAAGCTTTTATTGACACTGTATATTTTGATGGGAACGAGAATACAGTTTGTTGAACTATTTCAGCATTCACCAAATTTCTATCAAGCTCATATTGAAGACACATTTTGTTCAGAACTACAAACTTAGAAGCATTAAGCTCATCACACTTGCGCGCACACACACACACACACACCAATATGGCAATTGTTAGTTGTTACACAATCATTTTGATTAGTCTGCTGCACTAAATAATAAAGGCGCAGCAGAGGGGGAAAAAATACAATGTCAAAACAATGGTGGAAAATCAATCAAGAATTTGTGTATGGATTTTGCTGAGATTCAGAAGAAACTCTTTCTAGCTTGAATGAATTGGAGAATTGAGACCTTCTTGGGAAGATAAGGAATGGATGACTTGATGTCGCTTGGATGAAAATGGTATTGAAAAAGAAGGTGTCTTTCTGAATGAAGGCCTTTTGCTGAGATGATGCAGAGTTTGCTTGGCATAAAGGGTTCTCACCACTGGCAAAACCTTCTCTCTTAACTTGAGAACCACATAGAACAGCAATCTGTAACATATGGAAATGGCCAAAACAACAGCCAAATCCCACCACTTTGAATGATCCAGTGAGAACCCAAGTATGTTTTTGATTATGTATTCTCCCTTGAGCTTTGGATCTCCTGCCTGAAGAGGTTCGAATTCGAGACCGATCATGTCATTCTTGAATGCTCCCTGTTATGCAAATGTGGCCTAATAGAGTTAGCCAAACAATAATCCCCATAGGTAAGTCATTTCCTGATTGAAGCAAATTTCTGATTCACTAAAGATTACCTGTAATCCCCAAGCCATGTAGTTAATATAGGATATGGGATATCTCCAGAATACCTTTGGAAGCTCTGGCAGAGGTCGGAAAAATCCGGCAGTAGCCATCATAATTCCCTGCATTTTGTTGTTTTTTCACAAACATATCAGGTGATTAGGCTCAGTTTTAGTTAGGATCTGTTGGTCGATAATATATATACGTAGAGTAATGATAGAGAAAGTGAAACGGTGGCTAAAAGAATTATAGATTCTTACTATAAAGCCAGCCCCAACAATGAGACCCATCAAGAAATTTGGAACCAGGGAGGCAACAACCATCATAGAGCTTTCCACAACCGAAATGGAGATCAGAAGGTCTAATGCAGCATAGAGGAAATGGAAAACGCCCGGCCTGAATTTCGCGGTGAAGTAGGTAATGGCTGATGAACTGAATGCCATGAAGATCAAGAATGGCAACGATGACACGAAATTCGCAAGAATAAACACACCAACTCCATAATGCCCGTTGAGTCTTTCTTTGTAAAATATCTGGTTTAGATGAACGTAAAGTTTTCAGTCGAATGTAAAAACGTGTACTGGAAATATCGTCTGAGATACCAAAATATCACCAAAGTCACAAACCAAAAAGTTACCTTCATTTCCTCAATGAAACATGGGAAGCCTCCAATAGACATGAATGCCATGAAGCCTGATATGAATCCACCACAGGCTCCTCTTGCTAAAATTGCATTATAATCTGTACCAACGTTGTAAAATACGGTCCCGACACAAACGGAAACAATTATGTATACGACTATCCTCAACCAATAATAACCAAAGTCCCTGGACATGTTTATTGAAGATCTTCTTGTTAATGTAGAAAATTGCCTGATCCATCCAGCCTTGCTTCCCCTGTTCTCTGCTTCATACCCTTCCTCTGAACCCTTCATAAATTCAAAAATCAACATAAAAATCATCAAGTTGTCGAGGGTTTCGACTTGGGATTTTGCCAAGTTGTGAAACCATATAGGAGGCAATGATGTTTTGTTAGTAAGGACTTAATTACCATAGATAAAATTTCTTGAAGCCCATTTCTCACTGTGGCTGCATATTTCGAGCATCTGTACTTCTGGATAAGCTTTTGTTTGATTTCCGTTGTTGTCAAGAGGCCATTTGACTTGCCAATGTCCTGAAATTAGATAGCCCTTAAATTTGTCACCAAAAAAGGGAAAAACTGAGTGAAAGAATCTATCTAAATGACACTTTTCTGTACCAAAATTTTGTATTTGTAAGACAAAGGAGACTCGGGAAGTTAAATTTAGCTGACAAACACATACAATTGCACCCGAAGATCCCATCAGAGTAGCATTGACTTGATCAAAATCGGAATTAGTGCATCGGAGGAAATGATCAGATGGGTTCCTTCTCAGTGGACATGGAAATCCTGAATCAGCAAAGAACTGCAAATTTCAAGATAGAATGAACAAGTGATCTCCAATGAATCCGAAACCCAATGTATATAGAATTTGACCATCTTTATTAAGACCATCTTTCTCCATTTCAGTCCGAATTACCAGTGAGTGTTACATTCGATTTTAACCATTCAGAAGAACAACAGGAATAAGTGAGGAAAAAATGTCTTTTTTTTTTTGTGTAGTAAAAACAAACATACCTCAACAGCCATTTTAGCTTCTCCATAATAAATGGTTTCACCACCAGATAGTAAAATTAGGTCATCAAAAAGAGTAAAAACTTCACTGCTTGGCTGGTGAATCGAAGCAATCACTGTTTTACCACCATAAGCGACGTTTTTAAGAACTTGTGTCGCGAAAAACGCCGAGGCGCTGTCAAGGCCACTTGTAGGTTCATCAAGAAACAAGAGCTGGGGTTGAGTCAGGATTTCCAATGCAATGCTCAGCCTCTTCTTTTCTCCTCCACTTACTCCTCTAAAATGCCAATTCCCAATGATATTATCAGCACAATCCAAAAGCCCCATCTCCATCATTGTGTTCTCAATTATGTCATTTGCTTCATCTTTGGTTATGTTGTTTGGGAGCCTCAGTTGTGCTGAGTATTTGATGGTTTCTCTTATAGTAAGTGTCCCCAAGAATATATCTTCTTGTGTTACATAAGCCTGTTTCATTTTTTTTTTTTTTTTTTTTTTGTGTTACATAAATATATTAGAGACTTAACTTAACAAACAAGTCATGCATGAATTAATGGTGTTTTAATTCTTGGTTTTTGGCATTGACAATAATTAACTTACCACCCCACCATAGCTAAGCTTCCTTTTCTTCCCATTTATCATAACATTTCCAGTCATCACAAGATTTCCTGACAGCCTCCCTGCAAATCACCCAAAATCATGAGTTAATTATTTATTGTTGCAAGTTTCCGCTTAGCAGAATTTTTTTTTTAGGACGAAAAAAATATTATTATAAAATTCAAAATATCAAACCTGTAATTCAAAATACTAGCAATTGTGATGTGAATAAAATATTGACACAATGTCTAAATATCAACCGTAAAATAGCGTTGTGAGGGCTATAACTCATTAATTTTTAGTAATAAATGCTGGGTTCACATTTACAACCACTGTAAAAAACTTATAGCACTGGCAGGTGGTGACCCATGTTTTGAAATTAAATGCAGTTGCAGCATGTTCAGTTCCTGATCCACTTCTACTAATTTCAGCTATTATATGTTGGACCTTTTGGCTTTTTCCTTCTTAATTTAATGTACCTTCCCCTATTAGCCTTCACTTATGATATTCACTTTGATCTCCAAAATTTCCCATCCTCCCCTCTTGGAATGTCTAGACCTATGCTACCAATGGCACGTACACGAAAAAAAAAAGTAAATACATCTGGTGACAATTTTACTGTTATTCTCCCGTCCCGAGATTATTGTTACGTATGTATTTTCAATTTTAATTCAAATTATATTAAAAATAAAAATTTAAACCGGATAATAAATTTGGAAAAAAAAAAGTATTTCTTATATAAAGTCTAATGACCTAACAATACATTATTAAATATAATTTTTGTGATTATTTGTCCCTCGTATATTTCTTGTTGCGTTTCAAAGAAATGAATTTTCCAAATAGAAAACGATGTTTATTTCTATGGAATCTTGTAATATTCTGGATTATAAATTCCTTGGTTGTGCTTCCCAACCAAAAAAAAAAGGTGAAAATATAGAACATGCTCTTCACCTACCATAGTTATTACAGCAAAATTAATGTTCCATCACACCTGACTCCTTGATGAATTATTGAATACACCAATGTTTATAACCCTTCAGTGAAGGTTGTTGGACATTTTTAATTCCTCGCAGGTCCCATAAATTACGTGAGGGAAGAATTTCTCCATTTTTTCAAACCGAGAACAAAAAGTATAAGTGAAAGAATAACAAATCAAAATACTAGCAAAAAAGTGCTTCATTTCTCAATGGGAATAATAAACTAGGTTGTGCCCTCTTACCACTTTCGTCAAGTTCTTCAAATTTTACTCGTGCAGCCATATTCCAAAACTTAAAAAATTCTAATTTTACCATATGTAAGAAATAATGTGATACGGTCCTTTAACCGTTTGTTCGTCGTTTATAATATGAGACTTCTAAGTTTACGTATTCCTTCCGTTCCAGAATTATTGTCTGGTTTGATTCTGGGACTGGGATGGAGGAGTACATTGGATTTGCAATGCATGGTGAAAATGCCTACCTCATCAGAGAGTTTTACGTATATTCTACTTTAGGCCTTCATAGACAAGAAATCTTTAGATGAAGTACTATGTATATGCATAAAGTTGCCGAGTAATTAAAGAAACCGGAATTTTGACACAGTCACACACTGCATTTTCAGAGAAAGAATCTTATTATGAAGAAGATAGATACCTGCTAAAGAGTCGAGGAGAGTGGATTTGCCAGAACCAGAAGGTCCCATAATAGCCATGATTCTTCCTGGTTGAGCGAACCCATTCAGCCCATTAAGCAACCTTCTGGTCGGCCCTTTCCCAAAACTTGGCAACAAAACACTCAGATCTTGCCAAACCAAATACGCCCCTTTTCTAACAACATTACTATTAATACTGCATGAAGATTCATTATTCGCCAAACCATCATTACTCCCTCCTCCTCCTTCCTCAATATCTCTCCCACCACCACCACCACCTTCTATTTCCATATATATATGTTTTGCCTAGGAAGAAAAAAGAAGTTAGGCTTATGAGCTAAAACACGGCCAACTGATATGATCCTTATATAGGGCAAAAAGAAAAAAATGATGATGAATAAGTAGGTTAAAAGATGGAAAGACGAGTGTGTAAATGAGACAAAGAATTGTCAGGTTTACACAGTAAATTACAGTAATTAATATTTCAAACTAGAAGGCACCTCAGCAGGAGGCCCATGTTCTAATTAAATGCAGTGTGGATGCTACTGCATGTGTTATTTTGGTCCTCCATGCACCGTTGTTTTTTGCTTAATGCTTCCAAGTTTCCAGATTCCACCATCTTCCGGTTACTATTATAGCTAGATTGATATTGGAGTTGGACCTTTTTCCTTTCTTCCCAAAATTAATATTTTATTGAATTTTTTTCCGGTTTTGGCCGAACCCTACGATATTAGGATTTGATTCCTACTTTCTACGCATCCTCTTTGAAATGGATCGAACATGCCACGACGTTTGGTACCAAAAACATAAATACCTTTTCACTTCCGTTCCGTCCTTAATTTTCCTTCTCGGTTTTTGGTAATTGCGAGAAAATATCAATCAGTTCCACAATTTATTGAGTAGTAAATGTAGACGATCGTGTTCAATCTAAAATCATGTGTAAACCTAACACACATAGTTAGAAATACGTTTTTATTGCCGGTTTAGTATTACTCCCCCGTCCTAAACTATGATTCAAACGTGGTCAAACTATAGTTAGTATAACACGTGCAAATAGAGTAAACTATGATTATTACTTTACGATTATTATTAAAATCACCTTGGGCTTCCATCTCAAAACTAATTAGCTATGAGTGGGTTGATCTTTAGAGCTTATAAATAGGTGACAGATTCTTCACGACACCAATGTGGAATTCTTTATCCCAACAATTATAATATGAGAACGAGATGGATCCATGATGACCTGCATTTCAAAACTATTCCTGATAACAGAAACGAACTTAGACATAATAACAAGACTTGATCAGAGACTTAATCAACAAGAAGATTGGGAGAAAGCATTGTGTGTTTATTTCATTGAATCTTCTATTTATACAAAAATTGGCTCCCTTTTATAAATGCCAAATCAACACAATTAATGCCAAAATCAAAAAAATCTATTCTTATCCCTAAAACCACTAATCTCATCCCAAAATCATGCTAACAATGCCCAACAAACTAGTTTCTCTACGTACGGGATGATATCCGTTTTCGACTTTGGAGACTAGAAACCTTATATGTATATACTCTTTTCTTGCTGAAATTATTTGTTTAATTTAGATTTTTATTTATGATATAAAGGTAATAAAAATATAAATCAAATATTATAACCGATTTGAGACGTACGGAGTATAATGGAAAAGTTGCATGTGCTCGTCGCATAAATCTCCATTGAAAATAATGTTCCACCTCTTCGTTCCTTCATGAATAAAATGTTATGCCACGTGAAGTTGTTGTCAGTTTAATGTGTGTTTTAACTAGGGGGAAATATCTAGTCCCGGGAAAAAAAAAAAAATATTAGTGTATACATCCCAACGTTTATACCATACTAGTGAATTTATCCCAAAGTTTTAGAATTGGTTAATTACGTCTCAAAGTTATAAAAATTGAGCAGATTCATCCCATGACCTGCAAACCAACAACAGTGACCTGGTATAATGGGTAAAATCATTTGAATCACATATTTAACATTTTTACTTCTGTTTTTTTGAATTTTATAAACTTTTTTTAGTTTATTGAAACAAAAATAACATTTATAAATGGAGAAACTTAAAACCTTAATTTATTTTTAATGAATCTAATGTATTTATAATCAGATTCATCTTAATTTTTCGATAAAACTTGAAGAAACTTTCCAAAAAAATTTCTTTATTTTGAGTGAAAAAAGAATGATTATGCTTTCACACAAACACACACACACACTCACACACACACAGATATATATATATATATATATATATCGTGTATTCAAAAATTAATTAATTTTGAGTTTATCTAAAATTATAAATTATTTCATTTGTGATGCATAAATTATTTTGATTAATTAAGTAAGTTTTTCGAGTTTTTTTAATATAAAAATTTTGTTTGTTTTTTAATGAACTAAAAATGACCAAAAAATTAAAAAAAAAAAACAGAAAAAAAAGAATAAATATGAGATCCAATAGATTTTTACCTGTTATATCCGGTCATTTTTTATGTTTTGCAGGTCATAGGATGTATCTGCTCAATTTTGATAACCTTCGGACATAATTGATCAGTTTTAAAACGTTGGAATGAATTAGTATACTGGAGTAAACGTTGGGATGTATACACTCATTCACCAAAAAAAAAATAGAGAAAGAGAAAATAATATGGAAAACATATGAAAGCGCTTAGGAGCATCACGCTTTTGAAGGACCATTGAAAAAGAAGATACATTAGAGACGGAGACAAAAATAAAAATAATAAAAAAATATGAAAGCGATGACGAGAAAGTCAACGCTGGTCGTCTCATCGTCTCCTTGCGCATTGCCGTCGTTCAAATAGGGGCTTCTGGATTAGGGGTTTTGGGAGGGTTTTCTGGAATTTGATTTTTTTCCAAATTATCTTGAAACGCGATTCAAGGTTTAAAGGTGGAGTGATGCTGCAGAGTTCGCACCCGAATTACAGACCCATCCCGCCGGAGTTGACTCATCACCGGCTTATCGAGCTCGTCAAAACTGCTCTCATCAACATTTTCGTCTACCCTTATGCCACGGTTTGGATTCTTGCTGTTTACGTGAGAAAATTTGTGTTATTAATGTCTGGTTTGAGACTGGAAGGTATTGATGCCATTTGTTTGTTTTAATAGGTTTGCGATTTGTATTGTGGACAAGTACCGGATGAAGACAAGTGGGACGAAGCTCAAATTGGCCATTATATCGGAATTGGTAAGTTCTTCTTCTTTTGCTTTTTGCTGAATTGCATCAAGATTTTTTTTGCTAGATGAGGATAGTAGAATTTACAATGTGTATCTGTTGCAGATGTCGCCACTTCCGGCGTCAGTGAAGTACGAGAAGCTTGGGGGAGTCAACGCAAGTCCTACACTTCCCAGTTCTTCGAGCTTGATCCTTGCATTGTCAGTTTTCTTCCCATTTTCTTCATAATTTCTGTTCACTAGTTTGGGTGGGGGGAGGGGGGGGGAATTATGATGTTTTCAGCTCATTAGTTTGTTTGTTACTGGGTGATGATTTATGTGTTTTCTTTTTTTAAACCATATGCAGGAAGACATAGGTTTGCAGTTGCAAGGAGAGGATAATCAAGCTGACATAGTTTGCTGCATGCATAATTTGCAGGTTTTGAGATATTGTGTTTCTTAGTTGTCACGATTCTGTCTGAGAACTCCTATTGTCCTGTAAATTTATGCATGGTCTGACTTGAAATCATTTTTGGTCTTTTTGCAGCTTTGCTTCGAGACGGAGGAAAAAGCAAAGAGATTATTGCAAAACGTGTCATCTTTGCTGAAACCAGGAGGTTACTTTTTTGGAATCATTCCTGATTCATCTACTATATGGTATACACGGAATCTTTAACTTCTTTTGGTATTGTTGTAGGAATGTAGATGTTTTCACATCTTCACGTTGGCATGTGACTTCCTGAGATATTGTCTTGTGTTCTCCTTTTCCGGATCCCAGTTTATGCACTTAAATTGCTTTCCACAGTATTTCTTCTTTTCATTCTATAAGTGGAGAAAGTCATTAGATCAAACTGGTTCACTTCAAGTAGTTCCCTGGCTTGCATTCACTTCAGCGTTTACAACTGGGGGCGGGGTTGTTTCCATATTCAAATCTGTAAAGATTTTGTGTAACCAAATGGCTTTGCAGGGCCAAGTACCAAAAGAATGTTGAAGCCTACCACAACAAAGGAGCTGGAATGAAGCCCAATATTGTTCCTAATTGTATTAGATCAGAGAGCTACATGATTACTTTTGAAGTCGAGGAAGAGAAGTATGAAATCAATTAAACTACTCTTTTGCCTTCTGCATTGCTGTTGGAAATTGTACATGTTTTTTGATCGGCTATTGTTGCATGTTCAATTTGTCTCTAGGTTTCCATTCTTCGGAAAGAAATACCAGCTGAAATTTGCAACTGATGTTACTGCTGAATCCCATTGCCTAGTTCATTTTCCCAGCCTGATCAGGTCCGTGACAATTATTCTTCACTTGCAATCAGTTTCTGAAAATCCCTCCAACCTCCTTACTTTCTTGCCCCACACTTTAATAATAAAGAGAAAGCTTAAGCAGTTGGTAAGAGGAGGAGAGTTGTCATTTTATGTTTTGACAGGTTGATCCCCTGGGTCAACTAACAGAGTGAGAATCTGCTGAAGTGCGTTTATTGTTAAACCTGAGTAGATATGGAACTTGGGCATCTCACTGTGGGCCTTGCACCCAGGTGATCATGCCACCTTGTATATTGACACTTGTTTTATTGACTGAATCACTTCTGCATGGCTGTCCTCCTTTTAACTGGTACCAGAAGACTGATTCTTATGATGACTGTTTTCTGCAGGTTGGCTAGGGAGGCTGGTCTTGAGTACGTTGAGTTACAAAATTTGACGGAGTTTTATGATGATAACCGGTGAATAATCTTTCCTTTTCTTGTTCGTTGCAATTTGGTCACATACTTTGGATAATGTTTCTATTTCAAGTCAATTTGCACTGCTTTTGGAACACTTGTATGTGTTTATTTGCCAATGATGATAACCGGTGAATAATCTTTCCTTTTCTTGTTCGTACTTTGGATAATGTTTCTATTTCAAGTCAATTTGCACTGCTTTTGGAACACTTGTATGTGTTTACTTGCCAATGATGATAACCGGTGAATAATCTTTCCCTTTTCTTGTTCGTTGCAATTTGGTCACATACTTTGGATAATGTTTCTATTTCAAGTCAATTTGCACTGCTTTTGGAACACTTGAATGTGTTTATTTGCTAATGAAGACTATCTGCAAGTTTCACAAAGTCCTGGGTGCCCTTTATGTTCATTGGTCTAGGCATGTGCCTGTATGTTCTATATGCACCAGTATCTTGCACACACCAAACTTTCCAAGGGTTTACAAGATGTCTGTTGAGGAAAAAGAAATTAGAAATGGTTACTTTGCAAAGGTAGTCTCATTATTGTTTCAGTCTATATATTGCTTTATATGGAACCCAGGGCTGGTGGAGAAAATATTTTGCTTGCTTCTATATAACTGGTGACTGTATGGATCTATCTCACTTTAGGGCTGTCTGTTGAGTTATCAGCTCTTGTCATGAGCTCTTATCTTTGCCAGTTGATCTAAATCTCTAACTTCTGTTTCCGTTCCTTGGGTTTTAAAGCACACAATTGGCAGGCATGCTTCAAGATTTTGGTCATAATCTAGTTGATCCCCGAGGCAGGCTTCTTCCCAGATCGTTTGATGTTTTAGGTGAGTTTTTTCAGTTCATAATCTGGTTTTAGTTTTTTACATTTGAATATTTACCTTAATATCCCTTTTTAAATTGGTTTTCTTTTGGGAGCAAGTTTTAGTCTCATTTCTTCTGGTACTTTCTTCCTGCAGGCCTGTTTACCACTTTTGTTTTCCAAAAGCCGGATCCTGACGTTGCCCCTCCACTTCTAACTCCTTTATTGCAGGATGGTAGTCACGCTCAAGATGAGGCAAGTGTTTATATTTTGTTATATGGAAAGGTGAAATGGCTGTGGGCTATGTTTTAGGGCATGATTAATTTAAGAGTTGAAAATTTTTATATCATGTGGAGGAGCTAAGTCGTTTCTTTTTTATGTTCCCCTGTAGTGGAGGGAAGCTAAGCTTTGATAAAATTACAACTGATGCTTGTTTATAATTTTGATGACATGTTAGAATTAACTATTCCCTCTGTCCCAAAAAAAGTTAGTCCAGTACAAATCTCAAAACTCAATGTGGACTATTGTTTGGGATAGGGGGAATATTAGATGGAGGATTCTAAAGCTCTTACATTTGCATTTTTTGTCTTTAATACTGGGAGCGATCAACATACTCTGAGGTCACTTTTAGGTGTTGTGAAAACTATGGTTTGCAATCTGAAAGTTATAGTTTTAGCTATCCTTAACTGCAAATAACAACATTTAGAAGTGAATCCTATAGAGCTCTATTACAAAGAGATGATTGAACTTCCTCTGAGAACTGACTTGTTTTTCTTGCTTTGCATTTATAGGGAGACTGGCATGTAAATGAGTGGAGAGACGATGAGCCGACAGTCCAGATTGAAACTTCGATAGGATTAGGCAAGATAACTGAGCAGAAAGGAATTCTAGGACCTGGGCCACCGGAGTTGCGCTTTGCTGAAGCTCTTTGACCTAACATTAACTTGGAAAAGTGCTAGCTGTACAGAATGTTGACAAGTAATAACTTTGATATAGTAGCAGTACTATTTAGAGCCAGGTAACAGGAAATTCGATGACTCCAAAAGAAGCAACTGCTTGGTGTTGTGTTGTTCAGACTACTGAGATTGGGACATGGAAGAGACGGTGTATGATTTTTTCTATTAGTGACGTGAAGCAGATTTTGTTTCTTTGACGATCTGTAGAGTACTAGAGAATAGTGCGGACCAGATTTGGATTTTACGACATTTTATTTGTGAATATGCAATGTGTCAAAGATAGGCTGTTTAGTTATGGTATTATTATATGTAATGTATATCAAAGACCTACATCCTTGTGGATTTCTCGATGTACTTCTGGTATCCAACAATTGAGTACCAATCATAGAAGAAAAGAAATGGAAAAGATCGTACCCCAAAGGAAAGAAAAAGAACTAGAGACAATAGTTTTTGCGCAGAAAAATAGGTAATGAATGATGACTGCTCAAAATCTTGCGAGGAAGAGTGGTCTAGTGCACCCTTGTGATTAGAACTCTGGGGTTAACTTGGGGGTTTCTCAAAGACTGTTGATTCTCCCAACATAACTTTTAGCATCCAAAACAATTTTAGTGTAAAAAGACATAATTATCTCCCTTAAAAATGATGGTACTTATCAATTGTCACCGGGAACCAAAAGGGACAAAAAAATAAAGAGAAAAAAGAAAACAGCTGCACGCCCAGTGGGACTCGAACCCACAATCGCCTGATTAGAAGTCAGACGCCTTATCCATTAGGCCATGGGCGCCTTGTTGTTTGAGGAGTGAACTAAACTTTTATATACCAATAAAGGTCATAACACTTTTTTCTTTAATTCTTATGCTTTTTCTTTTCCCCTCCCCTTAGCATGATAACGTAATTGTTTATTTGAGATATATTTCTGTCCCATAAAAGAAGTATGGATTCTTTGAAGGAGCCATCAAGAACCAACTTCATCCTAGCAACTGCTTTCCCATAATGTGACCCAATCAGATTTAGCCCATTCAGGGCTTCCATGCATTCATCAATATTCTTGGTTGTCTCGCTTGGATTGAATGGTGTCACAGAGTTCTCTGACTTTTTTTTATAGTGAGTGGTAACTCGTTTGGGACATTATTGAATAATTATCTGTCTCGAATTTGAATCAGTGAGCAGTGATTTCGAATTTGAATGGTGAGGAATGGTTTTGGATACCAGATCCGTGACACCATAACAATACTTATATAATAATAATAAATTGAAGACTATCAATCTGTAAACTATTATCTGATTCGCTCTACAGCTTTCTGATAATATCTGTCTCACTCCTTATTTGCTCATCGGATGAATGAGATGTAATAGTACCTGGTCTGGAATTTGCAATGATTGTCTTTTTTAAGGGCTTCCCAGCATTGCACCACTTCTTCGTCCTCCTCACCAATTGACTCTTTTTTCCGAGTTTCATCCTTCACATTTCCAGTATCCATCGACATCCTTGATGCTGAAGAAAAACACACCAAAGGACACACAAACACACAAAAAACCACAGAAAATTTAATGCGAAACACTGGTTTGGGAGACAGATTCATTCATTCATTCATTCGAAGTTTAAACGCCTCTTCGGTTTTTAACTACGTTATCATTTCGGAAACAGCGCAAGTAGTAGTGAATATGGACACCCCAATGGGTTGATGAATCCTTGGTTGGTACTTGATCTGGAATATAGAACCATGTTTATTTCCTCTTTTTTTTATTATTATTATTATTAGCACAACTCCTACACATTCAAGGATGATCCGTCAGTTTCAAATTTCATCTACAGCCATGTATCGCCAAGCACACTTCAAAGTGAGCGGCATCTTACACTATACGATCCCTGAAAACTTAGATTTTAGGTTTTACATCAGATGGTTCTATTAAATGCCTCCTCCCATGCATGACAAACTGCTCAGAATCCACTCAATCGAAATTCATACTAAGATACTGCAGAAGGGGACCTTCTCTACCTATGCGGAAATTGAAAATGGGAAAAATACACAACACTCTCAGCTTTAATCTTCAAGCTCAATGATCTTGACAACGGATGCATCACCCACTTTTTGGCAAACAACAACTCGGTCATGCGGTTTTATTATACCAGCGGTCTTGCCATGATCCAGCGCCACCTTCAAGATTGACTCATTTGTTGCATTTGTTGACTCGGCCTACAAAACCAATAAATGGTTTGTAAGTTCAAATCACTGTTGAAATTCATCGTCGCAAGAAAGAAGATCTAAATTTGACAATCACACGCTCATAATACATTGAATGCGGGGATAGGGAAATAGTGCAACGTGTGAAATATTTTTTTGTTTCCCCTGATAGGCCCAGATTCACAATTACAACTTCTTACCGAAACTTTTTTTGAAAAAAGGGAATTCAAACATGGAAGGATAAATGAATCAAGTGAAGTAGGCAATTGAAAAACGATTCATAATGCATACTTGATGACACCTAACTAATAGATTTTTAATGAACATAAAACAATTGCTTACAGGATGTCGGGGATCTGCAAGCATGGGGAAGAGGCCTCTGACTATGAGAGACTGCCTAGCCTGCAAGTAGATCATCAAAGAAGAAACAGGTTGTTAAAATTATCAACAGCGACGAACAAATGCCTCTGCACTGTTACTTTCTATCTGAGCACACCCAAATGAATACTTCTTCGTTCAGGATAAACTTAAGAAATGAAAACTCTAACCCGAAATCAACTAATGCCGACAGAACTCTAAACCCTCTTTCACGATAGTACTACACAATGCTTGCATGTTCAATACCTTGAAGACTCAACTCAAGTCATTTGAGGACAAATATTTAACAAGAAACAAAAATTGCAGTCGCGGATTTTTTGAATGGGAGTTGGAAAGGAAAAAAATCTAACACAAGAAAAGATATAAAAGTTGGAGGGATGCTGCAAAATATTAGAGAAGCTGATCTTGAAACTCCACACAGCTTACATACCTCAAAAGCACCACTAAATGTCCAGCGTAGCTGATTGGTCTTGAGTCGAGGAATGACAACGGATAAAACTGGCATTGTTGGTCTATATTTTGCTATTAATCTGCATAATAATGAAAATAAATCAAAATCATTGACAAATAGAAAATGATGCACCTTAATTGTGATATTTAAAACAGGTGGAACTCATGTGGACATCCAGGTTCCAGAATATGAAGATAAATAAAGAGCAGCTAGCAATTTGCGAGAGAGAGAGAGACAGAGACCTTGCAGCTCTTCCAGATGAAGTAAAGCAAATGATAACAGATGCTTTCACTTTAATGGCAGCACGAACCTGCATTAAACAGAATAATATCTAACTTGCATTTGTTTTATAATTTCAGCAGCGCTGTTGTTATGCTAAATAACCCACTCACAGGAATAGGATATGTAGACCAAAGGAGCAAAATCAAATATAGAACAATAAGATGGAAAAAGTACCGCAGAGGAAGCAATCGATTCCAAGTGAGACATTGGTTCTCCAACATATTTAACGGTTTTCTTGAAATAGACATCTTGATTGTAAACCTTCTCAGCCTGTAACAGCACATAAATGGACTCTTGTGAGCATCTAACTGAGAAGCTGTCTTACCACAACTAAGAATGCAATAGCACAAATCCAACTGAACCATGAATATTTTGAAATGGTGAAATCCACTTAAAACATGCTTTTTAATGCTTATACACATTATACTCTTATCTTCAATGAACAGCTCAGGTACTGCCGAATTGGTATTTTTAACCAAAATTAACCTAGACAAGGGACATAAATGCTGACACAGCTTCAAACTCCTCTCATACCACCCCTGGTAGGCATGTTTCTAAATTGAGGGTAGAAGCTCAAGCGAAATTTCCTATTTCAAATCGTTTCTCATAGATTCAAAACATTGTTCACTCAATTATTAAAAATCTTGCAACAATAGATTTCAATGCTTATACTTAAAAGATATCCATATAACTTAGGAAAGCTTATGCTGAAGGTAGAGGTTGCAGAATATAGACCTTAACAAGTCCTCGATAACCCTCAAATACTAGTGAAGAATGGAAGCATTACCTCAGCGCAAATTTTACCAACAATAGAAATTGTCTCAACAGGGTACAATCCACGCAATGTTTCCGCACCAAGAAGAATAGCGTCACTACCTGAAACATAAACAGATATTTGCGGCAATAAGCAGAAACCAAATCAAGGTGTAAGAAAGACCACTGGTAAACCAGGTGAAGCATCATCAACTGCATTAAACAATACCAGGATGAAAAATTTCTGATGGGCACCAGTAGGGCATGGGCATGTTACGAGGAGAAAAGTAAAATAGAAGGCCTAAAAATGTGGAAGTTACCATCCAATACAGCATTCGCTACATCTGTTGCCTCAGCACGGGTGGGTCTCAAGTTGTCAGTCATACTATCTACAACACGTGTGACCACAGCTGGTTTCCCAGCCATGTTGCACTTGTGCACAGCAGCTTTTTGAAATAAAAACACCTACATTTTTGGAAAGGTGAAAACAGAATTAAGTGATGATCTCTATAAAAAAGCAAACCAGGACATAATGCATGAGCATTGGACACAGATGGCATAAGCAAAATGTCAAGCATTAAAGACCTATAGATTTTTCCAATCACAGAGTCTTCCATTTGGTAGCAGGATCTCGTCTGAAAAATTTTGTAATGCACCTACCCGAAAAATAAATGCTCAAACTACTAAACCAGACCTTCTCAGGGGGAAGATCGATTCCCAGATTTCCACGAGAAAGGATAATTCCATCAGCTTCTTGAAGGATCTCGTCAAAGTGAGTCAATCCCTGAAAGTAATCATATAACAAAATTTAACTTAAAAAATAATAAATGAACTAATTATAAACACAAAAATCCAGAAGTATTAAGAGAGTTCTGACCTCCACATTTTCAATCTTCGCAAATATGTGGGTCTGACTGAGGTCACCCAACTTTGAAAGAAATTCACGAGCCTGTGTAAAAGAATGGGTAATAAACATGTCAATAGAAAAAAGTACCGCCACTTTGATGGCATAACGTAATTCAGTTTCTTCATGGATCACTAGAAGAACATGTATAGAGCATAACTATGACACGTAGAAAGAAGGACCACACAGAATGCTTGAGACACTGATATAAGACCAAAAAAAAAAAAAATTATTCTTACATGCCGAACATCTTCTGCATGCCTTGTGTATGACAGTGAAAGGAAATCTATGTTGTTTTTGACACCCCAGGTGCTTATAACCTGAAAATAGAGAAAACATACTGTTAATAAACACGAACAAAACATTAAGCAAACATGATCAGAGACTCGCGAACATAGCCAGCAAAGAGTAAAGTAGTGCGGGGCAAAGCCCAGCTATTTTTTCCTTAAAGTGAAATTTCAATATCAAAGAAAACAGTTGGTCAATTCTCGACATCATTTAACCATTTACAACAAAGACATTTTATATGGATTCTCTTACTTATAATCAGACGTTAATTCTTATACAGGAAAAAAGGGCATATCATCATTACTCATGGTCCAAGCTATCAGTAGGCTTCTTTATTGAACTAGAAAGAGAGATGAGATTTACATACCTCCTTATCTTTTTCAGTCAGGGTGGGCAACTCAATGTGAATTTGAGAGACATGCAAAGTGAATAGGGACCCAGCCAATGTCGCTGAATTCTTGATAAGACAAACAACATCTTCCCCTTTCACCTCACGCACCTGCGGTATCAAGAAACTGTGTAAAGAAAAAATATGGGCAAGGTATCAGATCCCCACGCTATTTGCAAAATTCAACTATCCATGTTGCTAGGTTCATCCAAAGAGCGAGATAAGTGAACACCCCAAGAAAAGAGGAACAAACCCACAAGCACAACCCTCTGCATCATTCAGGCACCCAACTACCAAATGATAAATCAACTGCTATCATGAAATGAAGTCCCCTATCAAGCACATGAATTCTATGCAGATCCACTAGAAAAGGATTACCTCAAGCCAGACAGAGGTTGTCTCACTCCCGGTGAATAAGTATTGACCAATGAAAATAGTATCTCCAGTCTTGACAGCCTGTGACCAGTATTAAGCACATGAATTGACCAAAATACAGCAATAACATAGGTGGAGTACGAAAAAAATAACAACGATATTCCAGAGAATTGTTTCAAGTACAACAATATACAAATAAAATGCGAGTATAATGACAGATCTCGAAACACAATCACTAGAAACAAGATTGATAAACTAATTGGAGTAGTGAGCATTCTGAATAACTACCTTTGCTAACCCAGTGAAATTGATAGGGAGCAAATTAGAAGTAGCTTCCTTGCCTTGATCAGGCGTCAGTGTTACCAGAGATTCAGCTTCAAGCAAAATAGGTTGTTCTGTTTTGTTAACAACTTGTAATTCTGGACCCACGGTATCTAGCATAACCTGCTCACAACCATTTCCAAAAATTGAGAAACATCACAACAACAAAAAGAATGAACAGAAGAGAAGTGCCAAAGATACGCGTGAATTCCATTAGCACTGGCTTAAAGCAGGTCAAGCTTACCGCGCAAAGCTTCTTAGTACTCTTAATAGCCACCTTCAAGTTCTCCAATGTCTCTTGATGAAATTCAGCGGCACCCCATGAAAAATCAAACCTAGCCACTGGTAAAAAAAAAATAGCAAAGAAGAAGAACGTCATCATTTCTGACCCAACTTCCAGTAACTGATCTGTCTGGAATAAAGAGTGCAGAGAATGCGAGCAATGCGGCACACTATTGTCTCTCAATCTCCCATCATACAGTTCATACTCAGTTGAATAATCAAGAAGAATAGTTCAGAGTTACAGAAATCGTAGATCACCAGCAATTCTTTTTACCAAACATTAACTAAAAAGAAGCAAAAAATAACTGCCATCAACACAAGTGGGCATCTTTTTTCGGTATGGGATTCGCTCCAGCAGAACAAGAATTATAATTACTCGAAAGTGTTGGAGGAAGTACCGGACATTCCAGCCTTGAGACAGCCGGAGATAATCTCCACCGACCGCGATTTAGGACCCAGAGTCCCAACGATCTTGGTCATTGCAGGGAAGAAGTTCTGCAAAACCAAGTTCAACAAAATCAACAATAAGCATATAAATGAGATCAAGAACTTGCAACAACTAAAAATCAGCCCAAAAAATAAAATTAAAAAAATCAAGTCTTTATAAAACAGAATTGCAGAAATCAAAGAAAAGCAACCAATAAAATGGCAGAAGGAAAAAAAAAAAAAAAACTTACAGGCTTAGATGGCTCAAGAATTGAAGCCATCCGGATGGGTTCCTCAAGAAGCAAGTGATGGGAAGGCATAGTTTTCGGTTTGGGAAGAAATCAGTGATGAGCTGAGAAGGGAGAAACAATGGAAGGAAGAAGGTGTGTCGCTATGCTGTGTGTGTAAACAGTAATAATCTGACAAAGGTAGCGTGGAAAGAGCACCCAAAAATTAATAATATTTTAACTTTCTACTACTGTGATGAAATGAATGAAGAAGGTTTGATAAGAAGAAGAAAAATAAAGTTTGAATTTCCAGAAATAGTAGGGAAGAAAAACAAAGTTATAAATGGAATCTGGGCTTTTTAATCTGTGGGCGTCAATGGAAATTGGAAAGCTTCTCTCTTTTTTTCTTTTTTTTTTCCTGTAATAGTCAAAGAGATCTCTTTAACCGCTTTTACTTTCTCAAAAAAAAAAAAAAAATTAGATTGTGAAATTCGACTACTATTATTAATAATTATTCAAATTGTGAGTCTTTTGTAATTAGAAAAAAAATAAAATAAAATTCAAGTTTCAATTCTTCACAAACAGACAGTGGCTGGAAGAAAACGAAAATAAAAGTCGCACTCATAGAATTCAGTCCATACAATGTCTTCATTACATCCTATTAAAGATTAGCCTCCATTTCAGTAAATTCCATAATAAAAATAATTATTAGATGAATTCAAAAAGATTATGCAATGAGGCCGAAGCAGAAAAGGATTCCTATGGGTGCTGGTCAAACAATTTGGCAGTTACTAGTTAGTAGTAATTGGAAAGTTCGATACCAAAATTTGTTGGTTTTGACTTTTGAAAGAGTAAATGAAACCATTGACAAAGGCACAAGGCATACATTTTTTTTTTTTTAAAAAAAAAAACACTATTGTTGAGTATTGAGAACTACTAGTGAGGAGATGGAACAAGAATGAGTTTGAAGAAATTAATGTTAGTGTGAGATTGTTAGGCCTTTATGCTTTTTAATCACTCTTTCGGATTAACATTTCAAATGGTTTAGGGTATGTTTGTTTCGTTTTCTTAATGTGTATTTTTAGGTATTTTTTGTATTTGGAATGTAAAAATGTGTATTGATAATGTAAAAATATATACAGCCATGGGACAGTTAAAATAATCTAAAAAAAAAAACCATCCAAAAAGACAAACAAATAGAGCCTTAATTTTGTCGCAAACTGTTAGTATATAATATGATTACAAGACTGATTTTCATGGTATTTTTATTTTCTTTAATTATATTTTGTGGTCTTTATCCACGTATATGCACAACCAAAACGATTTAAAAGGATAGGGGAAAAAAAAAAAAGACTTCCTTAACATGATTTTTCATTATGTAAAATGAAAAGATGCTACTATATATGTCTCAAAATTATTGTCCAAGATAGATTTTCACTTTAAGTTCAATTTGTACTAAAAATAAACTCTGAAATCAGATAATAATTTCGAAACTGAGAAAGTATTTCGGTAAATACTAAATAGTACTACAATAGCAACCAAATGCCAAGTGTTATAATTTCCACACCGTGAAATAAACAAATAATTTTACATTTTTTATTTTTAAATTTTGTGAAATTAACATAATAAAAATAATAATTTTTCTTTGATGTGGGAAAATTAATCAAAGTACTGTAATTCAAACTAGATGATTGTCCAGGGCAAATGTCCGGGGGCGTCCTCGCACATAATAAATTGATATGTAAATAATTAAAACTGATTAGGAATGAATTTAGTTTTTGATAAGATAATTGATTGACCGAAAATTAATTTTTTCGAAAGTCCTAAATAAGTGGAAAAATAAAGTTCCATTCATTGTCAAATTCAAAATTTAAATGAACATGGTCATCTGATCTTTTTGTTAATATTGTAAATATATATTTTGTTTTTAAAAGGGAGTGACACGTGACAGAATGGTTTATGTAATATGGTGCATTTGGACCCAAAACATTTTAATAAGAAATTATCACATCAGTATTTTGTTTTCTGCTTTAACAGGGTAAAAGAAATACATTATTGACTATTTGAGCAGCGATTTTCCACAATCAAAATCAGAATAAAATTATTATTATTATCTAGACTTTTATCAACATCGTCGTCTTCGTTCTTTCCAACTAAATTCTCGTACGTTCCACCCCTCAAACCTAGTCTCTCCTTCACACACACACCGCTTCCCGAAACAATGGCGGACGCCCAACAGTCACCTGCTCCCGCCGGCGATACGAACCCTATTGTTGCTTTCTTCTCCAACTTCCTCAAAATCTTCAATCTCCCCTTCCCTTTTCCTCCTCCTGCTCCCAAAACCGAGTCAGTTGACTCCTCTGTTGATACTTCCAACGCCACCAAAGCCAGCCCTGTCTCCGGCGAAGTTGCGGCCCAGAATAAGAAACCCTCAGTTGTCCGATTCCCTCAACCTCCTCAGGAAGAGTCGTTCCCTTCTTTGAAAGTTGAAGGTGACGAGGTTCAAGAAACTAGCCCCTCCACTCTTTGGCAGGTTTAGTACTTCTCAGCCCAAATCTTTTGTTTTTTGTTCTTTTTCCTCTTCTGGGTTTTGTGTTTGTGTTTGTATTATTGGTTTATGCAGTAATTGCTTAAGGAGCGTTCTTTTGGTCTGTATTGTGCTCCATAAATATGACTACTGTTTTCGTTGAAATTGGAACTTTTTAAGCTTTGTTGATTCAGCACACTTTGTTTGCCTGTTGCACTAGTATAACACCCCACCAACCACTAAACCACTAGTAGAAAGTTAAGCTACAAGGGGTGATGGAGGAGAAGGTAAGGAATGAAACTGGTGAGCAGTCCCAGAGTCCCAGTTAAGTAAGGGCCAGGTAGACGGCAGGAGCAATTGATTTTGGATATTTTAGTAGTCAGGCGGAGAGTGAGTAGCCTGTGCGGAAGAAGGGCAGGAAGGCAGATGGGAGCAGGTGGGTAAAAACAGAGGGAGAGTGATAACAACGATGTGGAGAAGGGTCGGAAATATTGGGTGAGGTGTGGTCAGGAAAGGGAGGAGGAGGGTGAACAGTCGGTGGAGATTACCAGCAGGGCCTTGGTTGGTGTACTGCAGAGAGCAGGTGAGCCATTGATGTTCTCTTGATGGAGAAGATGAAGGGAGGAGTTGAAAAGAAGTATGTAGAATTATTTAATTTAGTCTCTTGAATTATGTTACGATTGAACCGAATCGAATATGAAGGATGGTTTATAATTTGATTTCATTGCTCGTGCCATTTTCTTATGTGGCAATGAAGGTTGGGTTCATTCTAATTTTTTATCCGTGTTATCGTCTTACCAAAGATTGCCTTATTTGCCTTATATTGAGCTGCTCTATGTACAGTTGATATCTTGAATGATGAAAATGATGATATTTAATTGCTTTCAGTTACAGCTACTCAGCATGTTTCTGTTGTGTGTCCGATTTTGTCATCGTAGTGAACAACTGAACATAACCATGTAAGATTGACGTGTATAGAGAAATTACCATAGGGAAAAAGAATCTAGCTTGTAAATGTTTTCAACAGAAAGGGATTAGTTAGCTGAAAGAAAGGCAATCAAGCTGGCTGCAGGCTATTTACTTGGGAATAAATCTAGGCCTGAAATGTTTGTAAGGATGGAAAACAAAGGAGAAACCGCTTTACCATCTACTCAAAGGTCACGAGAGCAGCTGAATTACCTTCTAATTTCTCATTCAAATCTGTTGCTCTGTTGAGATGAAACAATGTAAGAGATGGTTGTCCTTTTGACCATTTGGCATCGAAGGATGTATGATTCAAAAGTGGGCATCCATGTATAACTTCGACTCTAAGAAATTATAGACCGTAAGAAGAAATGCCATAAAGAAACCAAGAACCTGTCACTGAAGCTGGTAACTGTGGAATTAGTTTAAAACTGAAACTTGATTTATTTGGCCTCATTCATCTTGAATTACTTTATGACTGAAACTTGGTTTTATTTCACCTCAAATCCATCTTGAAAACTATGATATGTGAATAAAAAGGTTAGATGTTTCCATTTCTGTTACTTACTTGAGATCCTAGGCAGTTACAGTGCAATCAAGTTGGTAAAATGTTAAGTAGCGTGTTCTTGGAGGAAAACCAGGAAATGTTTCCATGTCGATTTTTAAACTTCAGTTTTTTTACTTTTCCCTTGATGGCCTACTACATTCAGGTTTATGCACTTGGTGGTTTCTTGGTCTTGAGCTGGGCATGGAAAAGATGGAATGAACGGAAAGGAAGCAAGAAGTCACCAGAAGAAGATCCTCCTGCTCCTGAATAGCTTGTTGATTAGTGATTACCCATCCCAACTATTATGTAGAAAGTTATGGAAACCACTTTCAAACGTATTTGCTATTAAATTATTTCTTTGGAGTTTGCGCTGTAAAGAATGAAACGGAGATCTAATAGTTTAAAAGTCTTTATTGCTTTCAACTTGCCATCTGTGGCCCTGATTTTGTCTCTTTTTTTTAATTTATTTTTTTACTTTCACTGCTTTGATTTGAGCTTCACTTCAATTCGCATGCTGGCCTTTGATTGTGTTCAAAGTGAATCTGCGGCTTTTATTTTTTATTTTGTCCCAGTGGCGCGGTTCTCTGTTTCTTTACTGCAATAATACTCTTTATTCCCGGAAGCACTCCTGTTCGGCAGTGAAGCTGCTTGAGTGGGAAGGGAGGGATGGAAGATTTGTAAAGTTGTCATTACTGATGGAGTTCAGAACAGGAAAGATTGTGCAATACTATTTTACAGGTCATTTAACTACCTACTTTGATTACGAAGGTATCTGTTTCTTTCTTGCTTTTTGGTGGACTGTACCGGAAAGTACAGAAAAATCGTTATAACTGATAAAAATTGGAAAGGGTTCAGAGAAGATTAGCATGGCTCATGCGCAGAAAGACCACCACAAATGGAGATGAAACATGACAATCAAAATGTTCACCCTTCACGTGCAAACAGCAGTGCGTATGAGACTGTTAAAAAGAAGGATCAAAGTGTGTAATACGCCTCTGGTTTGCCATAGAATTTGAAAATAATACTAAACTTTACAAGATTGGATGATGCAATAATAACAAGGAAACCTGAGAGTTTTACACATTGAAATCAATGGAAATTCGGGGATTACGTTAAACTTACTTCCTGCTTCGACAGCTAATTGGTATCTCTCTAAAACTCCTCGGGCGAATTAGGTCGTTCGTAACTTCCTTGCTCCACAGATTCCAGCTCCTACATTTAACTTGCGTTTAAGGCATTACATATTCAGGGTGCGCCAGAATTTTTTAGGGTCTTACTGTCATCATATTAGCTGCATAGAAAGCATGAGCAACAAACGCGTCGAGTGAAAAAAGGAGGCCTCAAACTCATGATCACTCTAATATAGCATCAACAACTTGCCTTTAAAGGAGAAGGTTAAAAAAAAAGCCTGCATCATGAATAAGACGATTTTCAGCCTGGAATACAGCACCTAAACACAAACACACACTTTCAGCTGCCGGAAAAGTTTTTCTGAATAATCTTGATTGTTATAATCATATATGGCCCAAAGTCCTCATGTTCTCATTTTCCCTTTTCCTGTTCAGGGCCATATTAATTGTATGCTGAAGCTTGCTGAGCTTCTGTGTTGCAGTGGCCTCCATGTTACATTTCTCAACTCGCATCACATCCATGAACGCCTTCTCTGTTGCACCGACATTCACCAGCATTTTAACCAGTATCCAACTTTCCATTTTGAAACGATTTCAGATGGACTACCCGCAGATCATCCCAGGACTGGCGATCGCGTTGTGGAGCTCTTTCGCTCCATAAACACCATAACCAAACCTGAATTCAGGGACATACTGATCGGTCTTCACAATCCTGATGGAAGACCACCCGTTACGTGCATTATTGCCGATGGAATCATGTCTTTTACCGTTGATGTTGCCAAAGAACTCAAGATTCCTACTATCTTGTTCCGGACTGTGAGTGCTAGTTGCTTCTGGGCGTTTCTGTCAGTTACAAAACTCCTTGAAGCTGGCGAGCTTCCACTGAACGGTACAAGTATCATAAGATTTTGTGGATTTAAGTTTTGTTATTTTGCTGACATCGTGTCAAATCCTTACAATATAATTTTTTCAACAAGTATCTCTAACAAATCAATCTTTGCAGGTGAAAGTAACAGGGACAGGTTACTTTCCAATATGCCTGGATTGGAAAGCTTTAGGTTGCGAGATCTTCCAAGCTTCTGTCGTACGAGTAATCTGTCTGACTCTGGCTTCCAAGTGGTCATATCTGAGACTTTGCAGAACCTCAAAGCTGATGGTCTATTACTCAATACTTGTGAAGAAATAGAAGGTCCAGCATTATCATACATACGAGAGCTCATGCCAAATCTGTACACAGTTGGACCACTTCACGCGCACCTGAAGTCCCGAGCGGGGTCCAATCCAGCGCAGCAGAGGACATCTTCAAGTAGCCTCTGGACAGAAGATAGGAGCTGCATGACATGGCTTGATAGGAAGCCACATAAGTCTGTGGTCTATGTGAGTTTTGGAAGCATGACTGTGCTGACAAAACATCAGCTGTTTGAATTCTGGCACGGCCTTGTCAACAGCGGGAAGACTTTCCTGTGGGTTATAAGACCGAAATCAGTTAATGCTGATGGCAATGTTCCAGCAGAGCTTCGCGAGGGTACGAGGAAAAGAGGGTACATGGTGGGATGGGCACCACAGCAAGAAGTCCTCGCACATCCAGCCATTTGTGGATTCTTGACTCACAGCGGCTGGAATTCTACGCTGGAAAGCTTATATGAAGGCGTGCCGATGATCTGCTGGCCTTTCTATGCGGACCAACAGGTGAACAGCAGGCTTGTCGGGGAGGTATGGAAGGTCGGATTGGACATGAAGGATACATGTGATAGAGCCACGGTTGAGAAGATGATCAGAGATCTGATGGAAGTGAAGAGGGACGAGTTCATCAAATGTACAAGAGAGAAGTCAAAATTGATCAGAAGATCTGTTGAACAAGAGGGCTCATCATACTGCAACCTGGAGCGCCTGATTGAGGATATAAAACTTATGAGCTGCGCCAATAATGGAGTTCATCAGAATTTATATACCTGAGCTCAAAAGAACATCTTCGTCCTCGCTATCTAGTACACATGTTTAGAACATTTTTTTCCTTGAGGGTACGTAGCTTTAGAATTCTTCTTTTTCCTTTCTTTTTTTTTTTAATCTTTATTTTTACTGTTGAACTTCAGGAATCAAAATGTTTGTATTCTGTCAGTTGTATCAATCGCGATGAGTAAGGCAAGGCAGCCCTATTCTTCGGATTCTTAAATTGCTATTCACTGGAGTCTGGACCATAAATAACATTTACTTTGTATCCATAAACACAAGGAAACTGAAACTCTACATTTGAAATACAAGATGAAGAAGGTATGAGGACATTAAGTATGAAATTGATATATAATTAATGCTAATTAATGGCATAATATCAATATGTATACAAGCTAGTCTTTTTCCAGAAGAATGCCAACTTGACAGGTACAAGTAATCAGGAGTTCTGGACCAACTCAACAAAGTCACTTTAGAATGCCAGTGAGGTACTCTCCATCTATTTCTTCACAAAAACTAAGGATGGATAGCACAGTACTATACAACGGAGCTGTACAAGTAATCATGGCCCATCTCCGCTACTCGGACCTATCTTTCTGTACTGACTTTATTTGTATCTCCAAATGTCTTCTCTCCTCGAACAAAATTTCTGTTGACTATCAACCAAACTACACTACATATCCTTCTTTACAAGAGATACTCACCTGCTCAACAAAGCGCAAGCATCATTCTAAGATTTAAACCCTAGTACGAAACCACCGGTCTACTTTGGCTGAAAATAGCCATCATATATCGACAGCCGATCAAATGCATCAAAATTAGCTCTTAATCCAACAAATTGACTTCCAAACTGAGCACAACCAGCATCTGGCCATCTGCATCCTCCCTCCCTTGTGCGCAATGGGCACAAAGATTCACAAAACTGGTTAACTGGAAGATTGGAAACGTCAGAGGCCTCTGATTTTTCATTATCGTTTGCACTATGAGCTGATCCCTCATTTGCAGATATATATACAGATTTTTGAGGGATTTCAATGGAATTGCTTTCAATTCCAACAATGCAGTCACCATCTTTGGAGAAGATCACTTTACAACCAAGTGATTGTAAAGCACGCTTTATTGCAGCACACTCCCTGGTGGCACTGCTGGCCAGATCCTTAGCTGAGCTACTCATCAGCCTCTCATTTCTCAACTCTGCATCCAATGACTCCTTAATAGCAGTGGTTTCTCTAACTTTTATTTCCACCGCTTCTTTTTCCTGTAACATAACCAAGCAATCTTACAACTTCTAATAAGATATATCTACTTATAGAGGATATAACTTACAGTTCCAAAGCCCAAAATTATTATTTATTATGAGCATGTTTACCAAAAGTAATCACGGCATAGCTTCTATCAAGATATTCAAAATGTAGAATGCATACTCACTATAAACGGGCGAGGCAATGAATACCCTACTGTTTACTTTATGCGAATCTTTTAGCCAAAGAAGATTTCCATACATTCAAATAGCAAACTAGAGTCTGAGAGTCCTTTACCATGTTAAATTATTACATCGAAACAAGTATACTCTCCACACCCCAAACAAGAATGAATCATACCGGAGGCATCAAAACATTACTACAGAATGAAAGCAGACAAACATTTTAGCAACATAAATGCCATTTACCTTCTGTAGTTCTGTGCACTTTTTAACCATGTTCCTACATAGTGCTTCAAGTTCTCCACCCTCTGATTCCTTGGGGCAAGACCATCTAAGGTGGAATTGTGGCCAGACTGTAGGAGCTAAAGCAGCAGCTGGTGGCAGTAGTGCACCATCATGTTTTGAGGGTTCATAAAATGGGTTATAATGCATATGCGAACCTCCACCTGAAGCTCTCAGGTCGGCCAAATACACCCACAAACAGCCGCACGAGTCAGAAATACCAGCTTGCTCTCTTTCTTTCTCACTGAACTCGTTCGAAAACAAAAAAGAAACAAAACATTCATCAGAGACAAGTTCATTTAATGCATTAAACCGAGCTAACATACATGAGATGTGACATCTACAAAACAGGCTAATTTGTAATTCTTGAACATCTGCCAATCCCAATGAGGACATATATTGTCCCAGACTCCAATAAGATTATGATTACAATATAAATATAGCATCACAGCCTTGCAAGGTCAGTTGAGTTATTACTAATCCCGCAAAATCTGAAGCTTTTTTTTTTTTTTTTGTTGAAGAACTAAAGATAGGTTTCCTCTACAGCAGAGTTTTCCAATCAGAACATACTTAACACTCCTCCAAATTCACAAAAATTATGAATTGGCAGAGTACTATACAACAAGAAAAACCATGGATCACCATAGCAAAGCCAAAGCACCATACAGCTAAGGCCAACAACATAACTAACCGACACAAAAGATTAACCATACCTGTTGCACAAGAAATTTCCAAATCTACAGGAAAGCATTCCATCCAATAAATCAACCAGGAAAGCCTGCATTTCAAAATGATTTTAAGCCACCTTGAGGTCACATAGAAGAAAAGAATTCATCAGGAACCAAAGAGAGATTCATACCGAGGAGAACTCAAAGGCAAGTGGATACAGCCGTAACAATTGTGAAACACAGTCAACCCACTGCAGAACAAAATGGTACGCAAATCTTACTAACAGTTGGTTAAATTAAAAACATCTCAAGCACAATTGAAAGGGCGATGCTGTAATACCAGATCAAATTTCATCATTCAACAGCCAGCAAATTATAGGGGAAAATGACATTCAGCACAAGCACTACCCATTTATGATTTCCTAGAAATACTGATTCCCATGCAGAGGAGAAATTTCCATAAACATAAAATTGATTATAAGCCGAAGTATAAATTCATACCTCAAGTCAGAAAACCCGTTAAGATAATCTCAACAATTACTTTCAAAACAGAAGAGAAAAACTACAAGAAACTAAAACTTCTCGTCGAGAAGTTAAAGAAGGAAATGATCAATATGAACAAAGACCAAATACATAACGACCCCAGCGCATAAATTTTCTGAAAATTGCTCTTTCTAAACACTTCTATGACAGGGAAGGGAAAAAAAAAAAAAAAAAAAGCCAAAATGTGAATTTCAAAGGACAATAATCATAGATCAATGCAGATGAAGGAAAGAGCAGAGACAACATTTTGCAAAGCTTATGGGGCATACCTGCAGAAAGATAGGCGAGTAATTATTTTGAGCATGCGAATTGGGTGGAGCTTGTGATGTCAATGAGCCTGATGCTTGCCGTGAGGGGGAGGCAGAAAAACTCCCAGAGGAGGACTGCCTAGACAACTCAAAGGGCATGCTGCCACTTACTGTCACCGATGGCATTCCAGCCCGATCTGCAAAGGGATGACCAAATGCGAGCCAGTCCTTCTCCACGAGTGCCTGAACCAGTCAGATAATTAGACAACTGATGCAGGCAAGGAAATCTAACCAAGAAACACGTACACATCCTCAACTTATCGTTAAAAGTTTCACAACAATAATCAAAAGTTTTACTTCACTGAATTTATCAAGCAAAATAATCGAACGTTTAAAAGTCTCCAAATTACAGGTATAAAATAAGCCATAATTTCCAGAGGTAGAAAACAAGACTATAAACTCTCATGGAAATAGGCGAGTGTTCTTCTATTCAAACTTACTAATTACTAATAGGCCAAAGTTTTGAAGCAAAGCCATTACTCTTAAAGATAAGCATACTCAACGCTTAGTAAAGAACACAAAACCTGCTGCTTAAACCTATATATTCTGGAAAACATTAAACAAGAAGTGGAAGTAGATCAGCAGATCAAGCGATTACCTGAAAGCCTTTAATTGTCCGGTAATATGGATCAAGCATCAAACAGGCAAGTGAGACCAACTGAGTGGTTCTGTCCCAACCATCACTGCAACATAAAATTATACAGATTAGCAAATTGTAAATGATAAAAACATGAGAGATGAAAACATTAGGGTGCAAAGAGCATATTAAGTTCAGTAGTGGAACCACGTGATCATAGATTACATCATCTATACAACTCATCCGGAAAATTTGATACAAATTAAGGTGCACCAGTCCAAATGCAGATGTAAGAAGCAATAATGAAAACTAATGGTCAAATTATCTCTGTTCTCTATCGACTATTCCTCAAGGTTAAATTGATGAGAGCTTTTCGTCCAGAAAGTACACAGTCGTAGGAACTTTTACTAGAAGAAATGTAAAGATCATAGTCCACAACAGATTCAGTAACTATTCACTACCCCTGCCAACTATGGTGAGTATCATAACCAGAGCCTCAATGTTGATGCCCACAACAAGTAAATCGAAAGCAATGGCGAACAGTTAGAGAAGTTGGTAGAAAGAACCCAATTTTACACCATTTAACATTTCTGTAACTGAATGGTCTTCTAATCCAGAAAAAAAAAAGAAGGAAGACGAAGAAGAAGAAAAAGAAATTTATATTCAAGAAGACTGTCAAAAAATCTCCTCAAGAAAAGGAAGGGAAATGAAAAGACAACTATCATAGTATATATCAAATCAAAAATCTTACCTACAATGAACAAGAACTGATGCTGACTCCAAAGCCACTCGTGCAGCAATCCAAGCTGAACCAGCCAAGAGACTCTGGACATGTATTAGCCAACCACTGTCTCCTAAAGTTGAAACCGAAGCAGACATACTGCTAAGATTACCTCCTCCCCAAGTCCATCCTCCATGTCTCTGTATGTCAAACCAACGAACAAACAATTAAAATGTAAAACTTGTGACAAAAAGAAATTTATAGATGTTATGGAGAATTAAGCACAGCAACACAAGATCTCCAGCAAAGATGGTAAGGCAATGAGAGTATGAGACAGCAAGAACATTAGAAGGCAACAGGAATTAACACAGTAAGGCAACATGTTATGATGAGACAAGAGGTTGAGTAAAACTACCATACCCTCATAGGATGTGTTACAAAAACAAAAATTAACTAAACAACCAAATAAAATTTGGACAACGAAACACAAAGAATCACAGCAGTTAAAGAGAGTTTCAACATCGTACAATTTTCCTCCAAGTGGCGTCATTATCATTTTAAAATGGGTCAACACTGACATCAGAAGCAAAATATGCATAAATTACTTGTTTAGAACACCCAAAAAAAAAATCAAAAATCAAAAAATCTTACGACCACTAACAACATGCAATTTTTGAAGAGATTCAAACTGTACCAAGAATGATGACATTCCGTCTGATGATGTGGCACCGTGAGTATCTAGGTATTCTCTAAGCCGAACAAGACTCTCCCGCATTGCATGTATATTGTCTATCCCAAAAAAGACGACCTGATAGACAAAGTAAACAAAAAAAAAAATTGACGTTCAAGATAGAAACCTTCAGAGGGCTCATCAATAGTTAAAGATACGATGCGTAGCTCAAGCCTTGCACAGACCTCTGATTGGAAATAATTAGAAGATGACTCTGATCCACCTCCCATAGCACCATTAGCTAGAGCATTTTTCCGAGGCCTTGCATCAGCAATATACAGCTTCCTATAGAAAAAAGAGAGGGGAGAAAAAGAGGGGAAAATTTTCAACAAGTGATGAAAGAAATCAAATTGACATACCCTTTCACTATTGTTTCATGACACAACCGCTATAACAGTGAACTGACCACTAGATATATTTCCAGTTTCAAGTAAACAAGAATAGGAAGAGGTAGTAAAAACAAAGACGATAAAATCAAACAGAAACCAGAACATAGAGAAACTGAAGTGTTCATGAGAGATGGACCAGAAACTGAAGCAAATCAAGGAGAATTTTACCTCCGCTGCTGCTTTACTCCAAAAAGTTGCGTACAAGTTGCAGCTACTAGCTTCTCATCAGTATCACTGGCAGATAAAAACAACATTATTTCCTCAACCAAAAGACAAATATCATGAGTAGAGACAGTTCACATTCGTATTTTATAATTAATAAAGATAGAGAGCAATCTATACGACCAACAATATATAGTTTTACATAGAAATTGTACCATAAAATTCACCTTCTCATATTCATCATTATGCCAACTAAAGGTTGGGATGATCTTGCTAGCACAGCACCAGTTTCTACATAATGAGTTCAACGAACAGTAAGTAAGAGACTACTTTAATAACATAGTATAACTGGAGAATCATATGTAATGAGTAACGAAATTATGTCAAATGCTGCATACTTTGGTCACACCAAGAAACAGCAGGCAACCGACATCTTGCACGGAATCTACAAGCTTGCTGCAGTTCTTCATCACTGAAAATCAACAGTTTGGAAACTATAACATGCACATCACAAGAGGCTAATAGCTAAACAAACATTGCAGCAGAATTTGGCTTACCTAATAGATCTAGGGACCAACAAAGCAAATGGATAGGTGGGGCACATTGAATAACTTGAATTTACACTGCTTATTCTCCATAACTCATTAGACAAAGTGAACGAACCATCTTCAATCATTCTGATTGAAGCATGATATGAACTCAGCCCAAGAAGGCGGAAGTACTCATCCAGCAACCGTACTTTAGGGTCACTATTCATGAATCTGGATGGACCACAAGCAAAACAATAGAGATCCCAAATTCTTAATGGCCTTGTACACCTCAATAATGCGTCATAAACAGCCCGCCTCTGCATGATGTATCAGAAACACATTAGTACCGAATTTTACCACCTGACGTCACCTTTAGTTTGTATTGAAAGAATTACGAAATGCACTTCAAATAGTTCCAGTAAGAAATCTAAAAGGAGACTGTAATATCTGCTAGCCATTTGGAAATGTGAAAGCGTGAGTTAGATCTGGAAGTGTTTCTAGATCTACCCTCCAAGAAAGTGGGGAGTTGATAAAGAAGTACACATAAAAATCAAACAAACTGGACGAAATGGAGAGGTAACATCATTTACTTCTCGATCATACAGTGCCAAGGCAGTTGGAAGAAAAATTTTGCCAAATAGCCATAAGAGCAGCGGTGTTCTATAAATTACAACATTGGACAACCAACTATACGCACATGAACAAAATACGGGGCACCACAAATTAGAAAATTGAGATAGATGTTTAGACGGCATGCAAAAGAAAAGTATTAACTTCAATTAGCACCGAAGCATAAAGGCAAAAAGGTCTTGAAAGCTAACGTAACAAATTACAATAAACATCTTAGCACCAAGAAGAATCTTCATTTAAAAAACAGATGATAGGTTAATCGTGACCCATATAGCCAATCCTACAAGTTGGGATAAAGAACTAATTATTACAGACACTTAGCAAAACCATATTTATGCACCTAACGTTGGAAATAGAGAAATAAAACATCCATTAATGGGAAGAGACCAGAGGGTCATAAACAAGCAGGCAATGAACATTAACGATTTTAAGGAAATTAAATGAAGAAAGAGCAAATCATTGAATAAGCTGAACTCAGAGTCGGATTAAAAAAAGATTCATCCTAACCTGCTTCGTACGAGGCCGAAAAGCAAACACAATCGTTCTCATGTCTTTGCCTGCCAAACCAGTGAAGGTTAAAAAGTCAATCCAAACCTTCCACAAGCCCATGAGGGAAATCAATAATTTACTTGAAGCTATTACTGCCGGGTCAAAAACACCACTTAAATACAGCCACCAACCAAATGATGATTACCAAGTCAGTGAGTATTCTTTTGCGTCAATTATCTTTGATGATGCTTTTAAGCTGAAATGATCAGGGAATCCTATCTATAAAGTACAACCTCCATTCAAACTGGTTATGTCATGATTTATGTGCAATTCTGGAATTTCTCACACAAGGGCACCATGCCTGAGAGGTTCCAGAGACATGTTAATGCAGTCTCACATAATAGACTGCTCCATAGAATTCAAGTAAGAAACAAAGGGATCAATCTATCAGTTGGAACAGTCCATCCAAAACGAACAGATGTATGTACCCATGTCTCTCATTAAACACCAAATTCCTTATACCAACCCACCACACAACCAACAACCACAACCCACCCCCACTTCGCTCTCCTTCCACGAAGTATATATGTGGCCCCAAAACTCAAAAACAAAATAATATGGGACATGCTAAAACAAGATACTGTAGCAGAAACAGTTTAGCTAAGCAATTAGAGTCCAGCACATACCAATGACCTGAAGAAGTCGCCGAGAAGGACTTCGGTCAGACTGGCGCGGGCCTGCTGGGAGCTTAATAGCCTGCACCTCAAAAAGAAATAAATAAGAAGAATAGAGGGAAGTGTGAAACAACAAGAAAACAAATAGAACAACTACCAGCAAAGTCTTCCAATCAGCACAGACTAACAAACAAGCTCACGAACTAATATAAATCCCGGATGCCACAGGATTATGGGAAGTAAATGGAAGGTTACACAGTGCAAACAGAACTTACAATTTTACTGAACTTCTCGATTGTTCCAAACGGAATAGTGCCAAGCGCAATGATGCTCCGCGAACCATCACTCTGAATCGGAAAGCAACAAAATTCTACGTAAGCAGTTAAGAAAGTTGATTAACGAAAAACCTAAGAGATCTTATGGATTGTATCATGAACTTGGCGGATCTTGGAAATATGTTCTTTTAACACTCACGCATGAACATAAGGGTCCATCCATAATCAGCACTACAACAAATGATAAAGATTTTAGACAATATTAACTTATCTGTGCATCTATGTTGAACATGAGTGTACAAGAGGCTTGAGTGTACAGCGCACATAAGCTAAATTAATGTATGTACAAGTTGTATCATTCTGTGAAATGAATTTTCTTGGCATAAAAGTAAATTCAACATAGTAAACTGTTGTTTAAGCAAAACAAAGGTTCTTGCTAATTTCATAGAAAAGTAGACCCAAAACAAAATGAGAGAGATCAATTTCAGTTAGCCAAAGAATCTAATGAGCCTTCAAAGTAGAGACCGTGAGACATTACACAAACAACAGCAGATATCAGTAAGTTGGAAGAGCTAAAGCTGAACTTAGTCCCAACAAGTTTCACTTATGCGAAAAACTTGTCAAGATGAAAATGTACCGAAAACACTCCTCAATATATTCTCCCCATATTTCAACATGAGAAATCAATAACTACTAAAACATTGGTTGGAATAAGATTCCAAAGACTCCACCATCTACTTTTATAACATATCATAAGAAACACATAAGTGGCCTTTCGTGAAGTGACTCACGTTAACAGGGACTATGTTAGCCCAGAAAGTAACAGAGAACTGGTGACAAAGAAACTGTGTTACTTACCAGAAAAAGAAGACGAAAATTAGTTACAAACAAGGTTCCAGCCTCATCCGTGTTAACAAGAACCACACCATATCCCTGTAAACAGACCTTTAATTGTCAGTAAGCTTTCAAAGTGCCCGCACTATGTATTGAGGTGGAACAAGGTACAGGAAGGAATCATACATGTAGAATAACATCAAAAGAGCAGAAAAAATAACTGCATATTGGGGGTGGTCCAATTCGATGTTCTTTTGAGATTGATAGGGTAGGTTGAATATAGAACACTTCAAGAATGTTTGAACTACTTAGAATACTATCCGGCCTGTGCTTTGATGAAAGGCTAAACATCATATATTTGACTAGCATATGAATCGGTTCCTGCTACCGACTACATCTACAGAGTGTCGATACAATTCCATAAATATTCACATTCATTATGAAAGCAACAGGATGAACATTCTGAGTGATCAAAACATGAGTCAGAATTCTAACATTCCCGAATTCCATTTATTAACCATACCTAATGTCATTCCCACCAACTATCAATAAGCAATCTGAACAAGAACCATGACAATTATAACGAGAAAAAGGAGGAAAAAATTTCATAGGCATTGCACAGACCTCCACGATAACATGCTCGGCTTCGAGCAAAAATCCTTGTAGTCCAAGAGGAACCGAGCCCGAACCAGGCTGCTGCAAATTGCAAGAAAATCAAATTTCAATCGTCAAAGAAAAATCCATAATCAGAAGAACCCTAATTATTAAGAAGAAAGGAGGGGGGAATCAAAGAAACAAATACCACGATCTTAGACCAGTCCACGGCTTCCCAGCTACCAGCGACTTCAATTTTCTCGGGTTCAGAAAGACGCGGGTCCGGGTCACGGTGGGAGGTGGATCGCCCGGACCTACTTCTGGGGATGTCCATATCAGCGGCTCCGTCGTCGTATTTTGGAGGCGGCGACTCGAAAAGAAAGTCACCTATTAAGACGTTTCGCGGTAGCAGTACGGTAGTATTATTTGTCAATTAAAGAGTTTCTATTTCTTTTCTTTTTTTTCCCCAATAAATTAGTATTAATACTGCGCTATTATGATACTCCCATAGGAGAGCAGATCGTCTGTCCATCTCTCCCCTGTCTTATTCTGTCTAGGAGGTAAAACGGCTGCAACTCTCCCCTGTCTTATTCTGTCTAGGAGGTAAAACGGCTGCGTTTTGCTTGAGAAAAGGCTGGTCTTCGCTCTTTATCTTTACTGTTTTTTCTTAGGCAAAGTTTTTTTTCTTGGAGAAATTCCACCTCTGGAATCCCCTATTCTTTCACTCCAGCCTTCAATCTCTTTAATCCTCTCCCATCACAACCAGTTACACAACAAAGTTTTTACTCCGACAACACCACAGTATCCAAATTTTGAAAACTTATCGTAGTTACGAATAGTGAAAAAAAAAAAAGAAGAAAGAAAAGAGAGAAGTCAATCACCCAACTTTACACTGAACAACTAATGCAGTAAGTCAATTTTTTTTTCCAAAAGAACAGTTCTTTACATGAACGGCTAGCCAGAATCCCAATTCACATGAATATCAGAAAGAAATTTACAAAAATAAACACTCCAGTAATTCTTCAACTACAATTGAAAAAACAAATAAATAAAAAAAATTATTACATCAAAAGCGAACTTGACAGTTACAGCCTCTTCAAGAACTCATATTCACCCACTCTCTGTTCCTTCTAAGGTTAATTATGAGTAAAATCTGCCGATGAAGATGATGAAAATATTATGGTGAAACCATTTCCAAACACAAAATTGATCGGAACGAAGAGCTCAACACAAAATTGACCGGAACGACGTCAATATGAAACTAAACATCTAAAATTTCGAAAAATTTCAGCAATTGAAGAAAGATTGTAGAAATGGTAGAAAGATTGATGTCGACGGTGAAAGGTTGAAGCCAAAAGAGGTTTGAAGAGAGGGAAAAATGCCGAAGAAAGAAGAAAAAATCGAAGTGAAAAATTGTCACCTCCCTTTTAAAGAAAAAAGCGGTCGTATTGATCACTAGACAGAATAAGACAGGGAAATGCTGGACAGACGATCTCCTCTCCTCCAATAGGTTTCCTTGTCGAAATAGTAATATACTTTCGTGTACAATTTTATGTTGCAAAAAAAGAAAAGGAAAAAAAAAAAAAAAAACTGATTTGGTGGATTAGGTAAAACGTGATGTAAAGGACACGTGAGCGACAAGTGGGGTCCGCCAGCAAGGGCGGTTGGATAATCAAGGTGTCGGGCTAGTCAAGTTGTAGACAAAATCCTTTTTGTTTTTTGTGTGTTGGCTATCGGAAATGTTTTTTAAAAAAAAACAAAAGAGAAAAAAAAATTAAAAGAGAATCTCTTACTGCAAAAGAAATTTCATAAATATAATGTGGGAGATATTTTTCAAATTTCAATCACAACTGAGAACGAAATTTTAGAAGAAGAAAAAGTTGCATCTGGTTTCATTATTTTCTTTTAAAAAAAAAACCCCAAAAAATTTGTTGCATTAACTTCCTATGTGGTTGGTTATAAGAAAATTCTTTACCCCAAAAAATTACTATAACTTTTTGATTCTTTATGCCAAAAAATTATCTGTAACTTTTTGATTATACACTTTAATTGGGTTAACTTCAAATTCAATATTACATCTCTTAAAAGACGGAAGGACTATAGTGGCTTGAAACTCCATCGTCCGAAGTCAAATCGTGATTAAAGTATAATTTGGTAGGTATAACATACTCTCGAAATGTACTAAACTGACATTGAATTTCATGCCTCCTTCTTTGTAATCTAAAAATAATAATAATAATAATAATAATAATAATTTAAAGAAAAATGAAAACATTAAATTGTTTAAATGTTTAATGTCCTTTATGAATTTGATCTCATTAGAATAAAAGATGTCTCATCTCGGGATCAAATCCCACCAAGAGTAAGGAATTTGACTATTTGATGTGAGGAATCACATGTAAGCCAATAATCTCATACATAAAAATTATTTTTGAATTGACATCAACTTATGAACTAAGTAAATTACGACTCCTAAGTATTACAACCTACCAAACTCCAATCTCATCGTTACTTTTCAACAATACGTAGCGAAATGCATCATTAACTTGACCAAAAACTAACGTAAACAAAACCCAAAAAAAAAAAAAAAATTATAATAATAATAAAAAAATGCCGGAACAAAATTGATTTTATTAATCTAATAGTTGTACGTATGTTGACTAATGATGTATCACAGAGCTTTGCAAGAAAGGCCGCATTGACTTTTAAGGGTTGGTTTTTTCCCTTCCAGACCAATCGGATCTGAAGTCCGAAGTCTGAACCAAGAACAATGATGTTTATTTTTTTGATCTCGCAAGTAACATCCAAAAAATTGCTCGAACTTTATGTCATCTGGGGGTGTTCTGAGAAAGTGCCATGAAGATAAACCGCCTCAACATTTTATCTGCAGCAGCAAAGTTACAACACCAGTAAAGATTTTGCACACCATTTATCAAACTAATGATGCATTAAAACATTAATGCCGACGGAAGATTGGCAAACTCAATATCAGATTGATTGTTATATCGAAAAGGAAAACACAGGGGAGACATATTAGAACCTACAATGATAACCAGTGGAAGAACCATTGAAAAACTTATGTCAGACGTCCCTGTTTGATAAATTAGAAATTTAAACAACTGCAAAGAGGCTCTCCGTAAATAATAAAGTTTTGTCACACCTGACTTTAGCTCACATTAATCTTGGTATTCCAAAAGAAATAAGATGCTGAATTTTCAAGTAAACTACATATCATCACTGATTAAAACATACCTTAGAGAGATCTTAAGAACCATATCGTATGGTCAATCAAGTGATCAAGTCATGACATCAAACAGAATGAATCCCGCAGAAGGTTTTGCAAGACTGGGGTGGACAAATCATTTGAGCCGTCGCTGAAAACCACTGTCTGGGGAGTCCCTGAAATAGATTTCTTAATGACTTTCACACTATTCAAAATACCATTATCTGCATATGATTCCAAACCATCAATGACCTGCACAAGTGAGTAGATTTAGCACAGATCAGAACAGCATGAGATAAAGGTTTTGAAGTAGAAGTCCACAAAAAAGTTCACGATAAGCTTTTTAGTGCAAGAAACAATGGGTTAAATGAAGAAAAAGATTTAGACAATAAGAATATCTAACTCGTCAAATTTATCCAAGGAGAAAGAATGAAAGGTGCAGAATCCAGAGTCAGTGGAGCAGAAAATCCACAGCACTTGAATAAATCAAAGGCCTTATACATTTACCAAAACAACTTCAAACCCTGACGCAATTAATGCCAACAAAAATTATATATTTTTTAAAATTCGACCAGCAATCAACATGTTTACCACCCACACAAGTAGAATATATCTCCTCCTATTCCTTTGAAGACACCAACTCATCTTCATTTGAATATTTTACATTCACATTTATTGGATGTCCCTGAAGGAACAAATTTTCTACATTAACACCCAACAAAAAATGGCAAGTGGATTAAAAAACTTGACATGAACTGCACAGTGGTCTATTTACTCCAATTCCCAAATGTCCAACTATCTTTGATCACAAAGAAAACAACAAATTCAGCTCAAGAGTAGGCAAATTTTTTTTTATTACCTTATCTATAATAATTGCTGAGAAATAAAAGCATAATACAGAAAAAGGTGAATCGTGGTATTGTAGGAAATCCGTTGATGGAAGATATTTATAATTACCAATAAGGACACTCCACTGATGTTGATCTCATTCAAAGAAACAAGCTCCAGAAGTCTCTCTGGGGTGGATATCAGAAATTCTGGCTCACAACTTTTCAACCTATCCAGAGGGAAAAATGCAATGATGTAAGCTGAAGGCGTGTGACTATCCAATGGAAACAAAATTCTGAAAATGGCTTCCACCAAATACCATGAAAACCAGTTGATTAAACTCCTACTGAAGTCTGAGATTTCAGGATAAATATGTCTAGAATGTAACTGCACACTTAAGAACCTATGTCAATCTAAAAAATAACACCCCAGAACTACGCATGTCAATCTACAAACTAACACTCCAGAAATAAGCAGGAGGCAAGGCAACAAAATTCAACTGTGAAAATTAACAACTCGAACCAACAACATTCCCGTCAGTCTCCAGCCTATTTCAAAATTGAGTACAAAATTCTTCACGAGTCTTGACATAATATTAGAAGTATTACAAAGGTCGGAACATCGTAAGAACCAATAATAAAATGCAATTTTGTAAATTTGGCGTGTAAACTAATAATGACGTAAAACAACTTTTAATCCTGTCAATAGAATGTTTACATAAGAAATGTACCCAGATGGCCAGATTTACAAGAACGGATCATTTGATCATTGCAAACATCAAAATTAGTACACAGAAATGAGAATGAGAGCAGCAGTTACAACTGACCCGTGAATTTGATGATTTATTGAAGCACCAGGGTGCAAACTCACTGAATGTATTCCTAGCGCTTTCAAAGGCTTGCAAACTCTGCGTACCTGAACTCCATAAGAAACATGATTACAATTGAAAGGAAGAGCTTTGAAGGTAATATAATTAGTTTCAAGTGAACAAATTTGTCAAGACCTAATGATAAGATTTTGTCATCCAAAAATATTGAACTCTTACTCCAACAACATCAAAATTTTAATCTTTTAAACACAGCTACTACTCATTCCCCAAGTCAAAGCAGAGGAGAAGGGAAGAGAAGCGCCAAGGCCAATTAACGATATAAAGTCAAACACACCATACAAGAAGGCTTCAACAGGAGAAAATAGCAACAGAGAATCATAGAATGGCCATGTGCCACTGTTTCGGCCCTCTCAATATGTGAAGTGAAAATCGACATATAAGTAGCCAAAAGCCTCATCAAACTAAAAAGCTCCCAGCAGATTATCCTAAAGGTCACTTAATTTTCATTACTAACTAGTTGAGAAACTGGTGTACAACTTATGACAATGTTTCCCAAATTTCCCGGCCTTTAGAGAACTACTTTCGAGCACAAGTAAAATTCCATCCATGTAAAATTAGCTCTTAATGTCTAAGAGAAAATAAAACACGGTAAACATAAAGCATGGGAACTGCAGTTCAATCTAAATTGATTGCATCAAGAATGTAGTACACAGCTTTTATAAACAATGTCTAAGAAATTTAGAAAAACAAATTCCACATACCTCAGTAGCTTTTTCTTGAGATGGCACTATGAATAAAAGAAAGGGACTGCTTAAAGACATTCCTTCTTTCTCCTTTCTGGCAATAGTATCAGCTGCGCACGATGCAACCCAAGCAATTTGCTCTGACGTAGAATCTTTTTCACTGGCCTCGAGAATATCTTTTCCATTTGAATAAAACTTCCAGAACTCAACTCCCCATTTATGAACAAAGAAAGGACGGTCTTCTCTACTAAATGCAGTTTCATGCTGAAGATCATTCTGAATAGAATTCAGACACAGATTTAAAAACTTTGAAGGGCAATCTAGTTGAACTTTGTCTATGTGTCCTTCCACACCATTTTTATCCCCAGTTTTCCCACTCTTTGTCACATCTTTTGCACCAACAGACTTACCTCTCGGCTTCTCAATCTTGGGAGGTTTTTCATCCTGAGCCTCAGTACTAGCATGAGCTTTATCAGTACTGCAATTCTTTGATAAAGCACGTTTCTTGTCGATGTGCTTCTTGTCTAATTTGGTTTGAGCAGGCCGTTTCTTCTTCTTCTTCAGAGGATCAACTTTACCATGTCGTTCATTGAAGGGATCATCAAGTGTAGGAATGCTATAGCACATGCCCTGTAATCGTACACAAAATAAACCTTATTGATTATTGATCGTCCAGAACAATATAATTCATACCAACACCAATAAAATAAAATGTAGAACATTTAAAGTTTAAACCACATTAAAGTAGCTGCATATATACAAGTCTCTTTCATTCACAACCCATCTCAATCCAGCTAATTACTGACTCATTCATCCGGAAAAAAAAAATATTTTCTTCAAATGATTTTCTTTTGAAGTAATCTAGTAATAAGCACCCCAAGAATTTCAATGCGGAACCAAAAGAAACAAACAAATTACGAAATTTTGGCACCTTCATACATCTGATGAAGACCCATAATCCATTCTCATTCACCATGTTTCCATCATTGTTGGAAATGAAAACCCAAAAGAAAAAAGAAAACAATTTCGGTTCAAGAGACATAAACTTGGTACCTGGCAGTTGCGGCGCTTGCCAGTTAATCGACGCTTCTTAGCAGCAATAATGGAAGCGATGCGAGTTGAGACCTTATTTTCTTCCTTCTTTCTACTCTTCTTGTTTCTTCTTCTGGCGATTGAGTCGTCACTTTTACCCATTGCAGCTCTGCTAATTACTGCTTCAAATTAGTTATTACTGATGTTCTGAGCCAGACAGAAGAAAGATGAAGGAGAAGGAAAGGAAAGGAGAACAAGAAGGCGGTTTTGTTCAGTTTTCGCACAGTGGCGTCACACTGGGTAGGTTTGATATTTGGGACGAAAATGCATGGGCTTTTCGTCATTTTCACCGTTGAGTGTTAGAGAGTTGGGGCTTCCGAAAATTTACCCATGGACCTCGTCCCACTGATTCTAATTGGGCTCTTTAGTTTGTCTAATTGGGCCCTTCAAATTAGTTATTACTGGGTTTGAATTATGTCGTGTCTTCTACTTTAATCCTAAACATAACTTTAGCATTAATAATGTCTTATAGTAAAGGATCGAAAGAAATATCGTGAAATGTAATTGATCTATCTCTCCCAATTTTCTTTTTCTTCTTCTTTCCCATTCACTCTCTACGAGATTCAGAAGGATCTGCAAAATGTACAATTGGATGATCCACCTCAGCAACACCACCTTCCAGAAACTTCAACAGAAGAGGTTGATGTTGATCACATGGTAATGCATCATGTGCTTCAATTGTTGTAGTGTAAATATGTTGGTGTAAATAGCTTGTGCATATGTGATGTGGAATTAGCTTAGACTTTTGTGTAAATAATTCCAGCTGGATATTAGTGTACATAAGGCAGTTTAAGATTAGTATTAGTTAGTATAAATACTAGTCTTTAATGAATTCTGTAATTTAATGATATACAGAAAATAAAAACTTTTTTTCCCAAATTGAGAAATTCTCTCTCTTCACCATTCTTCTTGTTCCGCCATGGCTAACCCTAGGAAGTTTTTCATGGTATCAGAGCCATAGGCTCTCGATTCCTGAATTGCAACCGTAGAAACCTTCCTCTTCTCTACCGATTAATTTCTACCGGATTTAATTTTCTGTTTTCTTTGAAGAAATGGATTTTTTTGAGATCTCTCCTGCTCAGAGATTGGCCGAAGAACAAAGGATTCGTGAGGCTACTCTTACTTTACATTCTTCTGAGCATCCCGGTCTTGTTCTAGTGTCTATTCCTTTAGATGAACACAATTATCTTTCTTGGAGTCGATCTATGCATACAGCACTGGAATCGAAGATGAAGGTAGCTTTTATCGATGGGAGTTGTCCTGAGCCACCTGTTGATTCTCTGCTACATATGAGGTGGAAGCAGGTTGATTCTACTGTAAAGTCATGGATTATGGTGTCAATTTCCAGAGACATTGCAGACAACTATATGTATGCTATGTCAGCAAAGCAGCTTTGGGAGGATTTGGCAGAACAATACGGTACGTCTAACTGCAACAAACTATATAATATGAGGAAGGAAAGAATTACAGTGCAGCAAGGTGATAATTCACTCATAAAATACTATAATTCACTCAAAAGAGTCTGGGATCAGTATGAGCATTATCGTCCTTTACCGGTATGCACACCGGATGTTGCAAAGGTCTTATTGAATAGAGATCAGCAAGATAAGCTCATTGACTTTCTTATGGGATTGAATAAATCATATGAAGCAGTTAAGGATCAAATACTGTTGATTGATCCACCGCCTACTATTGGGCAGGCATATGCCATGGTACAAAGGGTAGAAAAGCAACTTAGGCCAAGTACTGGTGGTGTTTTGAACTCAGAAAATAGTGCATTCATAGCTAATAATCCAGGGAATTATGCACTACTGGGAAACACAAGTGCTATAAATCAGTTTGGTCAGATGGTTGCAGCAGGAAACTCTAGGAATCTTCAAGGGAATAGTGGTGGAAATGGTTCAGTCTTCAACAATGCAGGCATAGGATTGTTAGCTAAACCGCATATGTCACATATGCAATTTGAAAAAAGGAACAACACAGGATCGGGAGGCAACTGGTTAAGTAAGAAGGAGAGATCAAAGCTCCTCTGTACGCATTGTAATAGGACTGGTCACCTAAAGGAAGGGTGTTTTCTACTTGTGGGATTCCCTGATTGGTGGAAAGAATTCAAGCAAAGGACTGGTAATCAGAATGGTAACAATGGGAGAAACTCTGCTCATATTGCAGAGGCAGAAACACCGTTGGAGTTGGGTGAACCTGGATTGGACTGGAACACTATGGCTAAGCAGATCAACCAGATTCAGCACAATTTCAGCACCTTAATGAAAGGAAAGAATGCTCAGCTAGGACTAATGGATCAGAACCAACACCAAGTCAACTTTGTCCACTTCAATGAGTTTGCAGGTAGCACTACTTATGCTTCTTTACATAACAGTGTCATTTTAGAGGATGATCTTGGCTTCTTTGATAGTAGTGCCACTGGGCACATGATTCACACCTTTTCTTGGTTTCATACGTCTAAACCAGTAGATATTCTTACCTCTGTTAAACTTCCTGATGGATCATTACAGTACGTTCAACAGACAGGGCAAGTCTGCTTGAATAATAGGATTACTTTAGAAAATGCTTTGTTTGTGCCTACTTTCATATACAATTTGATCTCAGTAAGGAAACTTGCACAAACTGAAAACCTATATTTTTCTTTTCTGTCTGATTTGTGCATCCTGCAGGACCTCGTGACTGACAAAGTCTTGGGTATTGGAGTGGTGTATAAAGGACTATATGCACTCACTAAAGAGTCTTTTAATCCAGACTTCATTAGACATTCTGTTCAGCTTCATTTTCCCAGAATGTTTCTTCGAACTACTTTAGATTCTTCTGTTTTCATTTCTACATGTAATAACAATGTTGTGGCCTTGAGTGTTCAATGGCACAACCGTTTAGGTCATCCTTCTTTTCCTGTCTTGAAGCATCTTGATAAGCTCTTAGATTGTAAAGTTCATAACGTTGAATGCTGTGATATTTGTCCTTTGTCAAAGTAGTAAAGACTTGTATTTTCAGATAGTTCTATCAAATCTGTTGTTCCTTTTCAGCTTATTCATGTTGATCTATGGGGACCTTATAGTCACCCAAACCTCTCACAAACACACTACTTCCTAACAATTGTTGACGATTTCAGTAGAACCACTTGGACACACTTACTCAGATACAAAACATCAGTTGTTCAAGTTTTACAGACTTTCTTTTCTATGGTTGCAACTCAGTTTCACGCAACGGTTCAGACTATTCGTACAGACAATTGCAGTGAATTTGTCAACCAACACTGTCAAGATCTTTTCTCTTCATTAGGAATTCTTCACCAGAAATCTTGTGCCTGCACACCCCAACAAAATGGTGTTGTAGAGCGTAAACACAAACACTTGCTGCAAATAGCCCGTTCTTTAATGCTCCAATCATCTCTTCCTAAGAAATTCTGGGGAGATGCAATTCTCACCGCTACATATATCATTAACAGACTTCCCTCTCCTTTATTGTTCTGGAAAACTCCTTATGAGTCTCTGTTTGGTAAACCACCAACTCTTACTCATCTCAGAGTTTTTGGGTGTTTATGTTACATGACCAACACTCAGCCCCATAAGGATAAATTCTCACCTAGAGCCTTCAAATGTGTCTTTATAGGTTATCCCACTGGACAGAAAGCCTATAAGGTGTATAATCTTGATGATCACAAAACTTATGTGTCCAGAGACGTGGTCTTTAGGGAGGATCATTTTCCTTTTCAGTCTTCTTCTCCTGCTTTACCTGCTCTTCCTTTACCCCATCCTCAGTTGCCCGTCGATGTTGTTGATAATGATAATTCTCCGAACAGTCTCCCAGCTCCATCTTCTGATTCTTCTGGTCATCCGTCTCCTTCCATACATCATTCTACTTCTTCTGATATTGACTCCACCTCACCTCCTCCACCCCCTTTCATTCCTCGCACTAGTGGTCGAATCAGAAAACCCCCTTCTTGGATGGACTCTTATGTATCTCACTTGGCTTCTACTTCTGCTACTTCATTTGATATCCTCACCCCTTTTAAATTTACTCCCCCACTCACTTTTCCTTTTATCCAACAACCTTACCTTCACCCTCAGCATTCTGCGTTTCTTTCCAACATTTCTAAAATTTCTGAACTTTAAGGCTTATAACCAAGCTAAAGATCATCCTGAGTGGCAACTGGCTATGAAAAGGGAGCTTACTGCTCTTGAAGAAAATCGAACATGGGAAGTGACTCCTTTGCCACCAGGGAAAAGAGCAATTGGATGCAAATGGATTTATAGAGTCAAGTATCACCCCGATGGTACCGTAGACAAGTATAAGGCCCGTCTTGTGGCTAAGGGTTACACCCAAGTGGAAGGCGAGGATTATGGTGAGTCATTTTCTCCTGTTGCTAAACTTGTTACTGTTCGAGTTGTTTTTGCTTTGGCAGCAGCGAAAAATTGGCTTTTGCACCAGCTTGATGTGAATAATGCATTTCTGCACGGATATCTTGACGAAACCGTGTACATGCATTGTCCACCTGGTTATGCTTCAGCTGACCCGAATCAGGTTTGCCGGCTTAAGAAATTTTTATACGGGCTTAAACAGGCATCTCGGTAATGGAATCAAGAATTAACCATCCAGTTACAAAGGTTTGGTTTTATTCAGTCTCCTCATGATCATTGCTTGTCTACTAAGGTTACCGCCAGTGATTTTCTTGTGTTACTTGTGTATGTTGATGATATATTGGTGACTGGTTCGTCCGAGAATTTGATATTAGCAACAAAAGCCTATTTACATCAGTTATTCGCTATCAAGGATTTAGGGCCCGCCAAGTATTTCCTTGGTGTAGAGATTGCTAGATCGTCTTCTGGCATCGTTCTTAATCAGCGAAAGTATGTTCTTGATATTCTTGACAGCACAGGTCTGCTCGGATGTGCTCCAGTCTCTACACCTTTACCCAAGGGTTTGTTACTTCATGATTCTAAGACTTGTTTACTTCCTGACCCTGAACCTTATAGACGTCTTGTGGGCAGGCTTCTTTATTTGGGATTTACTCGACCTGATCTCACTCATGCTACTCAACAGTTGAGTCAGCATGTTCATTCTCCTAAGGAGGTTCATTGGCAGGCAGCCCTTCATGTGGTCAAGTATCTGAAAGGCACGCCTTCTTTAGGTCTATTTTACTCCTCTGTTAATGATCTTAAGCTCACTGCTTTTTTGGATGCTGAATTGGGCCAGTGTCCTCACAGTCGTTTTTCTTTAACCGGCTTCTGTGTTTTCCTGGGAAATTCCCTCATCTCATGGAAAACTAAGAAGCAAACCACCGTTTCCCGTTCCTCCTGTGAAGCTGAGTACCGCAGCATGGCAGCAACCGTGTGTGAGCTTCAATGGCTATCTTACCTCCTGACCGATCTTCATACTGCTCCTTCTCTTCCCATCACACTTTGCTGTGATAATCAATCTGCCCTTCACATTGCTGCCAATCCCACCTTTCATGAGCGCACCAAGCACCTTGATATTGATTGTCATGTTGTACGCAATCAATACAAGAGTGGCTTCCTTGACCTTAAACACATTGGTACTAAGTCACAACCGGCTGACTTGTTTACTAAAGTTCTCTGCACTCCACAGTTCACCTACCTTTTGTCAAGCTGAGCCTTGCTGACTTGCATAATCCACAGCCTCAGCTTGAGGGGGGGATCTACGAGATTCAGAGCCTCAGCAGCACCACCTTCCAGAAACTTCAACAGAAGAGGTTGATGTTGATCACATGGTAATGCAGCATGTGCTTCAATTGTTGTAGTGTAAATATGTTGGTGTAAATAGCTTGTGCATATGTGATGTGGAATTAGCTTAGACTTTTGTGTAAATAATTCCAGCTGGATATTAGTGTACATAAGGCAGTTTAAGATTAGTATTAGTTAGTATAGTTAGTATAAATACTAGTCTTTAATGAATTCTGTAATTTAATGATATACAGAAAATAAAAACTTTTTTTCCCAAATTGAGAAATTCTCTCTCTTCACCATTCTTCTTGTTCCGCCATGGCTAACCCTAGGAAGCTTTTCACACTCTCATCTCTGAAACTTTGAAATCGGTTAAAGTCTTTAAGCTTAAGGGGTTACATTGTTGTCCATTGATATTTTGTGCCCATGAACCCCAATTGTTTAGGTGTAACGTTTTTCTCCAGCGACTTACTGATCACTTGTATTTCATGTGGAATAATTACGACAATATAACTACAAAACTTTAATCATTTAGGAAAAACCTAATCAAATACAAAGAACAAATTTTGTAGTAGAGATACCCACCGATTTGCTTCATACACATAGTTGGATAATAACAAGTCACAGGAGAATTCTCCCATCTCAACTTTGTGAATAACACAAATTAAAACCAACAACTGCTCATAATTAAAAAGAAGAAAAAAAAAAGATACTAATACAAAATCAATTAATCCACAAAACGTTCTTGCACTACAACAAAAATGGGTAATTTACACACTTTTTTGTGTCTCAATAAGTGGTGTAATAAGACACATGTGATTCACATTGCGTGGGAATCTACTAAATAGTGTCTCCTATAATCGAGTCACAATAAGTCATAAAATATTTGAAAGTGTATTATTAAATTGCCACTTATTAAAACACTTTAAAGTGACCCATTAAGTAGGGTAATAATTCACAAGCAACCCCACATAATACACTTATGATAGTGTTTCATAATATGCATACACTTTTTCATTTTTAATAAGACACTTTTTAGCAAATGTCATAATACACATATAAAAAAGTGTCCCACTATAAAAGTATTAATAACCCATTTTTGTTATAGTGTTGCATGCTTAGGAAGACATGCAAATTACGTGAATATTGTGACCAAGTTTCGATGGCGCAAATATTTCTTAGTACAATTATCTTGATAGCACATCGATCCTTGATCAACTTTCATGATTGTCTTTCTAGACCTTCAACCTCTTCAAACTTTTTCTAAAAAGCACTTTTCGATTGATAAGATATTCTTTAGTTTAAATATTTATAAATTGAGGTACTCTGTTGGGTAGAACTAAGAACAACAAATTCTCATAAAGGGGATGCAAAAATTTCCACAAGATTATAGCTAAAACTTCCAAGTATTGCAGTATAGTTAGGGGGTAAGAAGACAGCAATTAAGCTGGAAACAAAAGAATTCGAAAGATAAACAACTCAAATAAATTGAGCTCTCTCGTAACAGCCCTTTTCCTCACGGCGATTCGGAATTATTGAGTGGTGACCAACTATTATACTCCCTTTGGTCCTTATTATAAACTTTAAAACATACAAAACATTTTGATTTGACTTAAGTTTTACCTAGTATATATATTTTTAATTTAAAAAAACCTTATAAATATTTTTTAATAATTTAAAAAACACAACAAATGTAAAAATAAATTTTTAAGTTTTTCCTTCTAATTAAAAAGATGTCTGAAATGAAACGTAAGACAAATCAAAATGTCTTATTATAATAAGGACCGGAGGGAGTACCAAATAATAGTCATAGCTTTGTTAGATAATTTAAATCTCAATTAACGTTAAAAACCTCACTTAGAACAACTTACAACAACCTTCAACCAGTCTAAATCATTTGGTTGCGGGTCAAATTAAACTTGGTTTGTTTAGGAAGATATGAATTGACTCTGCGAGCTAAAGAAAATAAAAGTAAAGTTAAAAAATTTCCCAATGGAGATATTTTCTCGCATAAGAAGAAAATAACCAGTTAGATAGTTTAGTATAAACTTAACTTTCATGATGGACCTCTATATTGTAGTAATTTAAGGTTTTTAGATCTGCTTCTTTCTCAACTGTAAGAGTATGTACGTTGACCCAAATTCAACGAGAATAGATAATCTATATAGTAGTATTAATGTTGATTTTAATTGAATTCAATAGTAGTATTTTATTTTTACCCCAAATCATTGCTTTCTGATCATTAAGGCATTTCTCAAATTGCACATACATGGTTATATATAATGTTTTTTAAAACTTTGAATACGTCACTTCAACTTTGAATCGAAAAAATTTATGTACACAATATAGAAATGATGACGTGTTAAAGTTTAGAAAAATGATAAGTTTGTATACTTCAAAAAAGATAAAAGGATCATTTTCACATGGACAGCTTTTCGTTCCAAATTGAATATTCCCCCATTATTTTAACGGTGCCGGTCAGATGAATCTTAGTTCACAACATGAACCCTTGTTGTATCTTTATAGTATATGCTTGAAAATGATAACCATATTCTTTGTCCTATAAAATAGTAGTAACAACTTATTCCATTTTGTCCACAAACTTGCAAAATTCCCATAGACTCGGAGTTATCCCTCAACACTTCTCTTCTCTAAGGGAAAAACAAAAGAAAAGAAATAAAAAAAAATGGGAAGTTATGTTGAGGATCCCCCGAAGGCAACACTTTCAGAAAATGGAGCAACAGAAGAAGTAGTAATTCCACCTAAGATTAACAAAGAGCAGCTGGATGCTGGCGCCCTTTTTGTCCTCAAATCCAAAGGTTTGGCTATACAGTCTGGTATATAGATTTAATAAATTCCATGACGTTTTCTTGAATTATGTGTTTCAACTTTGAAGTTTGAAATAACCTCCGGCAGGATCATGGTGGCACTGTGGGTACCACCTGACGACGGCGATAGTAGCTCCGGCGCTACTGAGCTTGCCCTTTGCATTTGGGCTGTTGGGGTGGTCTGCCGGAGTTGTGTCTCTGGTTCTAGCTGGCCTCGTCACTTTCTACTCTTATACTTTACTCTCCCTTGTTTTGGAGCACCATGCCTCCATCGGAAAACGTCAGCTCCGTTTCCGGGATATGGCTCATGATATTCTAGGTTCACCCTCAAAACTGCATATATATAAACTCTTTTTTCTTGTTTCGAAAATTTGATCCATGCATGTATTAGTAATCTGGGTAGCAACAAATTAAATATGAAAATACACCTATTACCTATAAAATTTATAAACATCCTGTCTCCCCCCACTGTTTCTAAAAAAATACTAGCTAAATCAGATTAAGTTTTGAAATTTGTACTGAGAAAAAATGTACATTAACAATTTTATTGGGACTAAAGGAAGCGCATCAGAACTCAGAAGTTGCCAGATTTATCACATTGAAAGGAAGACCCGGGGGGCAAGGAATTTGGTTTCAATCTAGCTAGCTTGTTAGTCAAAATTCACTGTTAATGTCAATGTGTGACGATATCTTTTAGACCATAAATTCGTTTTTTGTTTGGGAAAAAAATGGATGCTTACAACACTTGACAAGAGGCAGTTATAGTAGTGACTAATCTGGCTGTAACCTTTCTTTGAAGTCCAAGGTTGCGGGCGATTGGAACAAAAGAAAAATCTTGTCTGCATTCTTATGAGATTTCTTTTTTGGGGGGTTGTGGGGGTTAACTATGAGATTATTTTTCCGTCACTCTGACGTTGTCTGTATCAGTAATGTTTGAGTTAAACGGGCTTTATCTTCAATTATGGATTGAAAATATAGGTCCAGGATGGGGCCGGTACTTCGTCGGCCCACTTCAACTGGGCATTTGCTACGGGGCTGTCATAGCATGTACACTTCTCGGCGGACAGAACCTCAAGGTCAGGAAAATGAATGTGTGTTATTCCCATTGAAAAATGAAAAAAGAAGACGATATAGAAAGCAACGGTCAGGAAAATGAACTTCTGTGCTTTTGCTGCAGTACATTTATTTGGTAACAACACCAAATGGGACGATGCAACTCTATCAATTTATTGTTATTTTTGGAGGGCTAACACTGGTGATGGCACAAATGCCGTCCTTCCATTCTCTTAGGCATATCAATCTTGTCTCTTTACTTCTCTGCCTTGCTTATTGTGCCTGCACAACTGCTGGAGCCATATACATAGGTACCAGATTTAATAACATGTATTATCTCTGTCCCACAAAAATATAGTATCACAATCATCCGTATTGAGGACTACTTTTCTTTTTAAATTTTTAACGAAGCAATCATTTCAGGACAGAGGACACATCATTAAACCGTTCTTTGTACAGGATACTCAAAAGATGCTCCTAAAAGGGACTACTCCGTTACTGAATCTGGTGTCAATCGGCTCTTTGGTTTCTTCAACGCTTTCTCAATCATTGCTACAACATATGGCAATGGAATTATCCCTGAAATACAGGTGATCCATCATCAGCTTTTTGCTTTTACCACATTTCTTCAACAGATTAATAGTTACTCATCTTGCTTATATGTTATATATATATGTAGTAAAATTAATGTACTGTTGCAGGCCACCATAGCCCCTCCAGTAACAGGGAAAATGTTCAAAGGCCTTTTGGTTTGTTACTCAGTTGTGGCAACCACATTTTTGAGCGTTTCAGTTTCTGGATACTGGGCCTTCGGGAACCAATCTCAACAATCAGTTCTTTCAAATTTCTTGGTGAACAATAAGCCTCTGCTCCCCAAATGGTTTCTTCTAATCACCAACGTGTTCACCTTAGTTCAAGTATCAGCTGTCGTACTGGTAATATAACCAATCAATCAATCTCCCAGCCATTAATTCCAATCCCATCCATCAATTTAATCATTTTAACAAATAATGAACTCATAATCAGACACTATAATACACAGGTTTACATGCAACCCACAAACGTTGTTATAGAGCGGGCGTTTGCAGATCCTAAGAAGGGCGAGTTTTCGGTCCGAAACATCGTACCCCGGTTGATCTTCCGGTCACTGTCGATCATCGTGGCGACCACATTGGCGGCAATGCTGCCTTTCTTTGGAGATATCATGGCGCTTTTCGGGGCATTTGGTTGCATCCCTTTAGATTTCATATTGCCGATGATTTTTTATAACGTGACATTCAAGCCTTCCAAGAAGAGCTTAACTTACTGGGGAAACACATTCATTGCCGTAATTTCTACTGTTTTGGCATTGGTAGGAGCGGTTGCATCCGTCAGGCAAATATTCCTGGATGCCAAGACTTACCGTTTGTTTGCCAACTTGTAGATTGTAGTATAATTCCAATTAGCATAACATCTCTGTTTGCTGCATTGACATCTTCCATTAAATTCTCGGGTATAAGTCGCAATTTTAAACTAAATTTCTTTTTGAATAGCACAAAATGTGGGATCCGGCTTGAACTTTCATCGATTTTGGTTCTCTAAACTTGAAAGTGGTTGGAACTGTGGAAGTAATCAGTGGAGTACAATTGCAAGAACAGGAATCAGAAACTTCACTTCTACTGTCAAGTCCAGTCCCTAATGCTCCAAGATATACGTATCTCTTTTTCCTTAACATCAAGTCTTCCAATTTGGTCCCTATTAGGTGAAAGAACGAACCACCAGACACATTTAAGACCTACCCAAGACAGCAAAATGATGGTCCTGTGGTCCTGCTAACCATTTCAGTAATAAATTGTTCAATGCTATAACCACCAATGTTTTCATGTACTACATGGTTTGCCATCCTGATAATGATTTGTATGCTTGTGACCTGTTCTGTTCATATTTGAATCTCTTCCATTGTTCATAGAAAATGTTTCTCCTGCAATAAGTTTCATACCATACTTCCATCGAAACAAAGGGTCTTGTTCATTACAGCGGTTCGTCTTGTTCATTATAGTGTCTCTAATTTTGAGCGGGAAGGAGAATGCAGTAGCACATATGACCCCAGGGTTCCCAAGCCATGTTCTACCGGTAACGTTGTCAATCCATAATGCAAATACATCTCCAAAGTTTCGGTATAATCCTGCCAAATCTTACATTTCCCAGCACCACATCTTAACTGCGGTTGTATATATTTTAACATTGTCAACAGAACACTTGCAGCATTTGGAATTCTATTGTCCCCCCAATTCCAAGAAGGGCTCTAGCATTCTTGTATGGACTCCTCTTTTGGATTCTCCAAAAGAAACTTTAAGAAGGCATTCCTCCTGGCTCCTGCTATTTTTATTGGTTCCAAATCTATAATCATTATTTAACAAAAACAACACTGCCACCACCAATTGCTTACCAGTTTTTTATGAAGTCAGCGAGATCAGCAACTGGTCAGGCAACTTTTAAAGACTACACTCTTGCAGAAACAAAAACTAGCATTCTATAACTAATCAGTAGATAAATGTGTTCAGGAACCGTCAATGGTCTGCTCGCTGTTAACAAGTAAAGAGATATCCTAGAACAGAGACAACAACAGAATCTACAAAAATGGAAACAAGCCGGTTTCTCGAACACAGTCATTTCAGCAAATTGACTGAAACTTAACTCTCTGGTTCTGATAAGAGGAGAGAACAGGAGCTTTCTTTTCAAGCTAGAAAGAATACCCGCAATGCCTGCAGAAGAATTTCACTTATTCTTGCAAAATTTGTTTGAGGGATCAACTCAATGTCTTCACTTATTATTGTAAGTTCTACGTCAAGTTACTACTATGCTTCCACTTTTTGGTAAGCTTCAGGGGCAACGTCCAGTATGTCGTAGTGTCCATATCCATGGAACAGAACATTGATCGGATAATCTTCATCCTTCTTATACTCTTCACCATAGTTTGCTATATTTTTCAAACTACCAGAGCTTCTATCAAGCATGAATACAGAAATAGGAGTCCTGAAACAATAAAGAAAAGTACAATCTTAAAAAATTCTCAAGCAGTTCATAGCTTAAGAACACAGTCTAGCATCAACATATTATATGACAATGACACTAGATTACAAAAGCTCAAAATAGTCAATCTATGTTTCAAATGCTTTAATATTTTATACAAAGTTAAGAATAGTCTTAAAAGTATAAGAATCGCCAGGACAACAACCAAAAACATAATGAACTTTAACTTTTTTTAGATTAACGAAAAGGCAATCAGGAGCTGTAACTGTACAACATCCTTGCCGGAAAAGAAAAGGCAGTAAAGGGAAATCATAAAAGATTGTATTAAGCCAATTAACATTTCAGAAAAAAAAATCAGCAGAAAGTCACTAAAAGGTAGTACTCACGTAAGAACATGAGAAGCCATCAGAAGCTCTGGTTCTCCACCCCATACATAAGGCTTCTCAATTCTTTCGACATAAGCATCAAAATCACCTTCGATAAACCTATGTCAATTGAAGTAAACAACAAATGTAATTAGAAGCATCTCAACACTTACATTGAAAAAATAAACATTGATTATGAAAACTCACCATTCAGCTTCTTTTCGCCTCTTTAACAGCTCCTCCACAACCTGTTCAACAGAAAAAATTGGGAAAGGAACGGAAAACCACAAAATTCAGTGAACAATTTGGGAATATACAATCATATTAAACACACAAAACTGAACATACAAGAGCTCTTAATTCATCAGCGAGTTCTCTTTGACGGTTCTCATCAGGAACATCTTCTCCTTTCCTCAAGCATGCCACGTGGGCTATTGCTCTGAACAAGCACCTCCCGTCAGCTGGCACACCTGCTCATCCAATCGTTCGTTCAATTTTAGATTGTAGTATTTCTCTGAATATAAAAATTGAAAAAAACCGATTTCACTTGATTCGAAAACAGTAAGAAGCTAACTAATTACCTGTCACTTTGAAGGAATCAGAGTTTTCATCCTCAGCATCCGTAATAATTGCATCATTTTCAGCTCGAATTTCCTCTAGTTCCTGCTCCACTGGACCACCAACCTCCGATAAGGTGACAAGGTCAGCGAAATCCGGAATTGGCGGAGCGGCCAAGCAAGCGCAAACGCCGAAGAGAAGCCAAGCGGAATCAGGATTATGGAGCCAGCGAGCAGGGCGAGCATCCCAAGCCACATTCCAAGACCCTTCACCTTTATTCATCAATTCATCATGGTGGTGGAACACCAGGGTCCTCCTGGGGCGGCGGCAGGGATCCAAACCTCCATCATAACCATCCGCATCTCCGGCGGGGAGAATCGCGTGCCAAACGGAAGCAGCGAAGCCGCCGCAGACGCCGAGGCGGCAGGAACTGGAGTGGAGCCGCCGGTGATGATCGGCGTTGTTGTTGGGGTAAGTAATCACAACGGATCTCAAAACAGGGCTGACGAAGGAGAAGCGATTCTGGATGTGGGCCGCCGGGGAGGAGCCGTGGGTGTGGGATAACGAGAGTGTGGTGTGGAGCCAAGGCTTGGGGCGAGCGCAAAGTACACCGAGCATCACCGGATAAAAAAGTACCGATTAATAATCTTTTTGATTAATCCCTCACAGACAAAAAAGAGAAAAGAAGACAGTGAGCTTTTTAAGTTTTCAGCTAAACCGTGCGCTCGAGGCGAACGTGGGGGAAGTGAAATCTAGGCGCCCGCCATTATTGGTATCAGTGAAGAGCACTGAAAAAATATTTGGGGGAAAAGAGAAAGAAGATCGAGAGGTGTTTGATGAAAGGGCTTACAGAGATTTGGGAAAAAGTGAAGATGATGATGATGATGATGAGGAGATGGGGTTTTTGTTGGTGGTGACGGCGAATTAGAGAAGAGGAAGAAATGTAGTGAGAGAAGATGAATGCATGTTTGTGTTTTGATGTGTTGGCAGTGGGGTCCCGATTTTTATTTTCTGAGGAGAGAAAATAAAAAAAGAGGAGTAAAATTAAATTAAATAAAATTAAAAAAATGGGCTAGGGGCTTCGGTCATTTTTTAGACCATGTCGTAGTAGGTGAATACGTCAAATGTCCGGCGTGTCCTTTCGTTGGTTTCTTTTTCCCATATTTGTTTGATTTGGTTCTAATGAGTTTTTTGGTTTTCTTTTTGTGGCAGACATAATTACACATTTTACTTAACCAAGTGAGAATTAGTGAGTGGTGTGAGCATGCATTTTATCATATGAACTTATTTAAGCATAATCACGCATTTTTACTTGTACATTATGTGCAGTTTCTCCCTTGAACTTTTTATTCTAAATTTTTACACTAAAGTCGACGAGTAATGTATCATCGAGCCATAATCTTTTTCGATTAATGTTGCTTTTAAAAAATTTTGTGGAGATATTTTTCAAAATGTAGGTCATTTTACAAATTTTAGGTAAATTAATGACCATTTTCTTAATTTTACCCTCAATAAATGATGTCAACATATTTCATTTAGTCTTGTTTATATTTTAAATGTAGTTAATGAGTGGTAAAATATATATTTAACACATAAGTTAATTGTTGGATAATTGTCTCCTTAGCTTACATGCAAAGCCTAAAGTGACTTATATTATGAAATGGAGGGAGTAAGAAAATCTAAATTGGTCCATACATAATCAGGTAGATTATAGTATGAGTATATTGATTTTAAACAATATCAAAACTTAAAACTTTGTTGTCATTTCAACTAAGTCGGGAAAAGTACATCACTAAATACGTGTATCTATAAATATGAGCATATATGTAATTATGAGAGAATCAGTAGGTTTGATATGTCAAATTTTATTAGTAATGAAGTGGTAATTATTTTTTTAATATTTAAAGTCAATATAATACAGTCCTTCATACTGCTATAGTTTCCCTACTTAAGTATCATTTTGCGAATAATTTGCTTTTAGTGAAAAAAAATTCATTTATTTCTGTCCCAAATAATTTTTCATTTATTTTATTAAAAATAATAAAAGAAAAACAATTATTTAGAAAGGAAAGGATAATAAAGTGAAATGGCATATTACAAAACCAGAGGAAAGAATATACTGCGGACGGGGTAAATTGGTCATTGCGAATTATGAATGTGGTCACAATCGCACGTGCGTGCTGTGAAAATTTGCAATTCACGTGTTCAGCGAGACGTCAACATGACTGTGCACCTAATTTTTGTATTCTCTTTTGTAGTATTTTTATATGTTTTCTTCCGAACGAAAATAATCAGGTCACACGAATTTTAATTACGCCTTAATTAATAGCGACGACCCGTGAAAGCGAACAGAAAAGCAACGATAACATAGTTTGTCTAGCTTTGTACTGAACTCTTCTTATTTTACCTATGTTTTCAAAACCGGCCCGGACCGAGCGGTCGAACCAGTTAGTCTAGGATCGAACCGAAGGTTTTATTGGTCCGGTTTCTAAAATGAACCGGATTTTTAAATACCCAGTCAAACCCGGACAAAATTACGGTTTGACCGAAAACTGGTACCGGTTCAACCTGATTTTCATAAATATTTTTTAAAAAATTAATTTTTAATATTTTTTAATATTATTTTAATCAGTTTTCTTCGATTTCGAAGAACGAGCTAACCGATCAATTCGACTAATTCACCAATCCGATCATGTTAACGATTCACTCTCCGGTCCTGTTTTAAAAATATAGATTTTTACGAGGTACTAATAAAAATTAATAACCTTTTTTTTAGTAAAAGTTACAACATCCTCAAGACTATAAAAGAAGAAGAAGAAGAAGAAGAAGAAAAACGTTTAAACACAAGGGAAACAAAAATTTGTTAATATTTTGAAAGTGAAAGTGGCAAATAAAAAAACATACCGTACAGTATCTAATGTTGTACCTCACTAAAATTCTATGGAGGATCATGATTGTAAACATCGAACGATTAGGTATCATTAACATTGCCAAATTACAATTGTTTAATTTTTCTGGGGTGCTTAATTAGCTAGCTACAATCTAGCTACTTAGCTGTACATAAGCGAGGTTCTTCGTCTTCTTTAATTTATTATCATTGAGTTTACTAACATCATTATTACTAGTATTTTATCATCAGACTTGAATATTGACAAAGTAAGACATAAATTACAAGAAGAAAAACGGAATCGATAAAAGATAATCCTACAGCTTAGTTAGCTAGTCAAACGCGAGTACGCATCCAACTTGGATATTTGTCATCTGTTAGTATTTTAGTATTGGAATCCTTGCCGCAACTTCATTTGGTTGTCTTCCTGTTTTTTTTTTTATTTTGAGTCGAGATTGTAATTAAAACAATTTTTGTATGTCGAAGTAACTAATTTGTTCTCCCTACGAATTCATTCATGTACCAGTTATTGAAATCACATATCTTAAAAATATATTTTTACATTTATTGTGTTTTCTTAATTATGAAAAAATATTTTTAAAATTTTTATTTCAATTTAAAAAATATCTTAGATGAAATTTAAAGCAACTCAAAATGCTTTATAATAAGAACCGGAGGGAGTATATCCAAGAAAAGAAATGAAGAAGACTACAAATATAATCAAGATATCCATCACTTGGTTTGATCGAACAATCGTCGACGAATAAAATTCTTCATTAACATGTAAAACCAGATATATACCTAGAAAATTGGTGTACGTTTCTGTTAATTTTCAACCAAGGAAGGAAGAAGACAATTTTGAATGCTGATTTGCGGGGGTGATGCGGTCCCACAAAGAAGAGTATGCGCCAAGTAAGAAGTAATAGAAACGGAAATTGTACAGCCCAAAAAAAAAAAAAACATGGAAAACACGTAGAGCTAACTGGGTTCGTTTGATTTGACTGACAATTCAGTTAGTTACGTGGAAATTTTGGGACAACACAAAAGAAACTCTCAGATCAGTTTGAGAGTGAGTCGATGCATGGTTAGCATTAACTAACTCAATGCTGACAAATTCCGATTTATTTTTCTTTACCAAATTAAACCCCTTGCACTTTATTGATTGCACATCTCTCTTGCTACTTAGTTTATAGCATTGTAAATTTTCATACATTTTTCTTTTTTAAAAAATAATACTCTTTCCTCTACATCACAAATTCCTCGGGTCCTTATTATAAACTATTTTAATTTATCAAAAATTTAAAACGAATCAAAATACTAATAAACACCGAAAAAATCATTGTTTTCAGCATAGTTTACAAACTACAATGTGGACTTTTGTATATCGTTTCTTTTATACAGTCGTGAGTTACCAACAAATGAAAATCAACAAAAGCAACCAATATTGCGTTCAGCCTTTTCCGGCGTGAGTATCAATGTTATAAATTTATAATTTTATACCCCATCTACTCTATCGTACTTGATACTTATTTCATTCCAAACTAAAAGAACGCCATTTTATTCTTATTTCAAGGATAGACATGCGTAAGTTTCTTTTCTTTTTTCTTTTTTTTTCCTTTTCTAAAATATGTACATTGTTATCTATTCAATCCCTCCCTGCCCAGTCCCCACCCGCCGGATAGTGGACACCTATCAGGCTTTTAGGCTTTGTTTGTTTAGATTTTTGGATGGTTTTTTCAAATTATTTTAATAATAACTGTCCCATTCCAACATATTTTTTTTACATTTTCAATATATCTTTTTACATTTTCAATACAAAAAATACTTTAAAACATACACTAAAAAGCGAAACAAACATAGGTTCTCTAGTTTCTGAATGGAAAATGGAGATTCCGAATTCAAAATAAGGCGCTCTCTTTTTTTTTATTATAATAATTGTAAACGTTATTATAACAGGAGGAGCAAAATCGCATGGAAAAGAAGGCGGCGGCGGAATGAAAATAAGGTGACTGAAAAGCTAACAAAAGAATCGATTCTGTTGAAACAATAAAATAAATTAAAATGGCGGATACACACAATAAACAAAAGAATCGATCAGATTACCTTAAAAAAAAAAAACATTTCTCAATTCTCAATATTAATTAGAAAGTTAAAAGGGAAAAGCCTGTAAGGTCGATAACTTTGATGTTCTTTTACGTTGTGATCTCTATTGTCAAAGGGGAAAGAAAGGGGCAAAAAAATAAAAATAAAAAAATCTATTTTCATTCTTCACCACATTTTCGGGACCAAAGCATAAGTTTAATCGAAAACTGGTTTTGGGTCCAACACGGGAGATTAAGAATCCACAACACATGTTCCTGGGTTAGGCTAATGGCCTTTTTTGTGGCCCAAAAGGTATCAACTCCATAGTAGGCTTAGCATTTAGCAAAACCTAGAATCCAAAAAATCATACATGAAAATCAATGGGAGATTGAGATTTCAAAAAATAAAAAATAAAAGTGGGAGATTGAACCCAATCTTCGTGCTTGGTGTTTTAGGGATGTTTTGTAACCAAGCTTTGCGCTTCTTTATTATATAAAAATAAAATTAAAAAATGGGAGATTGAAACAACGTTCATTAAACGTGAAGGGATCGAACCGGCGGACTCCCTGACAAAGTTAGGATTATCACAAAATCCAGGGTTGTATATTTTGTCCTTCCCGCCCATTTTGACATTAGAAAAATTAGTCCTAGATTCGCCCCAGTCAACTCTATCTTAAGAGTTGCTTTTGTATTATAAATTTCGACTTTCTCGATATATATATCTTACTATATTAGAAACAAAAACCTCTCTTTCAAACACTTCATATGATTGCCACGTGGCATGTAGAAAATACTAAATTGCCCTTTTGTCTAACTATAACTAAATTACTAAATCTCCCTTTGCACTTTACGTGACACGTTTTTTTTTTTCTTAATTTTTTCTTTATGTTTCATTCAACTAGAGTGGTTTTTTAAATTGAATTGATCAATTAGGTTTTTTTACAAAGTGTCAATTTTGTTTTAAGCGTATACCCTTTGGATGAAGCTTATTACAAAGCTATTAAAAATCTCCAAAACTAAGTATTGATTTGGCACGACCAATGGAGAACATCAATAAATCATCTTACTAATATTTAAATTTATTAGGATGCTTTTATATTTTATCTAACATTTACTTCAACACATATATTCGATTAAGCTATTTATATTTAATAAGTAACACTTATAAAACATTTCTAAAACATACATGGCGAAATACAATTTATTTTTTTTTTTGCAAAATACAAATATTTCTATGATCACACTTATAAAATATTTCTAAATCCTTCAAACATTTCTAAAATATATCGCTCCAAATACAAAATTTTATTTTTTTCAAATATAAACATTTCTAAGATCTACAGATAGACTGGGCCAGGGTCGCGCATTGCGCGACCAGACATCACTAGTATATATATATAAAAAAAACTTGAAACAGACTTTATTGAAGACTTTAATCTTTTGAAGTTTTCGTTTTTATATTTTAAAGTTAGACTCCTACTAAACCTCAATTAGCATGTAGTCGCAGATTCTCTATCGAAATTCGGCCTATCATGCTTGGATGGAGAACATATTCTGGCAATTCTTCCTTCTGCGGTTAAAGAGGTTTTAGAGATAGACAAAGCGAATCTACCTCGCTGGGTGCCGGTCCGCCCAAATAAAATGGAGTAAAAAAAAATTGTGAAGAATTGTTTTTAAAAAAGATTATGATTTTTTTTTCCTTTCTGAAATAAAGAAATTCTCTCTGTTGTAAAATTATTGTCTTTTTTTTTAAAAAAAAAAAATTAAATGAAATTCCACACCCTTAAGGTGAATGACTTTCGTGAGCTTATAATGGTATTGAATTTGAAGTGTATTTTCTCCGTTTCAGTTAGTGGAGCGTACAAACCACCTACCAACCTCAATGAAGACTGGAATCTCAAAGACTTGAGATTATTATTACTTTTTTCTTTTTTGGAATAAACCACACAACAAATTAGTATCACGCTTTACATAATTTACACTCTAACAAACGTTACACTTTAACGCCCGGGCATCTTTGATTTTTCTTCAGAGTGAAATGCGTGATCGTCGCAAGCTCTTTGTTTTTAGTTAGCTAGCTCCCATGTTTTTCATTTGATGCCAACCTTTAACTTGTGGTTCCGATTTCAAAATTATTTCCGTTTTCTTAACAAATATTTCACCTTGTTTGAATTAAAAGAATAACAACAACGTAAATTTTATTCTCTTGAAATGGAGAAAGAGCTATTTGGTTTTATTTTGTGAAAGATAATAATCAGGATAATAAATTCAGATATGGACGTAATATATACAGTAAACTTAATTCTGTAATAATTTTCAGAGTGGAGATGAACGGAAAAGAATATATTGGGGAATATGAAGATGGAGCACACTTATATCATGATCGATTTGTTGGACATAGTTATGTCATAAGAAAAATTAAACATCGGCAATTTGTTTTTTGATTCTTTGTTAGTTTTGGTATAAGATTATCCTAAAAAAATAGGTATGAGGTAATTTTGTTAAAGTAAGGGGACAAAATTTAGATTTGGATATATACTAATTTTTGCTGTAACAATAGCATCATCACGGTCTATTTGTTAATTTGTTGTCAATAATTATCAAAGACTTGGTCGCCTATTGGTCAATATAAAAAGTTTGTATTTCAATGTTCTAATTTAAGATGTGGACCCCTTTAGTTCCTTCTTCACCTTCAAATTTCAAAACAATGCAATGCTAATTCACCAAAAAAAAAAAAAAAGAAAGAAAGAAAGAAAAGCTTTTGGAATAATTAGCTCTTATAGTTTATGTATCATTTTTTTGTACCTTGTGAGTGAAATATCTAACTTGTTTCTTTTAAAACATATAGTAATATTGTACTGAAAAACAAAATACTACAATTTTTTAGAACAATCAAAATTTTCTACTGAGCATCTATATTATCTCCCCAATGTGGATATAATTACATTGCAATAAAACGAATTTTGAATTTTTGAGAGTACCATATTGAGTGATTCTTTAAAGCTTAAATCTTATATTTCGATTAGTAAGTGAATTTCCAGTATCAGTCGGTACATTGAGTCTTGTTCTATTTTCTTTTTTTCTCTCTTTAAAAACATTCATCATTTTTTCCTCAACAAAATTGACTATTTTCTTACACTGGAATAATTAGCTCATGTATCCTTAGCTGAACGTAAAAGTTTTCCATTCTAGACAAAATATCTTGATATTAAAATTATTGTTGTCACACTTAAGTCTGTAAACCGTCAATGTGCGTCTATAAAATTAGTAAGTAGTGATCTATCAACCCTTATCCGATAATTTTACACGTTATTTTTATATTGGGGAGAAATTTATAGTAACTGTACGATCTTAATGATATGATGATTATTAGAAAGTGAATCGTCAACGCGTAGACTCTGTATTCAGTCCACATTCACACTATTACTTTCTTGGTAAGTTAATTACCGTTATCCGGACAGAAATTAGTCTTATGTTGTACACATTTTCTCATTTTTTAAATTATCATTCAGATACACGTATTAAAAACACAATATCGTAAAAATCAAACAGATAAAACAAAAGAATATCCATTAAAAGTTTTTCAGTCTGCTCACTTGTCAGAGTACAAAAATTCGTTTTACAATTTATTTTTAACAAAGTGAACTTTTTTTTTGGTACGTAGTCGCAGGAGTGCATGAATATCCTGCCCATAAATGTGAAAGAATTGAGCAATACATCAGATTGTGTAAATCCAAACTGAATTGTGAGAGTGCCATAAATTATTTCTCTAATAAGATCAACAAAAGCTGACCTTTTTTTGTGTATTCAAACCAAATTAAAATGAAATTTGGCTTTATAGTTTATATAACAAAAAAGAAACACAGAAACCGGCAGCTCATCTCGTAGTTAGCAACTGTAGTACGCTCTTTAACGTTAAAGTTCAGTCAGCAGTTAGTTTAATTTCCCACCAATTTTTTTTTTCTTTCTCATTTTTCCTCGTTGGCTTTGATTCGGTTATTCTACTTCAATTTTAACGTCAGAAGACCAGCTGGGTTCTCCGGCATTGACCAGTTCTTCTCTCACCGGCGGCAACGCATCGCTGACTGGTGATCGGTAAGTCAAACTGGGCACCTGACAAATATCTCATAAATTTCCTCTAATTGCATTTTTTGGTTCAGATTTTTTTTGTTCTGTTTTCTTGCTGGGTTTTTGTGTGATTTCATTTCTATGGAAAGAGGAATTTAATAACCCAGTTAAATGAGGCGAATTGCATTTACAGATTGATCACATGAGAGATTCTATGTGGGCAGGTTACAAGCTGGGTTTTTATTGCTTCCTTGGTGGCATTTCATTGAAACACCCAATTGAATTTGGTATTAAATCATCGAATTTCCATGATCTCTGATTTACTTCCTTGATTTCTTTAAGTCCCATTGCTCTTTTTGGGGTAGTTTTTGGCATGCGTTTCTGTCCATTTTGATTTTGCAACCAAATGAAGAAGGAACTGGGAAATGGGGCACATTGAATTCTCCAATTCTCTTTTTCTGGTTGGATATACAATATCTAAATTTGCACTGGAAACTGATTTTGGTATTGGCTACAGTTGTGAAGGTTTACATGTCATGTTTTCTGATCAATTGACATAAAAAAGGGGGACTTTTTTTGGTTGATAAATTGGTTCTCAATGAGTAGCATGTGTTTCTCATGTTAAGTAAGATTGTGTAAGTTATGAATGTTGTTAGCTAATTTGGCAGGCTAGGTTCCAAAAGTGAGAACATTTACTGGATAGAGCTTATGAGAATGAAAAAAAAATCAGGAAAAATGGAGTGATTTTACCGCAAAGGTTTCACATTCTTCACTGTCAAAAGTGAAAGCTTGATGGACAGAACTCATACATTGAGATTGAGGTACATATAGGGAGAAGTTTCAAAATTTTCGCGGTTTACTACTCCTAAGATGAGCTTTAGGAAGGGTTTTCTGATGCCTCAAGATAGTGGAGGCTTTCAGCCTGGGAGTTCTTGGAGTCCTGTTACTCCAGAAAAGCCAGTAACAAGAAATAATGGAGTCATTCAACATGGGAGCCACTGGATTCCCGCGACTCCAGAGGCAGCAGTGAGAAATGATAGAGCCCTTCACGGAGGGGAATCTTGGATTCCGTTGACTCCAGGAAATGCAGGAATGCAAGCATCACATCCGGTTGCTAATCAAATGCAAAGGAGCCTGCTAAATGGAATGAATCCGCATGAACTGCTTGGGTCACAGCATAGAATTTCAGTACAACAGCCAGTTATGCAAACAGCTTATCCAACACTAGACCAAGTGCAAGGTCATCAGACAGGGAGCGAAAGCTGGAAAGATATAGTTGGATTTTGCCAGGGAGTTTTACAAGAGACATCAGCATCTGGGGCATCTCATGATTTCAGTCCAACTGTGTCATCAGTTCATGGCGAGCATAATAAAAAGGAAGCTCCTGTCAGGACCAATGGACTTTACAATCAAAGTTCCAATTCATACATGCAAAATTGGATAAAAGATGTTAATCGAGAGGAAAGAAGAGTTATTCAAGCTACAAACAAGCTTCCTTTGGTAAATCCATATCGAGCTACTGGAAATGAGCGGGCAAAGTTTGAATATGATAACTCAATGCTTCCACCACAGAAGCAAGCCTTTACTTCCAACCAAGGCATCATCACTTCCGGTCTACAAAGTATGCAAAGTGGTTAGTTACCTGAACTTTTTTCAGAATGCTTATAACTGTTATTGACACACATGATAGCATGATATATGTGATCTACTCCTGGACTCAACTGCTAAAACATTTCATGTGAATATGAATTGCAGAAAACAGAAATTGATAATGACTTTATTCCTATATTTTAGCTAGTTGGTTGCGCTAACCTTTCACTAGTAATAGATTAGAAGATTGACTATAATTCGCAACGTAATTCAATTTTTCAAAATTATATGCAGTTCTTTACGTGCAATGAAATAATGTTATACATAGACAAGGATATGATTTTAATCCCGGCCTTGAATAATGTGCAGATGAAATTCCTATCAGATACAGTCATGTATGCAACCTAAACTCACCTCCCAGGGAAGAATCTTCTGCGGTGTCATGTGCAGCCTATCACTTTCAGTCTGCTCCAGAAACTCCAGACCAGGGAAAGCAGTTGCAAAGTCACCACCTTTCTGATGCTCAAAATTTTCCCTCAAATGGAAGTATGAGACAACAAAAAGATAACCAGGAGCTTGCTTCTAAAAGTAATTATGGTGACAACCTCTTGGATGAACTCTTGGACAATGATGTAGTCACACTACCAGTTTCTAATACAACCTCACTGAAGGAAAATGATATTTCTGGAGATGGAGGACATATGGGTATTGACCTGAACAAGACCCCCCAACAAAGGACTCCTAGAAGGAAGAAGCACAGGCCAAAGGTGGTAGTTGAAGGAAAGCCCAAAAAGAACCCCAAGCCAACTGCCGTGGAAACTAAAGTTTCAGGTGAGAATCCTTCAGGAAAAAGGAAATATGTGCGGAGCAAAGCCAATGGAACCTCAAATTCAACGCCAGGAAATGAAAACCTTGGAACTGATACTCCTGCTCCAAGTTCTGCAGCAAAATCATGTCGTAGAGTGCTAAATTTTGACCTGGAGGGTAAGATTAATGACAATGCTAACAAGATGGTTTCTGATATGCAACAAACAAGCCTTAAGAGTAGGCCTTTTGATTTGAACTTGAAATCTCAAGACACAGTTTGGTCAAAGGAATTCGACCGAATACCCGACATATCAGCTCCAATGGTGGGGCAACAAATTGGACGCAATTCTGACATACAGCAAGACATAAGCAGTCACCATCCCATTGGTGATAACTATACAAACATTGCTGCAAAGGGACCACCACCTGTCCATCCAGTACCAACAACCACATTAAGGGGCCATACCCTTGATAGCATTGCAAGGAGTTTAAACCTGCAAACAACTGTTTCATGCCAAAACAATGACCAGTTTGGGTTCATTCAAGGCCATCAACCCTTGAAAAGAGAAGGAACTGGAAAGATGCTCCTTCAAGCTAATTCTAGTTTGTCTAACTTCTATGGTTCTCAGCCACTGTACTTGCGGAGCTCGACTGCATGCATGAAGGAAATTGCAGAGGATAAAGTGGAAAGAGGATCCAAAAGAGATTACTGCCACACTTCCCAGATAATGAATCCCCAACCGGCTGGCTTGATACCTTTCAAAGTCTTGCATCATGAGACATGGAGGACGGAGCAGACTAATGAAATTGGCAAAACTGGAGTAGTTGCTGCAGAAACTAACAAGAGAAGAAAATTTGAAGATGCACGTGCTGGAGTTTTATCCAGTCTGCCCTCTTGTTTTGCATCTGTTCAAGGTAGTTCAAGAATAGTGGAACTTAAAGGCTGCACAAGTAGCCAGAAAAGCAGCTTCTCATCCTATCCGTGTGGTCCGTTGCCAAATGTTAACCTTGGGAAGTGGAGCAACATCAGGAAGCATAATACTGGTGGTAGTGAGATCCTTTCCAACGAGGGCATTGACATTGCAACTGCTGGTAATGGTTTCAAAGATCAAATGGCATCAAGAGCACTCCAAAATCTTAGCTTTCTGATGGCAGGAAAAATGCTTCACCCCAGTGCAGAAGCTGATAACCTTTATGTCACAACTGGAATAACAGATCGTGTAGTACATCCAGGTCAAAGAGTTCCAGCAACAACTCAAGGAAATGGGACTAGAACTTCTCCAATTGATCTGTCATTGATGCATTCAATTAAACCTGCAGCTTCTGTCCAAGCTAGTCAGGAAAAACTGCATCTGAATGTGAACAAGAAACCGTTGCTTAGTCAGAAGTCCCCCAAGAAAATAAAAGGTATCTTTTAACTTTTTAGACTTACATTTGTGTGAAATTTTTGATTAAAATTCTGAATATGTAGCATTTCTGGAATCTAAGCAGAGCGGAAGGAGAGAGAGAACCATGCAGTTACAATTAATGAAATAATTGACAGACTCGAGGGATTAGAAATCAGTAAAAGGGGCAAAAATTTGGCTGCAAAGGAGCAAAATGCCATTGTTCCATACAAAGGAGATGATAGAGTTGTTCCTTATGAAGTATTTGATCCAATCAAAAGACACAGGCCAAGACCTAAGGTTGACCTTGACCCAGAAACCAATAGAATTTGGAATATCCTGATGGGTAAGGCTGGATCTGACCACACAGAAACAGCAGGCAATGAAAAGGAAAAGGAAAAATGGTGGGAAGAAGAGAGGAAGGTGGTTCGCGGACGAATAGACTCATTCATTGCTCGAATGCATCTAGTTCAAGGTCTGATACTGTCTTTAATTCTTTTTTCTCTTTAATTATTCACATGCAAATTAAATTGCTTAAATTTAATCTTCCCAATTGATGCTCTACTTGCCTTTTTCTTTATGGTTCTGGGTTTAAGTAGAGATTTGTTAGTGAAGAAGAATGATACCTGTTAAAGCAGCCAATTGTATGTATCCGGAAGATAAAACTGATTTTCTTTGCAAACATGCAACTCTTAGCTGGTCACTTGGTCACTTTCAGAAGCCTCAGGTCTCCATATCTTAGAGCACTTCCAACATATTGCGATAAAATACAATCTTCTGTGGTATTCTCATCTAGATTACTGAATAGCATTTTAGGCAGATGATGTAACTGGCACTTCCAGAAGGCTCTTGATAAACACAATATGCCCATTTTTGCAGGAGATCGGCGGTTCTCCGTTTGGAAAGGATCAGTTGTTGATTCAGTTATTGGAGTATTTCTCACACAGAATGTTTCAGACCATCTCTCCAGGTAAGGCACATTCCTATAGGATCTGGGAGGTTAATAGTAGAACTAGAGACAATGAACAGGAATAGCTCTTGTTTCTCATTTTTTTTTTTTTCAGTTCGGCTTTCATATCTCTGGCATCCAAATTCTCGGTCCAATTAACAAACTCCAAATCTACTCCCCGCAAATATGAGTCAATTTCATGGATTGAGCATGATGTTCAGACAGTAAATCCGGATGGCATCATCGCATATCATGGGAGCAAGATGAGATATCCATTTTACCAACAAAACTCAATGATATTGAGTGCCTCTCCGGAGAAAATACCAGAGCATCTCATTTCAGGAACTGTTAATTATTTGAATGAAAATAACAGTGGCACAGAGGAAGAAGTGGTATCCTCCCAAAATTCTTCTGACTCTTTTCCTCAATCTACTAAATACATGAGATCTAGTTCAGACTCAGAAGTTGAAGATCAGATGGTGACGTACAACTCCAAAAAATGCTGTATTTCAGAAAGTACACCAAAAATTGAAACATTTGCTAGGTATCAGCAACATCAATGTCAACAGCATGTAGGTAATTTGCTCCGTAAGAATCCCATGTCCAGGACCCAACAACATGCAAATCCTGCTTGCAACTGCTCAAATCCCTCAATAAATTGTGGCAGTAATGAGTATTCTTACCCTGTCAATTCAGATTCCTTAGTCCTCCAAGGATCCCTTCCTCCTTCCAGTGTTTCCTGGTTGAACAAGGCAACATACACCGGAGTGAATGAGTCTTACTACTCAGGATTCTCAGAAAATAAGACCACGTCTTCATTTTGTTCAAATTCTTCTGAGATCACCAATATTGGCAATGCAGCCCATGCAGGTAAAAACATAGGAGTCATAGCAGGAAGTGCAAATTGCTCAACTACACAAGAAACAAGGACACCAATCAATCATGAAATAAGAATGGGCCAGACTCAATGTTCAAATCAACACCATGAAGAAAAGTTACAACCAGGATTTCACTTTGGAAGTAGTCAAGAGTCTGTTAACAGTCACCAGACACAACCATCCAAGAGTGTTCAACAGGAAAGGAAGCCACTGTTGGAGCCCAAAAGACTTGATGCAGCAGATGTTAAAGGGAAAACAGGTAAAGTTCAAAAATCTTCCTTTTTGCTGAGTATCTTTTGATATCTTCTAAATATCAATTCTCTTAGTCCATGGATAGAAATAGAAGGGGGTCAGGGGGGTCGATCGACCGCCTGGCCAGCCGGATTTTCCCTTAGTAGGGGTATCCGGCAGCTGAAGTTTCTGCAGTTCAACCCCCACCCCCATTGACGGTTGAATTGCTCTTTTTCGACCCTCCAGTTTGAAAGTTCTCGTAATGTCACTGTCTTAGTCAATCAACTATGTTATTGGTTGTTGCAGGCGAAACTTACTTTTCTGGGGAACAATTTGGCAATACAGACGCCAATATTCCCAATGCAAAAAAGAGGAAGCAGAATGTGGATAAGAAACAAGAGTTTGATTGGGATAGCTTGAGAAGGAAGGTGCTGGCAAAGATTGGGAAAATAGAAAGAACCCAAGAAAACATGGACTCGCTGGATTATGAAGCTCTGAGGCATGCTGATGTTAAGACAATTTCTGATACTATCCTGGAAAGAGGAATGAATAATATGTTGGCCGAGAGAATAAAGGTATTAATGAAACCCGACCTATTCTTGTTGTAAAATAATCAGAACTATTGAACTAGACTCACCCACAAGAGATCCCCACACAATATAAATGATAGCATATGCATATGCTGCAGGATTTCCTCAATCGACTGATCAGGGATCACGGAAGCATTGACCTTGAATGGTTACGGGAGGTCGAAGGAGATGAAGCCAAGTAAGTCTTTCAAACTTATAGGAGCATACTCGAAATGTGCAGCCTTTGAGATCTATTCATGTAGAGGATTCTAATTTCCTGCTTCCTTAACTTGTCACTTCAGGGATTACCTGTTGAGTATCCGAGGACTGGGATTAAAAAGTGTAGAGTGCGTACGGTTATTAACACTTCATCAAGTAGCATTCCCAGTAAGGAATTTCTTGTCAATTACAAGTTACTTTTTACTTCTGAAATCTATTAAAGTAAAAGATACCACTCATATATGGTTTTTGTAGGTTGACACCAATGTTGGGAGGATTGCGGTGCGTCTTGGATGGGTTCCTCTCCAACCACTTCCTGAGTCATTGCAGCTGCATCTGCTTGAGCTGTAAGATGCTTGCCTCATCATACTGATATGACATTATGAATGAAATACTGATTGCAGTTGAAACGCAGGTATCCAATATTAGAGTCGGTTCAGAAATATCTATGGCCTAGACTTTGTAAGCTGGATCAGAGAACCCTGTAATTTCCTTATTCTTCTAGTAAATTATTCTATTTGAAAAGCAATTTTACCACTTACAATAATGAAAAGACACTGGCGACTTCTTTCCTGGAGATTCACTCGAATGACATTTTTTCTAAATATCGACCTGCAGGTATGAATTACATTATCAGTTGATCACATTTGGAAAGGTCCGTCATTAAATTAATTTATAACCTTATTACAAACTAACCTTTTGAAAAGAATAATCAGGTCTTATTCATTCTGACAGGTGTTTTGCACAAAGAGAAAACCCAACTGCAATGCATGTCCAATGAGAGCTGAATGCAGGCACTTTGCAAGTGCATTTGCAAGGTAAGCTATCGATTGTCCCTTTAAACATTGCATCTTCATATAGTTACGTAGCATTTGGGGCCATAACATTAGAATGAAGGGAAATCATATATTAAGAACTCATTAGAGGCTCCATATAATTCATTTGCTGAAGCTCTCCACTCCTTTGGCGTACACTTAACACGCATCTCTACTGCAGTGCAAGGCTTGCCTTACCAGGGCCAGAAGAAAGGAGCCTGGTCAACATAACTACCCCTGCTGCTGTAAATGAAATCCCTCCCATCAGAGTTGAGTCTATTCCTTTGCTTCCTGCGGAAACAAGTTTTGGCAGAGAACTACATTATAGTGGGAGCAAGTACGAACCAATAGTAGAGGAACCTGCCTCGCCAGAGCCATCACCAGAAGCGCCAGAAAGTGATATTGAAGATCTTTTCTATGAAGACCCTGATGAAATCCCAACAATTAAGCTCAGCTTAGAAGATCTAAAGGTGAATTTGGAGAGTGTCATCCGAGACCAGAATATGGAGTTGCAACCAGGTGACCTGTCCATGGCTTTGGTAGCTTTGGATGCATCAACAGCTTCAATTCCTGTTCCAAAGTTAAAAAATGCCAGCCGATTGCGAACAGAGCACCAAGTGTGAGCATCTTTCTGTTTATATCCTACACTGATTACCATGAAGAATGACCACTTAGGAATTTTGTGTACAAGATTATAATGGATGTTGTTATATTATGATGATTATGACTGGTGCAATTTTGTGCAGTTATGAGCTTCCAGATTCTCATCCACTCCTAAAAGAGGTAAGTGATGCTTCCTTTAGTTTATCTATAGTCGAACCAGTTACTAAATTGAATGCTATTTAACTGGTACCCCCTCTGTCAATTTCAAGATGGAAAGACGAGAACCGGATGATCCAAGTCCATACCTTCTTGCGATATGGGGTCCAGGTACGATTCATTGTGTAGCATTATAGATATGAGCTGATGTTAGGCAGTTTGTTGAAACCAATTAAAGTACCTGAACAGAAAGATCAATGAAAAAAGAAAAAACTTCTATAAGCTACCTAAAAAAGAAAAATAGAAAGAAAAAGAGCATGTAAGCAGGAACTGAAAAGGTCAATCAAATCGCAATGTTTTTAGAAATATAATTTTTAATTATGCTTTCTGGAATTAATTTATTAGAACCTCTCTAAATATATGGGAACATTGAATCAGGTGAAACAGCAGATTCAAGTCAACCTCCTGAAGGCTGTTCTTCTAGTTATGTGAATGAAAATAATTCACAGACAGTGAGAGGCACCCTTTTGGTGAGCAACAAATTTCTGTTTTCCAGAAAACAAATAAAATACCATGAAATGAGGAATTGTTATCAGCACATTTGTGACTATAGATAGTACATTTTTCAGATACCCTGTCGGACAGCTATGAGGGGGAGCTTCCCACTGAATGGGACTTACTTCCAAGTAAATGAGGTACTTATGTTGTTATTCAATTAGTTTTAAGGATTTCAAATCACAGACTTGACGTTAAAGTTGCGTGGATGAGTAGAGCCCTCAAATCAGTTTGATCATCTTTCCCTCAGACGGGCAATATTTAGACAAAGATTGCATTTGATTTGAAATTCTTATGTTTGACTTGTTTTATTACTTGTCAGATGTTTGCCGATCATGAATCTAGTAGGAATCCCATTAATGTTCCAAGAGACTGGATTTGGCAACTTCCAAGACGCACTGTTTACTTTGGGACATCTGTCACTAGTATATTTCGAGGTAATATGTTTTAAATACTGGAAATACATCACTTTTTACACCAAATTTCTCCAAGAATGAAATGTACCCAAGGAAATGAAGGAAAAGAACAGAGAACTGACAGAAAACTTATGTTTCCCAGGATTGACAACAGAAGGAATTCAATACTGCTTCTGGAGAGGTATGGTTGCTTCTCACTACACTTTTTTTTTTATCTTTCTAGAGTTAACAAAATCCATTTAACCATAAGAGAAGACATTGACAAGTGAGAACTTTGTTACAGATTTTTAACTCCCAATAAACAGAAATATACTGTACTTGTTATGAGCCTGTAACCTCAAACATCTAACTAGTCCACAAAACCTAGTTGTTTAAACCAGAATAGCTCGGATAGTGGTCATACTTACCGTTCATCCGTAATTCTGCAGGATTTGTGTGTGTTAGGGGATTTGACAGGCAAATGAGAGCGCCGCGGCCTCTCAACAGGAGGTTGCACGAAGCTGCAAGTAGGACGGACAAGAATAAGAACAGCAGCAATGGCAACCAAAAGAAAACCAATGCTGAAGAAACAGCAAAAAAGAAGGCAAACTAACCAAAAAAATGTCCATACATACCAACCACAAGAAACAGGAAATATACTGGTAAGTTAGGATGATAGTCAAAGACAAACCATTATTTTCTTCTTTTTTGTAGGTTCCTTAGTTTTTCATCTCTTTACTTTGGGACATAGTGTAACTCAGGCGGCAGAAACATTTTTCAGACTTGATCAAAATCCCATCAAAACAAGGGTCTTAGTTTGTAGCCGATTCATTGTTGCATTCATTGATGAATAATCGGCAGGAATTGATCCTGTGGACAAATTTCAATATATTAATCTGCCCATGAATAGCAGAACTTTGGCTCATCAGTACTTTTTCTTCATGTCCACCCCAAACCACCCCCCACCCACCCACCACAAGGGAACTTACTGGATTTGGTTTGCCCCAGAAATTGCAGTAGTCGTAGGCAGCTTTTTTATGTAGAGTACTGAGTGAATTGATTACGATAAGCTACAGAATCTCAGTTCATAGGAAAGCCGCTCGTTGGATTTTGTGCATAATGAACTGCACATAAGTTTGGACTAAGTACAATAATGTATCTGGATTTTCTTCCTTAATAATTAGCTGCATGCTTTATTTTGTCAGAAACAATAGATAAAATCTATAATGCGTATGATCGTTATCGCAAAAGATATTAGTTTTTGGGTTGAAGTGTGAACTATATTGGGGAGATGTTCACGCTTTAAGAGGCTTGATGATTATCCATAATAATAACTTAGTCTCGTTTTTTGACTCACTAACATCATCACGATGTAGTAGTTTCTTTTCATTGTATTGAAAACGGAAGGTAAATGAATGTAGTTGACGTAATTATCGTATATCATTTAACTATTAGAGTATCTTTTCCCCCCTTTTTTTTGGGTATTGTACAAGAGGCTTAAGACTATTAAGCCAAATTAGTGCTCTCCATGAGTGAGAGACGCTGGAGGTAGCCTCGACGATGGATCAAACAAACGTTTGAAACCTGGTTACATGCTGCGTAGGCAAGACCTTATATTGTGGCTAATTATGTTAGCAACAGAGTATACGAGTCATTTTCTTTTGCAACTTCTAATCCCATCTACTCTGGCTCTCTATTTCACTAGCGAGGTCATTTTACGACCAACAAAGCCCCTTTGGATGTCACAATGAGGTATGATCATCGTAACAAGTGATTGAAAATGTTCAAAACTAGCTCACAGACTGTTGTTGAACAGAGCTAAACCACAATACCAAAGCCAAATCTTTCCCTAAGGAAAAGAGAACAACAGAGAACAAAAACAACCATCGAACATTGTTTCCTACTTGCAACTAAAAATGTGAATCCAGGCGTTAAAAGAAGAAAACTGCTTTCTTCTTGCAAATTAGTTAAATACTAGTATATATTCATGAGTTCTAAGTAGTCAACAACCATGGTGCCTCATTTCAGCAACATCACTTAGTTTAAGCGTCATCATAAACAACCTTAAGATTTAGTCAATCTACAACCCAGTGAAACACAGCAAGGATCAGAGAGTACCTCCCTTGTACATCCATTAGACATTAGGATTTTTCAAACTAATTAGACTACAGAGACACAGCACCCAAAACTGAACACTAAGACGACGATTGCGCCTTATGTGTCCATCAAATGGTTGTCCCTACCCATAGAAATGAGGCACTCCCCCTCAAACGGAAAGCTTAAACAAAAGCATATAACTCTCCGATCCAGTTTTGTAAGTAGCAAGGTTCAATCTTCAAAAGCATCCATGCTGCAGCAAAGTTACTGACTTCCATATACAACATAAACAGATTATGTCCAAAAGTCTATCTTGTCAAAACATCATCAAATTCGTCGATGTCCCAAGAACAAATGGTTCCATTAGCAAGCGAGTCAGAAAGTAAAACAGGACACCCAAAGCAATGGAAATAGGAAGTGCTGGCAATGCTCGACGACAAACAGCCAACAATATCAGTGTGCAACCAAGTCCAGATATGATAGCCAGATAACAAGCATACACAGTCATCAAATCATACATGGCAGCCCTTCCGACCAACACACTGTAAAACACAAAGTCCCCTAATCCAAGCTTAATGCCCCTACTATTAATCTCATCACTCTCATCATCATCATCCTGTCTCATCCTCCTTCCATTCACCATCTCACCGACATCAAAACTTGCTGGAGATCGCCTCTCCCTTGATCCAACAGACATCAATGGCGATCTCTCTTCTTGATCACCTCCCACAACCTCAATCTCATTCTCACCCATATCACTTGCAAAGTTCTGGCCAATACTGCTAAAACCATCACTGTTTCTAGTGTTCTGACTCGATGATGACCTTCCCTGAAGCTCAATTGCACCCGAAATTGACTCAGAACTACCATTCTCACGACTCTGCAATGGGACCCCAGACATCAAAATCCCTGCTAGATTCGAACCCTGAGACCCTGGGAAGGTACTAGGCCTAGATTCATAAACCAATGCAGGAAGTTCCTCTTCCCGGGAAGATGCCAACTCAACCAAAATCTTCAATGGTCCACCAGGAGCTAACACAGCAACTAAATCATACAAGGCCAGCGCCACCAACAAAGTCCAAGTAGTCCACTCAGGCAATCTGGTAAACCAAGCAGCTACAATGATTCCGAGAACAACCATATAACCTTGTCTGATCAAAATTGGGACCCCATTTGAGAAGAGCGAGAGAACCCCAAGAACCGAAAAATTAAACAGCAGCACAAAGCAAGTAATCGAATCAACAGGGATGCTGAAATGCTTGATAACCGTGAGGAAGATGGGGCCACCCATAAAGGAAAGAACGAAGAAGGACGAAAATCGAGTGTAATTTTTGAGGAAATTAGTGCAGCGGTAGTAGTAAAGGAGGACCAAGAGGAAAGTGACTATAGCAATGAGGATCACAAAGACGGCAGCGTTTAAGAGTGCACCTTCGAGTTTCTCGGTCGGAGTATCGGTCGGCGACTCAAGGTAGACGAGGTTAGCGGCGGTACGGATGGCGGAGGCGTCGGAGGAAGACGTGGAGGAGGTGGTCATGGAATAGACCAGAAAGACAACTAAGAACATACAGATCGAAACCGGAGACATCACTCCGATGATTTCCGATCCGATCGATTCCAAAATGCTGCCGCGGTTCTCCATTTCCGATGAGTTTTCTGCTTTTTTCCCCCTTTTCTTCTCCGGTGAGGCTGCCGCCCGGTGAGTTGGGTAACTTGGGGGGTTATCAGTGATGCATTCTTCGTTGAGCTAACAAATGAAGAGCCCAATCAATTATGGGCCGGCCTGATCTCAAAAGTGTAATAATTGGAACTTTTTGGCTGATCGATTAATTATATTAAAATATTGGGTATAATTTGTAATTTTATTATAGTTTAGGAGGTTTTGTACAATTTGCTAGTTGTATATATAATATTTTGTTGTATTGGGTATCAATTATGGGCCGGCCCGAATCATTGCTTCTGATTTTGTTATATAATATTTACGGAGACGTGGGGAACTACAGCGGCAGAAAAGAAACAAACAGCAACGGCTGTAGGATGTTGATGTGATCAAATTTGACACTGAAAGATGGACCGGGAAAGAACATTCCTCAGAATGCAACGAATGATGGTAAGGTTTCTTATCTTGAGGAATTTTCATAGGCCTGTATGCGTTCTCAATATTATAGAAATTATAAGAGCAGTTCTCAGTTGATTTCCAAGATTTTCGCAATTCAGGTGGAAAGTTGTTAATCGACAAGCTCTTGGTTTGGGTGAGACTTGAGAGGAAGTATCATGACAGGGTATATAGCATGGATTAGTTTTGATTTTTTTAAGGTTGCTGGGTGATACATCATTAGGAAAAAGATGGGAAGTCTTCTTAATTTTGATCCCGCTTCATTGAGTTAATTACTTATAGATGTAAACAATTTACTCAAGAGAGACGTAGCACAGGAAACTGGTCAAAGGTATCATAAAATGCGATCAGAAACCCCGGAAGCAGTTGGTATTGATTATGAATGCCCAGAAATTGTAGATCTCAGCGTTGATTATTTCAAGTTCTGAGCTGACTACTTTAAGTGTTACATGGGTAGGAGAAGAGACACAAGAAAACGGCATTTCATAGCTATGGCTAATCAACCCTCCGGAGTTAATTCAAGTCATTCCAATCATTTTTTCCCCACCCCCGCGGCGAGTAGTTGAAGACTGACTTCTCCGTTTCGATATGTCATTATCCGGAGTCAACTGAGGTAATTGCTGGGTTGACGAGCTCCGACGAAAATTCATTGGTCAACGGGTGTATCAAATTTTTGTGAGAGCTTGCAAATTGTCCTGATGTAAATAGAGAAGCTGAGAAGAACTATCAACCAATCAGCTATCATTGTTTCTGGTAACTTCCTTCATCTTGAACATTTCTGATAATTATTTCTGAGAATGATAAAAAGCTTCTTGAGTTCTGATTAAGTAAGCATCACATTTAGAAGAAACCATGTCTGTTGCCAAAGCTTTAAGGGTTGCAATTTTCATTTGTGCGTTGGTTCTATGTCATCTTCACCATCTCTTGGCCTTTACCATTGTTCATTCTTTAAGCTTAGCAGCATCATATTATATTGGCGATATCGCCATTAATTGTGGCTCCACTGGGAAATTCATAGCGTTTGATGGGCGTGAATGGATCGGAGATTCAGGCTCGGAGCTCATCTCTTCATCACGACCAAAAGGCAAGTCAGAGAGCTCAACTTCTGTCCATAAATCATTCTCTGCTGACCCTGTTCCTTACAAGACTGCAAGAATCTCTGCAACTCCTTTCTACTACAAATTTCATGTCAGCCCAGGTCAGAAATTCATTCGCTTACATTTTCACCCTGCTCCGTACTATGGTTTTAAAGATTCAGAAGATCTTTTCACGGTCAAAGCTGGCAATTTCACCCTTTTAAGTAATTTTAGTGCTTCACTTGCTGCTGAAGCTTTGGGAGGAATTTTTTTTGTTAAAGAATTTTGCTTGAACATAGAGGATGACACTGATTTAATCATAACATTCTCCCCGTCTGACAGTCGTAATTCAAAGAAAGTGCATGCTTTTGTGAATGGAATTGAGATCATTTCCATGCCAACTGGTCTTTATTACACCATGGACCATGAGATGGGTGCCCGTATTGTCGGCCTTCTTGATCGGTTTGTTGTTATTGACAATAGCACTGCTCTTGAATTGATCGAGAGGTTGAACACTGGTGCTAGCTCTATCTCACCGGTGGAAGACTTAGGACTGTTCAGGAGATGGAATGGAGATGACAATCACTTCCTAGAGACCGGGGTTGATCGAGCGAGTCTTTCGGCACATAGCATTGTATACACAAGCACGCGGGCATATTATGCACCACCAAAAGTTTACCAGACGTCTTGGAAGTTGAAGCCAAACATAGAAGTGCAAGAGGTTTATACTTTCAGATGGAGAATACCAATAGACATTGGATTTGGATACTTGATCAGGTTGCATTACTATGATTCTGATCCAAGTTTTAGGACAGGTGGTGGAAAAAATGAGTTTAGTGTCCTTATGAATGGTCATATTGCTGAGACTAAGGTTGATATACTCAGTTGGAGTGGTGGCAGTGGGATACCGGTTCATAGAGATTACGTGGTGATGGTGAAGGGAGACAAACAAAGCGGCAATTCTGATCTCTTGATTGACCTACGCTCAACAAATGGATTAGTTGCTGGACTCCTTAGTGGATTAGAGATCTTCAAGTTGAGCAACCCTGATAACAGTCTGGCAGCTCCAAATCGAGTGTCACAAAGAAGAATGTCATTCTCTTGGAAGCAAAAAATCCATACTCTCTTCAGTTTAAGCAAAAGCAATGCCGTTATGACTGGTATTATAATCCTTCTTGTTTTGGTGAATGCATTAGTCTATTACTTGAGGCAAACTTGGGGACCAAGTGTTCACAAGGGGGAAGCGTTACCGTTGTTATCGATTGATCCATCTTTTCGTTGTTTCTCACTTTATGAAATTCTATTGGTAACTGAAAACTTCAGTGATGCATTTCTCATCGGAAGGGGCGGATTTGGAAAGGTTTACAAAGGGTTCATTTCTAGCATTTCACAGGTTGTTGCCATAAAAAGGTTGAATGCAAACTCCAAGCAAGGCCCTCGTGAATTCTGGGCTGAAGTTGAAACACTTTCCAAGTTTCGTCACATTCATCTAGTCTCTTTGATAGGCTACTGCAATGAAGGCTCTGAGATGATCCTGGTGTATGAATACATGCCCTGTGGAACACTTGCTGATAATATCTACAAATTTGCCAAAAATGGGCAGGATAGTGTTCATCTTTGTTGGGAACAAAGGCTTAGAATCTGCATCGGTGCTGCTCGTGGCCTAGAATATCTTCACACGGGAACTGAATATGGCGTAATTCACAGAGATGTGAAAGATACAAACATCTTGTTGGATGAACATTTTGTTGCTAAGATTTCTGATTTTGGGCTATCTAAATTGGAGGAGTTGAGCGAATCAAAGAGCTATATGACCACAAAAGTCAAGGGCACTTATGGTTATTTGGATCCTGAATATCACATGACTAGTAAGTTGACCAGAAATGTTGACGTGTATGCCTTTGGAGTTGTGATGTTAGTTGTTTTAAGTGGGAGACCTGCAGTAGATGTTAGAAACCCTGGGGATTCACAGAGTCTTCTGTCAAGCTTCCGGGATTGTGTTACAGAAGGGGACTTTGAGCCGATTATTGATCCCAGGTTACAAGGGAGAATTTTGCCCAGCAGTTTAAAAGAATTTGTGTTATCCATCGAAAATTGTTTGCATCATCAACCCAAGAAACGACCAACAATGGCTCAGGTGGCAAGAAGCCTTGAGCTAGCTTTGGAGCAGCAGGAGGGCCCAACAATTTCTGTAACTGAAGTTGTCGCTGAGATGAGCAAGCTCTCTGATGTTAAAGATGCCGAGTCAATGCAATTCAGTCAGAGCCCTCCATTTCCAACTAAAACCGATGAAGCGCAGTTAAGAGAGAACTCCTCAACGGTGAAAAAATCGATATGGGGCTGGCCCTGGAAACCAACTTGGAATAGAGGGAAGCCGACTAAAAAAGCAGATATAGTTTCATCAAATGGATCCAGTCCTCACTCCTCTGTGGATCAACAACCATATCATCTAGGTCCTTGTTTCTCAAATCAGGATATCCAAGAAGCTATTGACAATCTTAGTGATGGTAATGGCAGAAGGCTCAATTCCAGTGATGATTTTGAAGGAGTAGATGGTAAAGGCAGGAAGGCAAGCATAGGATTTATGAAGCAACTAGAAAAGCCAGTTATCATTTATGAATTCGTATTGGGTCATGATCGTGCTTCAGATGTATTCAAGGAGGTTGAAGAGCTTTCAAAACTGAGACACGTGAACTTACAAACCTTGGTTGGGTATTCTCTCGATGAACGTGAGAATCTGAAATTCGTTGTGTATGAGCACGTTGGCTTTGAGTCCCTCGACGATCATATCTACCGAAGAAATGGTAATCCTCCCCTCTCATGGAAGTGCAGGCTCGATATATGCATTGCTGTTGCTGAAGGACTTGCTTACCTTCAAGAATGCAGTGGGCAAGCAGTAAACCATCGTCACCTGGAGCTTGCAAATATTCTGTTGGATAAGAATTGGATTCCAAAGATTTCTCATGTTTCTGAGTTTCTGTTGAAGTATGCAATAACTCAGAATTTTTGGGGCTCGCCAGCATCGGGGATATCAATTACTAAAGAGTTTCAATCTGGTTTTGAGGTAAGGGAACATTCTGATTTGAGCTCACTTGGTTTGTTGTTGGTAGAAGTTCTATTTGCCAGACGGGTGAACCTTGAAGACTGTGGAGGGTATTTTACTTCATTGCGGAAAAGCATCAACTGCAGGACGCTCCATTTAACCATTGACTCCAGTTTGAGAGGGGAAATTGCAGCAAAAAGTTTAGCTGAGTATCTGAAGACCATATTTTACTGCTTGCTTGCCAGCATGCTTGCCAGCAAAGAATCGCCAGCATCAGTTGTTGCTGCTGCATCGAAACTCAAGTCTGCTCTGGAGTTACAGCAGAAAGCAGAATCAACCGTGCTACAAGCTTTGGAGGCTAATGAAGGGAGTGGCAGCGGTTTCAGTTTAGAAGATATTTATCAAGAGATTTCCCCTCTTGATGTTATACTTCCAAAGAAGTGGCATCCAATATAATGGCTTGATGTTTTTCCAGCCATCGCCAATGGGCTCTGTCTCCTGATGCTGATGGTATCTTAAGACATTTTTAGTAGATAGTTTTTCTGAGACGATTATTTCTCCTGTTAATATCATATTATTTTGGGAAAAAAATATCGCTCCTACCCAAAGTTTTGCTCTAGCCGTCAATTATACGGAAAAAATGTCTTTCCTACCAAAAGTTTTGCCTCGTCGTCAATTATACCCAATAGATTTTCGGTTAGTCAACTTTACCCTAATATTTGAAATTTTCGCCAATTTCGTCCAATCGGCCCATTTTCCGTCCAAATTAACGGATCTCCGTTAGTTTTTTAATAAAATAATAAATTTAAATACAAAAATACCCCAATAGTTTTTAAAATTTTTAAAAATAACTCCTGAAATATATAAAAATAACAAAATAGTCTCTTTTTACTTTTTTATTTTATTTTTCTCTATTTTGTTCCATTTCTCTTAACTACTTTTAATGACCATAAAAGTATATTATATGAGTTTTAAAAAAATATTTATTTATTTTCAAACTCTACCGAAAAAATTAATCTTTGTATAGTTGTAACCATGATTATATTTATATAAGCATGTTAATCTTTTTAATAATATAGTTTAGCAATAAAGACACTATTTTTCTGATTTATTTTATTCTTCCTAACATAAAGATTAAAAACATTTAAATGAAACTAATATTTCATATAAAAATAAAATATTAGCTTAAATAAAAAAGATTAATATATTTTAGTGTATTACAATTTAACTCAAGAGACTATAACTTGCATTAATATAATTTTCACAAAATCACATAAACTTAAAAAATTGCAAAACTTCAAATTGTGACAACAACCACAATAACCTCAAAACCATGCAAGAAAACCAACAATAACTAAGTAAAATCCTGCAAAAAGCAGGCCAAACTGGTCGATGAATATCTTTGATTAGGCTTCATTTGGTAGGACATTGGGGACGAAATCGCGGGCTTTGCATCTGGCTTCCAATGGCACAGCTTTAGGCATGGTGAGGCCTACCCCTTCAGTCAGATCAACCTCCTCCGGACCAACCCTTTCCCACTCAAAACACTGAATCAACGAACCCAAGGCCACGCCAACCACGCGTTGCGCCAGGCCAGCACCAGGACACGATCTTCTTCCTATCCCAAACGGCATTAGCTTACTCGGTTCCACTTTTACGCCTTCGAACCTCTCAGGCTTGAAGCTCGTGGCATCATCCCAAACCTTAGGATCCCTGTGAATTTCCCAGGCATTCACTAGTAACATTGTACCGCTTGGGACGTTGAATCCACCGATTGTACAGGCATCAGAGGACTCATGTGGTACTAACAGTGGCGCTGGTGGGAACAAACGGAACGTCTCCTGGATAACATTGTGCAAATAAGGCAGTTTCGACAAATCTGATTCTTCAAGCACCCGGTTTTTGCCCACGACATAGTCGATTTCAGCTCTGGCCTTTTCAAAACTTCAGGATTGTTGAGCAAAGCGGATAATGCCCATTCCACTGTCACAGAAGATGTATCTGTTCCAGCTAACAACAGAACCTGCATTTGAAGAAAGACAAAATTAAAAAAAAAAAAAAAAACCTTTAGAAGTAAACCAACTATCATCAAATTGTTGATCAATCTCACCATTATAGTTGATTTGATCAGTTCATCAGTGTAGTAATCCGGGTGGGATTCTTGCAATGTCAACAGATGATCAATCATAGTACTATTGCTGTTGCGGTCAACCCGATGTTCGTCGATTAATCCTTGCAAGAATAAATCCATCTCTTTACTTAAATTCTTGACGGCCTTTTCAAAATTCTTGTAGTCTATCAACTTCAACAGGGGAATAAATTCAGCAGGATTGGAAACACCGCCGTACTTAAAAACCTCTCGGATAAGTCCCCGGAATCTCTCTGCCTCCACATTATCTTCCTCTAACCCGAAATACCTCTTCCCAGTCATCATCCTCATGATCACATTGAAGCTCAGCTCCGCCAGCTTTGATTGCATTTCCACTCTGGCGAAACCGTTAACCGATTTCGCATATAAACTGCTCAGCAAACGCCTGATTTCGTCAGCCCTGATGGACAAAAACATGTTGAGACGATGAGGGGAGAAGATCTCATTGGCACCGAGTTTTCGGAGGTTTCGCCAGTGATCACCGTAGGGAGCAGCAACCATGCTGGAATAGTTGTACCCGATGTACTTCCCCAGGGTGTTCTTGGGGCGGTTGGCTAAGACAACGTCGTTCTTAGTGAAGCATTCCTCTGCTAAAACAGGGAAGAGACTACGACGACGAGGCGAGACCCGAATCGGAGGGAGAAAACAGGGCCACATATTTGGGAGAATTTGTGAAGAGTGCGATGGAGAGGCTGTTTGATGAGGTGAAGATGGCCTATGATTGGGATGGCCGGAGCTGGACTCGGTGGCAGGTTCTTGGCAGTACGCCATTTGAAGAACTTCAGGTAAGCCAAAATTGTTAAGACAGCGAAAAGAATGGAGTAGAACAGAGATGTTTGTTCCATGATTGAAGTTTATGAAGTTGAATATTAATTAGGAATTGCGTGTGGGTAAAGAGTAATTTGAAATTTGTATGGATGTGGTTTGGTTTGAAGAAAACTGTGAAATGAATGGGAAATTTATAGGTTTGGTGAGGAGGTAATGTGAATTATGGAGATAAACAAGAGCAGCATAATTTGTTGAAGTTGACTGGTCTGAGATAAGGTTGGAAAATGTGTTTGGGTGATTTCATGGAATCTGGGATTATTTGTGGCAAATGACTTGGAAAAGGTCAGTAACCCAAACTAAAGTTGACTTGTTTTGTGCCAAATAGAGTCATGTGTTGAGTAACGGTGACATAGGGTATGACCTCAATTTAGACAGACTCTAGAAGCTTGGGAAGCTTCTGGCCCAAGGTTGTGGTTGTCCAGAGTTCTAAACCAATAATGAATTTGCAAATTCGGATGCTGACATTTTGTCCACACTTTTTTACGTAGACCCTTTTGCCTTGGATATTGTTGGTGGGTCTGTCTGATACACACATTTTTGGCTTTTAGTGAGTAGTGCATCTTGGGCTTTTCTAATGCTTGATTGAGGAAAAAATATTCTACAGTATCCATGTTTCTAGTACAACAAGTGCTATCAACTCTCTATTTTATTATTAAACTTTTGTAGAAATTATCACTTTTTCTCTAAAATTACTATTTTATCATATTTATTGTGTCTGACTGCACAATCTTACTTGATACAACAGTTATACTGAATATTTTCTCCCAGACTGAGGGTTTGCGCGTGGAGTCAAATAAGAAACTTTCTATTTTTTGAGGCATTTTATTTTTTGGTACAAGGTAATGTGCTAAATTGTGGGGGAATTCAGGTTCCTTATATAAAAATTATAGTCGTCTCCCAGGAAACTAGGATCATATCCTTTTGGTGATACTTTGATATCAAAAACTAAAATCATGAACGCAATATGATGTTATAGACAATCTCTTAGGATCATTTTGCAAAAAACCATAAAACTTAAATGCAGTCAATTTACAATTGATTGAAAAATTATGTACCATTATTGTTGTTGTGAAGATGAAGAAAGTCGTCTAACATTCATACTCTGAATTTAATCTGTCGCTATTTGAGCTCTTGGGATCGGAATTTGGAAGGCAGAGGAAGGGACTGAAATTAGTCCATCAAAAACCTTCTCTTATACATCTTTCTGGTGAAGTCGTGAACCCTCCTAGTACAGCAGAAGATAAAAAGGGTTTCTACCAACAGAAACAATCCAATGGAGGTGACAAAGAGGAAGGGCGAACCAAAGGATCAGCCTCCGGGAATGGAAATTGGGCTCCCGGATGAGTGAGTTGTTCATGGAAATTCCGTTGAGATTGGATACTAAGACTCCACACTTGAAGAAACCAGAAGACAAAAGACACAAATAAAAATTTGACCTAATCGAAAAAGCAGAGGAATAGACGCCTGTTAGATTTTGAGAATTTTCTTGGTGAATGATTTCAGATTTGTTTGTTGTGTTTGTTGTGATTATGATATCTTTGTTGCTGTCAATTACTTGCAGTAGTAAGCTATCTTGTGAAGGAAGTATGCAAGTGGTAAAAGGATGGTGATCCTTAGTTTATGGAATTTGCTGGAGATAAAAGCAAAGTCGTGTACTGTTGGCATTGACCAAACAGTATACAGTTAGTTTCTTTTTGTATTATAAATATGAATGAAACGAATGAGATATGTGGGTTAATTTCAAGCAAAAAACTTACCTCTGTCCTTGCTTATTCTCTGCATTTTTTGAAAATATGAAAATTCTTTACTTTTGCAACTTTGTTCAACGTCCTGTCATCATCATCTGAAGGTGTGAAGCCCTCCCTATCAATAGCATTAACGCTTTCTGTGAGAATGAAATGGAAGGTATGTTTGGGTAACAGGGTCCCTCCAAAATCAATGCGTTCTTGTTTCGAAGAATTTTTACATAAGCCTCTACTCAATTTCGTGTTGATAGAATGACAAATCAATCGATATTAAAAAAGCTGTTCTTTTGTCAATTGAACTGCACTACAGGTTTCTTTTAGCAGTTTGTTTCAATCATATGCCTCAAAATTGCTGGCATAGAAAGGTGTTTGTTCTGTTAAGAGGCTCAGAGTTTGTGGGAATTGGCTTGCACAACTAATGGTGGTATCTAAAAAATGTTTTTATCGAGATAACCGTGGAAACCAGTTATACTTGAGTAGGTACTATTTTAATGGTGTTTATGCATGCATGTTGAATTGGGGATGCCTTGTGTGTGTACCAGTTTTTTTTATTTTTTGAAAATACGCTTAGCTGTGATTCCCTATAAATGTATGAATTGAATATCACTGTCAATGGTGACCTCAAAGTTGGATAATATGTTAGACTTCTTGACGGAAGATTTACTTTATTTGTAGGTTTTTCCCCACACCTGCATCTAAAATTGGATCTATTCTATATTTTTAGTCATCCAAGTTAATGTGAGTAAGGATGACTGTTCATGGTTGAGTTGTTGAAAACAATATTCTTGCAATTCGTGCTCCATAGAAATATTGAATGTATTTTTATTTTTATTTTTTTTTTGTAAAATCATCTTTTGAGTATTGGGGGAACAGAGTGTTGTTACATTAGATATAGAGACAGTTTGCTAATTTCAGTTTTGTTGATATGTACGACATATGTGGTTTCTAAGTTTGTGTCGTTTTACTGATTTTTCACCTCCGTCGGACACTTAACACTGGTGTTTCTTCCCTTTTTTATTGCGTTCATCTTCTCAAGAGTTAAAACTTCCTCTCCAATTAGGCCTCCAGGTGAGTCAGGAGTGTGATATTCACAGAATGCTTAAAATGCGAAGGCCGTGAAAATTGCGTGCTTGCTACATAAGAAAATCAGCATGTTCCCTCGTTCTGATTGAATGTTCAAAGAAAGAAAGGGAGATTCTGGCAGTTGTAGAGTGAGATGATTTCATGTTTCAGCTAATCTGCTATAGGAGATTATAAGAAAAGAATTGACGGCAATACATTGCTAATTAGCCGAAGTCAACTTTTGCGTCCAGTACCTCATGCAAAAATACCATCAAACCCAAAGTTCGAGTAGTTGAAAAATTCATGCCTTTCTCCGTGTACCCTTTGCTGCAGCCTGCAGTTGTCATCTGACATCAACTCAGAGTTGCCAGGATGAGTTTCATTGGGTCAACTGTTATTTATATCAACTAGCCCTTGTACGTATTCAAGGTAGAACTTATATTATAGTATATAGTATAAACGTAATGCCAACCAATCAGCTATCACCTTATAGTTGTTATTCGAGGTAACTTCTTCAGTGTTGTGCGATTCTGCTAATCATTATTTCATTTTTCAAGATGAAGATTAAATGCTAAACCTTTTTTTTTTTTGAAGAACCGTTTGTAGAAGATAACCATGGCTGTGGCCAAAATTTTATTGACCATAATCTTTCCTTGCGCCTTGTCACTCTGTTATCATCATGATCTCTTGGTCTATGCTATTCATTCTGCTAGCCCAGCAGCATCATATTTTATTGGCAATGTTGCCATTAATTGTGGCTCGACTGGGAAGTCTTCAGCGTTTGATGGGCGTCAATGGATTGGGGATGCAGGCTCGGGGCTCATGTTTTCATTGCAACCAAAAGGCAAGCCGAAGGCCTCAACTGCTGTCCATAAATCATTCTTTGCCGATCCCGTTCCTTACAGGACTTCAAGAATCTCTGCAGCTCCATTCTACTACAAATCTCAAGTTAGCCCAGGTCAGAAATTCATTCGCCTTCATTTTCTCCCTGTTCCATATCATGGTTTTAGAGATTCAGAAGATCTTTTCACGGTCAAAGCGGGTCCTCTTACCCTCTTGTATAACTTTAGTGCTTCACTTGCTGCTGAAGGATCTGGGGAAAGTTTTCTTGTTAAGGAATTTTGCTTGAATGTAGAAGAAGATAAAACTGACTTAATCATAACATTCTCTCCATCCGAGAGTAGTAAATCAAGGAAAATGCAAGCTTTTGTGAACGGAATTGAGATAATTTCTATGCCGACTGGTCTTTATTACACCAAGGACAGGAGAGGGGTGCCCGTATTGTTGGCCGGCATGATCGGTTTTTTGATATTGACAACAGCACTGCGCTTGAATTGATTGAGAGGTTGAACACAGGTGATAGCTCTATCTCATCAGTGGAAGATTTTGGATTGTTTAGGAGATGGAATGGAGATGCTAATCACTTTACAGAGCACAGAGTTCACCAAGTGATTTATCCCGCAGCTATGACCACATATACCAACCCATATCTTGCACCTCCAAAAGTTTACCAGACGTCTTGGAAATTGGAGCCAAATCTAAGGGTTCAAGGGGTTCATACTTTCAGGTGGAAAATTCCAATCGACATTGGATTTGGATACTTAGTAAGGTTACATTTCTGTGCTTCTGATTTAAGAATTAACAATGTTGGGGAAAAAGAGTTTAGTATCCTTATCAATGATCAGATTGCTGAGACTATGATTGATGTAATCAAGTTGAGTGGGGGCATTGGGATACCATTAATCAGGGATTACATGGTGATGATGAAGGGAGACAAACAAGGTGGTAAGTTTGATCTCTTGATTGACCTATGCACAACAAATGATTTAGTTGTTGGCCAACTAAATGGAATGGAGATCTTCAAGCTGAGCAACCCTGATAACAGTCTCGCAGCTCCAAACCAAGTGTTGCAAAAAAAGAACATCATCCTCTTGGAAGCAAAAAATCTACTCACGCTTCAGTTTAAACAAAATCAATGTCATTGCAACTGGTATCGTTGTGATTCTTATTTTGGTAAATACGATAGTCCATAACTTGAGGCAGAGTAGGGAATCAAGTGTCCACTAGGGGAAGCTTGAACCGTCATTGTCAATTGATCCATCATTTTGTTCTTTTTCGCTTTCTAAAATTCTGTCGGCAACCCAAGAGTTCAGTGAAGCATCCCTCATAGGGAGGGGTGGATTTGGAAAGGTTTACAAAGGGTACATTACTGGCATTTCACAGGTTGCTGCCATAAAAAGGTTGAATGCGAACTCCAAGCAAGGAGCTCGTGAATTCTGGGCTGAAGTTGAAACACTTTCCAAGTTTCGTCACAATCATATTGTTTCTTTGATAGGCTACTGCAATGAGGGCTCTGAGATGATCCTGGTATACGAGTACATGCCCCGTGGAACACTTGCCCATAATATCTACAAACTAGCCAGAAACGGAAAGGAAAGCATTATTCTTAGTTGGGAGCAAAGGCTTAAAATCTGCATTGGTGCTGCTCGTGGCCTGGACTACCTCCACACGGGAACTGAACATGGAGTAATCCACAGAGATGTGAAAGATACAAACATCTTATTGGATGAGAATTTTGTTGCTAAAATCTCAGATTTCGGGCTATCCAAATTGGAAACGTTCAGTGAATCAAAGAGCTATATGAGCACAAGAGTCACGGGCACATATGGTTATCTGGATCCTGAATATCATATGACTCGAAAATTGGCTAGAAAGGTTGATGTGCATGCTTTTGGAGTTGTACTGTTAGTTGTCTTAAGTGGGAGACCAACGGTAGATGTTAGAAACCCGGAGGATCAGCCGAGTCTTTTGTCAAGCTTCCGGGATTGCAGTGCACAAGTGGACTCCGAGGCGATTATTGATCCCAGTCTACAAGGGAGAATTTCGGCAAGCAGTTTAAAAGAATTTGTGAAATCTATTGAGAATTGTTTGCATCAGCAGCCAAAGAAACGACCTACGATGGCTCAGGTGGCAGCAAGTCTTGAGCTAGCACTGGGCAGCAGGACAAACCAACGCTTTCTGGTACTGAAGATGGTGCAGACATAAGCCAACTTTCTGAGGATGGAAGGAGCGAGTTGATGCACTTCAGCCAGAGCTCTTCACCACCAATGCCCGAGGAGAGTGTCACATGGTCTCCAAAGGAAGAAATCACTAAGGAACCAACTGAACCCAAAAAAACAAAGATGAGAGAGGACTCCTCATCAGCCAAAAAACCGATATGGGGTTGGCCCTGGAGAACGGTTTGGAGCAGGGGGAAGCCAATGAATAAAACAGGTATGCTTTTGAGAAATGAATCCAGTCCCTGCTCCTCAGGCTCACTGAGCTATATCATTCAGGTTCCTGTTCTCGATTCAGGGTATCAAAGAAGCTACAAACAATTTTTAGTGATGGTTATAATCTATGAATTCCGTTGTCATAATAAGCACGCTTGATTTTCGCTGCAAGACTAGCAATCTTAACACCTCTATTTTCTTTTTCAGCTCAAAAAATGAGTGGCACACCCAACAGAACAGATGGTCGGTTTTCATTTTCCGAAATCTTGAAGATGACAAAAAATTTTCAGAGTTTTCTTGGACAAGGCGGGTCTGGAAGAGTCTACTATGGTGTCACTGAAGGGAAACAAGTTGCTGTAAAGTTACTCGTTGACTCTTCTAGGCAAAAAAGACATGACGAGTTTCTGAGTAAGGTAAAGTTTTTGCATCAAAGATAGTGCGATTCAATATCAATGCTCGAAGAGAGGCCTCAAGTAATAATTATAAAACCAAACGATAAATTCATCCAGCATTTATACAGTGTTTAAACCTTTTCACACATGAATTTATATGACAGGCAAAGTTGCTGACTAGGGTTAATCATAGCAATTTAATAATGCTGGTTGGGTACTGCTGCGAAGGCAACCATATGGCGCTGATATACGAGTACATGGATAACGAAAACTTAAGAGACCATATTTTAGGTAATATTCAGACGTATGTTTCTGGTTTCATTTCTGTTCAATTGCTTTAGACATAGCAACTTAATCTTGGATAAAAAAAGATGTTATAATTTTGTTTCGGTCTAGTGTCTAGGAAAGTAATCAATTATGTGTTCCTCTTGTTTATGAAGTTAAAGATGGCAACGTCTTGACCTGGTCACAGAGGCTTCAAATTGCAATGGATGCAGCGCAAGGTCAAATTTTGATTTGTTCTGAATTCTACTTGCTCGTTATATTTCTTCCATATACTACATTACACTCAAAACATTTAATATATTATTTGCAGGACTGGATTATTTACATAATGGTTACATACCTTTCATAATTCACGGAGATATCAAGTCGTCAAACATCTTGCTAAATAAAAATAATGAAGCCAAGTTAACTGATTTTGGGGTTTCTCGGTCCATCGGCGACTCTTCTGTGACAACTGTACTTGTCGGCACCGCTGGATACTATGATCCTGAGTGAGTAATGAACGCTTTTCAGCTGTGCAATTATAATTTCTCGTCGTTCCATTTGCATTTTTAATACTTTTGGCTCTCAGGTATTTCGAAACAGGGAGTCTGACTGTGAAGAGTGACATTTATAGCTTCGGAATTGTCATCCTGGAACTGGTCACAGGCCGGCCAGTGATCATAGAGGCCGATGACAGGCGCCCCATCTATCAATGGGTTTGTTATCAACTAGAGAGAGGCGACATTGCAAGCATTATTGATCCAAAGTTGAAGGGGATGTATGATACTGATTCTGTGTGGAGAGCTCTGGACTTAGCCATGCAATGTGCTTCTCCGAGGTCTGTCAATCGACCAGTAATTGCTCATGTTGTGACGGAGTTGGCAGAATGTTTGGTATTAGAATTAACACGCGCCGAGGCCAACCATATTCCGAATTCGAGAATTCTTTTAATTCCGAGTTTTCCCCAAGCTAGAAACTATGCAAATTGTCACATAATTTCCAGCGAAGTCAGACCTCTCAGAAAATAGCTGGAGAAGTTCCACTGTGTTTCTCAACCAAACTTTTGTGTTGTACATAATTTTCTTTGTCTCTTTTCACAGTTGCCGTCCTTGTTTTCGCAATATTTATGTAGAATTGTTTTTTTATAGAATTTCTTTTTAGAGTAAAATGTTCAAATGATTCTTTACATTTAAGTTTACTTGATTTTACGTCCATAACATTAACATCATTTCAATATCGCACTCACAAACATTATGTTTTTAACCTTTTTTTGTCCCATTTTACTGTTTATACCATTTTTCCCTGCAGCTTAATGTTGACCGACCGTTGACATGCCAGAATAAGGAATATTTTTGTCTTTTTATTTAATCTGAACTTTCATTAAAATTTAAATCATTAAAAATATTATAAATTTACATTTCATTATTTAATTATTAAAATATTATTTATTAATTTAAAATATTATTAATAAAATATAGTAATAAAGTATTTCTAGATGGCCTTATTATGCTGTAAAATAAATCTCAAACGGGGTCAGCTTATTAATTGGTCTCGTTTTTCATTATTATAAAGCTGGATTTTTATTTATTTATTTTTATTTTTTTTGCTGAAGCTGGGAAAAATTTTGAAGTTCGGTATGTTTGGGAGAGTTTTTCCCATTTCTAGGCGGAAAATTAAAGAAGTGGGTTGTTAATAATCCCTCGAATTATAATCTGGGTCGGAGTTAATTTTTGGATTTTACCGTGATTTTGGCTTTGGGGTTTTACATGTGCTTGATAAAGGCGGCGAACATGCGAGACTCAACCACCACTAGCAGCAGCGGTCATGGAAGATGTCAGGGGAGGAACCCGGAGAGGGAGAACATCGCCACCACTGCAACTTCCGCCTCCGCATATATGACCATCGCCGCCGAAGCCGATTCCAAATCCCAATTATTTCATCAATTTTCGGAGCACTATCAAGAACAATCAAATTACCTTTTTTTCTTCCACCACCGCCGCCGAAGCCGATTTTCAATCCCAGTTATTTCATCAATTTCCGGAGCAATATCAAGAACAATCAAATTATCTTTTTTTTTCCGCCGCCGCGGCCGGAGGAGCAGGGATCGGGTTGCCTAATGTATGAAGGGTACAGTCAACCGGGGGAGATGTCGGCGATGGTGACGGCATTAACGAACGTGGTTTCTGGACAAAGATCGAGTGGCGGATCATGCGGTTATAACATTGATGCCGGCGGATATGAGCAGCCCTGTTACGCCGTGGCTCGGTGTTGGTGGTTCTGGTGTTTATTCATCAGGCCGGTTGCTCTTCACCCCCCTCGATCGCCTCCATAAGTTGCCAAGGTATCTAATGAAGCAAGGCTAGTTGCGGCAGGATGAACTGATGGGTGGTGGTTGTGGTTGTGGCGGCGTCGGCGGCGGCGGCGGCGGCAGCGGGGTGAGTGGAAGAGAAACAATTTTAAAATTTTATAATAATATTTTAAATTTATAAATAATGAAATGTGAATTTTATAATATTTTTAATGATTTAAATTTTAATAAAAGTTCAAATTAAATGAAACGACGAAAATACTCTTTACTCCGTAAACAGTGGCGTAAACAGTAAAATGAGACAAAAAAAATTTGAAAACATAATCTTTGGGAGTACGATATTGAAATGTTAATGTTATGAATGTAAAATCAATTACGCCCACATGTAAAGAACCATTTGGACATTTTAGTCTTCTTTTATTTGTTTACACAATCAAAAAGATAATGTCTTAAATTAATAAGATATTGCAAAATGCTGGCATGAAATACCAACTATATCATAATCCAACTATGATTTTAATTTTTTCCAAAAAAAAAAACTACCATTTTAACACAGCCAATAACTCTTCAAACCAGTTTGTTAGCCACCAAAGAAGATGGTAGCGAATATGCTGCAAATTTCTTTAATTGTATACTCTTTATATCCTAAAATTATTGATTAAAAATAAAATTCTAAATTGGACAATAATTTTGAAATGAGAGGAGTATATGTTTTATTTTTTTACCGACCAATCCCACTTTCACAAATATTGCTCCAACCAAATTTTGATGAACTCCAATAATATCCTTGTCACCCGTTTAACATCTGAACAACACTAATATTATCAACTTCAACAATAATCTTATGTATCCCAACCAAGTTGCAAACCTTGGAATAACCCCACAATTAGACTCCTGTGATTCCTCCACGCCATCGACCAAAATGATCCCACGTAAGACCCGTCAATGTCATTATGATTTCAATTCAGCTAGTTAAAATTTGAAATCTTACCATTCGGAAATAAAATAGTTCATTTCATTGAATTAGATTACTGGGAACATTTGTCTGGAAGGGGTTTTTAAGCTACTAATTTTGCCGACTAGTCCAAACGCGAAATATTATGCCTACAAACAATCTTTTAGGATACTTTTAAAATATCATAAAACTTGATCGGAAAGTTTTGAATAAATAAAAACCAATGTGCCATTGTTGTGAAGATGAAGAAAAGTCGTCTACTTTCCCAGTTCCTTCCTAGTTCCTAGTTACTAATTTGAGAGCTCTAGAAAATTGGAAGACCAAAAAGGAAGTACGAAATAGTCCATCACAAAAGCAGAGGAAGCATCGAAGGATTGGAGAATATGAACCAAATCAATCTTGCTAGGACTCCGGGAACAGAGAATGGGCTGCCGGAGGGTATATTGACGGAAGTGCTGGTGAGGGTGGATATTAAGACACTACACCAAGCCAAGTGCGTTTCTAAATCTTGGCTCGCCATCATTGAGGGTTCAGTATTTCGTGATGCATATCGTGCTCATCGTCTTGGCTGCCTTATCTTGTCGATTCCAGAACCGATCATCGACCCCGGTCAAGGTAGTTCTCGACCCACCGGAAAAAATCCCCGGACCGAGCAAGTCAACTTCTTTGCCTCGAGTATTGTTGCCGACGGGATCCAACCGGGGCAGTTTTTCCGGAGTTCATCCCTTGCCCTCCCAAATTTCTCCGTGGGATTTACCAAAGTGGTCAACGGGCTGGCTGGCTTGTGTTTATGAAAAGGGTTCCATCTATGACACCAAACGGATATTGGTGTGCAATATCTGGACTGGAGAATCAAGGAGGCTTCCGGACATCAAATATCGGCCGGTTAGGTATGGAACCCCTGAATTCAACTATTATTTTGGGTATGATGATACCAGAAAAGTGTACAAATTGCTGAAATTAAGTAACCTAAAACATCTCATATCGGTACCCACGCACAGTTTTCCGTCGTCTTACTTTAGGATTGATTGCGAGGTTCTAACCCTAGGCTGTGACTCCTACTGGAGAAGGTATCCAGTTGTAGATATTCCAGGTGACCAAAATGCACATTCTCACTTGGGTCTCTTTTGTAGTGAAGTGCCCCTCTTAGCTAATGGTGTTATGTATTGGATGATGTCCTTGGGGCGTAATAGACATTGTGTCATTTCTTTTGATCTATTGAAAGAGAAGTTCAGATTGATTTCGCCACCGCAAGATCCTTCATTTATGATCTGGGGTGTTGTATGGCCTTTTGCACAAATTGGGGGACGCCCTGCTTTGTATCAGTTCAAAGAAGATTTCTGCTTATGGCAGACATCTTTTCTTTTACTTGCTCGATGATGAGGATCAATGTTCCTGGAGCAGTCATGCAATTCCCATCCCCTCTGAGCTTGAAATCCTGGGGGTTTTTCCGGTTTCAATCGGTAACCTTCCTACTGGCCAAACCTTATTAAAAATATTTTCTAATAATTTGAAGAACACAACGAGTTTGAAAATATATTCTTAAAGTTTTTTTTCATATTAAAAATACATCCTAGTTGAAACTTAGGACAAATCAAAACTCTTTATAATGAGGACCGGAGGGAGTATTAGTTAGGAGTCTTGGTTGAACAATGTAACTCGGGATACTTCGTTTGGTGTTGGCAGAAGTTCTAGAAGAAGATGAATATACCTGAAGACTGATGGGAGCCGGAAGGTAAATAATTTTGGTGCGAAAAAAGCCGCAAATGCAGGAAATTTCTCCTCTTGTAGCTCTGGTTTATGTTGACACAGAGATTCTTTGGCTTCATGCCTTAATGGTTTACGTTGTTACATTTTACATTTACGCTTGAAGAAGTCAAAGAAACCAGAAGACCAAACACAAGACTTTTTGATCGAAAAAGCATAACTCATTGCATCATCATCATCATCTGAAGGCCCAAGCATTAATAAAACTTTCTTCTGTGTCGAAAACCCAGATCTTTCCTCTTTCCTTTGGCACCTATCTCCTTCTTCATTCAATCGCAAAATGGAGTAACAGAAGAGGAGGAATTGGATGAACCAAACCAATTATTCTATCAGCGATGAAGAGGACACAACCCAAGTTTCGGCCACCAGAATTAGAAAATGGGCTTCCAGATGAGTTGATCTTGGAAGTACTCGCGAGAGTGGAGAATATCAAGACCTTATACCTGGCCAAGTGTGTTTCCAAATCTTGGTGCTCCATCGTTGAGGGTCCGGGCTTTTTCGATGCATACCAGTCTCATCATGCCGGCGGGCTGGTTCTGTCCGTTGCAGAACCGATCAAAGATCCCAGCCTAAGCAGTAATCGACCCACCCTCAAAAATCCCTGGCCCGTCAAGGTAAATTTCTTCTCTTCAACTCTTGTTGCTGAGGGGTTTCACCCCCGACCATTTTTCCGAAGTTCTTCGATCCATCTATCGAATTGCTACAGGGGACTTACGACTGTGGTTAACGGGTTGGTCTGCGTTTTTGAAACCACCAGATTATTGGTCTGCAATATCTGGACTGGAGAAACTATGCAGCTCCCGGACGTTGGGTACCGGGAGAATAGATGCGGGTTTGTTGGATCCAAGTACTATTTAGGGTATGATGATGACACAAGAGTTTACAAATTGCTTAATTTAAGTGAACTTTATCAGTCAATAGTGGTACCTCTTGATCAGTTTCGGTCTCCTTACTTTAAGCTTGATTTTGAGATTCTTACCCTAGGTCATGATTCATCCTGGAGGAGGCATCCTGGCGTTGCTGGTGGTCCTCTTGTTAACATGGGTTCTTTTTTCACTGAAGTGCCCCTTTTAATCAAAGGGGTTCTGTATTGGATGATGTCCGGTCAGCTAAACAATTGTTTGATTTCTTTTTATTTGAATAAGGAGGAGTTCCAACTGATTCAAGCCCCACTGAATGATCCTTCAATGATCTGGGAGCATATTTGGACTTTTGCGCAAATTGGGGGACGCCCGGCTCTGTATCAATTTAGAGAGAATGTTGACTATGGTAGACATCTTTTCTTTTACTTACTCGATGATGATTCTTGGAGCAGTCATTCGATTCCATTTCCCCCTGAATTCGTCGACTTAGATTATTTGACTTCAATTGGTAACCTCCCTACCGGCCAGACATTGTTTATCAAAGAGAATTGTTTGAATGATCTTCTTGGGAGCTCTACGACTATATACTCTTATGATCATCAATCGAAGGAGTTTGGGAAGCTATTTGTGGGCAAGATATGTCACCTTAAGCGTAATAGTCGTGTGGCCAAAACTTATCTGCGACGTACTATAGTTACTTGTTTGCAGGAGGGTAGCATTGCTCCATTGGACGTCCAGTTGAATGGAGGTTGATGTTGGAGGTATCCACAGCTTTTTGTTCCCTTCTATTGTGTTTTGTCTGCAAAAGGAAAGCATCGTTCCAGCAGATGTTCAGCTGAGTGAAGCGTCATGGTGGAGTGGAGCTTGAAGGTCTAAGTATCAGTGCAAGAAGAGATACTTCCTTTATATCTTGGGGAATGATATTATTGATTGCAAAATATTTCTGACATTGTTATCTGCTCTAGAGCAAAGGCATTCTTTAGAAAAGATCAGGAATGGGAAAAAATGCTGAATGGAAAGTAAGTTGTTGCTTATAATTCCACGTAGATGCGCTTAAATTTGAGGTCATATGAAGTTGTAAAATTCAAAGATTGGTTTTGAATCTGTTAATTCTGAAGGAATGCTGAGTGTATAAGTAAACAGTGTTATACAATGGTGTTATTTGAGAGGGATTATCATGTAGGAGTATTTCCTCCGCTATCCCAGTGAAGGTGGCTGCCCTTGGTCTGCATTTCGGTTATGTTCAGTGATTATACAATAAAGTCCGATAAATGATGCTTAAACTTATGAATTTTTCTAGGTATTAGTATTAGTAATATAATTTATTATATATTAATTTAATAATCAAAATATACTATTTTAGTTTGGCTAATAATTGAATGTAGTCTGTATATTTCACTTTTTTTTTCTCTACATTTTTTAATTGTCCTTTTCTTTTTCTCTACATTTTTTCATCATTATACATAATATCAATTAATTTACCCGTATCTCTAATTTAATTTTCTATTATATATTATTTGTGGTTAATTTTGTACCTTCTCAATGAAAAGGTGATTGAGATAATTCTCTGGTATTGCATTTTTCTCTTCTCCCCCAGACAATCTTTCTCCACTAAAAAAATAACTGTTACAAAATTAAACTCTAAAATGCAAAATAATTTTTTTTTTTGTATTAATTCATGTGAAAATTTACAAAAGAATTTATGAGAAGATGACTCAATGTATGCATGAACAATTAAAATGTAGGGAGAAACTAGGAATGGATTTTTTTTTTGTTTTTTTTTTAAAGCAAACTAGGTTAATACCCGGTTAATTTATTGATAAAATAAAAACTTTCTGGGCAGTACTTAAGACTTACCCCGTACAATGAAGAACCGTCACAAATGACGGTGATTTAAATATAAGTAAATTATATCAGGAACAGACTAGTCGTAATACACTTGTCTACGTCAGAGACATTTGCACAGGGACATTTGGACTGGGATTGGAGTCTAATTCATAATTTAACGAATAAAGACAATAGAGTTTCAACGATTAACCTCTTAAGCAAATATATAACCACATTTTTCTAAGGTATAATTACTAAAATATAATACAATAGTTTTACCACAGCCAACATGCTATTAATATTCATTTTCAGGGATTTTATTTGTCATTTTGGAGGTGGAGTCTCAGAGCGATGACGCAACATTATTCAACAAAGAAGGAATGCCGATCATTGACTTTGCATTTGCCCATTATTGTCCACATCTTCGTACCATTACCAGCATCGTACTCCGTTGTTTGATTGAGGGGATAGAGAATACGCTTTTGGATATATTTTTACTTCTTTTCTTGATGAAACTGGTTTGCAAGATAAAGAATTTGATGATTATAGGCAGAAAATATATAAAACTAACAATAAGGACATTTCATTCTAAAAAAAAAAAAACAATAAGGACATTTACTTCTCTGTCCAAAAAGACACAGAAAAGAGAACATTCATCAAACATACTTCTACAAATTTAATTTCACAGAAAAAAGCATATAAATATGATGCATTTTGTTTGCTCATGCACCTCCTCCTTCATCTTTAACCCAACAGGTCTATCTTCATCGGGAAAAGAAAAAAGAAAAATAAAAAAGATAATTCAACTATACCCAATAAACTTTCTCATCCTTCTACAATTATAAAGCTAATTTAATCAAAAGCAGAACTTTTTCTAAAAAAAATAAAACTGAGATCATGCCTTGACATACAGTATGTTTTCAATTGCAAGAATAAACATCCCATGTCCGAGATGAAGAAGCAATGACACCCAAAAAAAAAATATAAAATGCAACAATAAAATTCCTCCTGGAGAAGGCATCGAAACCCTGATGGAGTCCCTTCTGACTTGGGGTTTTTTTGCTACTGATGCCGCCCCCCTTTTAGTGGACGGAGTTTTGTATTGGCAGATGTCGGTGGTGTTTAATCGCCTCCAGTGTGTGATTTCTTTTGACTTTAGCAGAGAGGAGTTCCGACTGATTTCAGCCCCAGATGATCGACTTGTTTGTTGGGGATGGGATTTTGCGCAAATTTGGGGCCGCCCTATCAGTTGAGGGAAAACATTGATTCTAGTACACATCTTTTCTTCTACTTGCTCGATGACGATCAGTGTCGTTCCTGGAGCAGCCAATCCATCCCTTTACCTCCTGAATTTGGCAATGAAGGGTCTTCTCTGAATTCGATTGGCAACCTCCATACTGGCCAAACGTTATTTGCCAAATCCAGATCATCAAACAAGGGGGTTTGGAAAGCTACTTGTGGGCAATATGTCATCTAACCCAGTGCGGGGCTGTTTTGTGGATGAAAGCTCTGTAGACTGTACCAATGTTTCTTGTCTGCAGGAGGGAACCATTCTTCCGTTAGATGTTCAGTTGGGCGGAGCTTGATGTTTGGAAGTCTTTGGTTTATCACTTTGTTTGGAAGGAGCTTGAAGTTGAAGTATCAGCACCACGCTGATCTGCTCATCTTCTTTTAGTTTATGCTTTTGGATAATGTGTCATCAAATTGGCTATGGTATGCCTGTAGGGTGGAAGCTTATTTCTAGTTTATGTCTGTCTGAGATGCTTATTAAGTACCTTATGAAATGTTTCTGTAATTTAACTTCACTGGGTACTTGCGAATTGCATTACGTGTTGTAGAAATTTGAATATCTGTTATGCCTCTGTTAGTTCAGAAGGGACTGTGATGCAGAAGTTTTTCAATGCTGTTAAACTTGAAATGGCAGTATGATTTTACGCTGTTTGATTGTGTATGTCCGAATCCGTTTTATCTCTTGACTGAGAGTATGTGCAGATAAAATTTCCGGCAGATATTACAGGTACTATTATCCTTTTTTTGTTTTGGTGAGAACGATAGTACTCTAATGCCTTGAGGGAAATTTGAAACTTGGACGCAAGTGCCACAAGGGGAAAATGGTGCCTTTATTGTCAATTATCAATACATTTTTTAGTTGCCTTTTCCTTTCTAATTCTTATGATCATCAGACAAAGTAGTTTGGAAAGCTACTTGTCGCAAAGATACCATCTCATCTACTGCATTATCCTCTTCCTGAAACTATAGTACTCCGTGGTATGGTTACTTGTCTACAAGAGAGCTCTATTTTTCCATCAGAGATTCAGTTGGGTAGAGCTTGAAGTGGGAAGTATTTTTAGTTTATGCTTTCGGTCCTTATTATAAGACATTTTGATTTATCTTAGATTTGTCTAAAATTTCACCTAGAATGTCTTTTTCATTGAAATAAAAACCTTAAAAACATTTCATAATAATTAGGATAACACGACGAATGTGAAAATATATTTTTAAGATTTTTGCTCCAATTAAAAATGTATTCTAGCCAAACCTAAGACAAAATCAAAATGCCTTATAATAAGGACGGAGGATACTATTTGTGAAAATTATTCTGCATTTAATTCTAAGATTCTATTTGCTTTCTGTAGCTGTTTACCTGAAAAAATACCCCAAAAGAAAAGAAGAAAATTGCTTTGTGGAGAATCGTTGCTACTCATCATCACTGAATATTCTTCAAGTTTGGCAGTAAATTTGAAGATAGTTCTTTATCATTAGCTCGGACGGATTGTGATAAAGGAGTAAATTTGAAGATAGTTGCTGAATGCTTCTAATGAACTTGGAAGGATTGTGATGTATGAGTTATAATATCGGCTGTATGATTGAATATGCGTAAATATGCTAATCCCTTGATTGAGAGAGTATGCTGATAAAATTCCTTGGGAGGTCCGTTCAAGAATATGCACCAGAAGATTATTAGTTATAGAGTCCTCATTCTTGTGCAGGTAGGTAGTCATTGCTGAACATGAACTCTTACAGTTGTAACTTGTAACTAGTTTATTCAGTCTCATTAGGCTTCACGTTTTCTGAAAACATTGTAAAGCCGTTGCTTTTATTGTTTGATAGGCTCTAAGAGAATCTCATAAGAGTTCATAGACCTGAAAACAGCAGAATAATGTATTTTTTGTATGTGGAATCAGCAGTATGAAAGAATTGCAGCATAGGATTTGTGATTTTGGCACTTTTAAGCACTGGGATCGAATGAAAATTGGGCCAGAACAGTTGAGCACAATTGCATATTATTGTAGTGGTTTTAATCATCCCTTTCGATCTTCTACATCAAGTTTCAGCAGATTTGGGCGAATGTTGTTGCCTTGAAGCTGAACTGTGGGGACTTTTCTTTGGTCTTCAAATCGCGTGGCTGTTGGGCTTCAGGAAACTTATACTGGAAACGGATAATATTACTGCCATCAACTCACTCAAATGCCTACAAAATGCAGAGATATCTCCAGCAATATCATGAGAAGAATCCTTCTACTTTTTTACAAACAATAGTTTGTTGTCTTCCTCCAGTTCCACAAACGTAGGAACCGCAACGAAGCAGCGGATACTTTAGCCAAATTTGGTTTCTTATGTCCGCCCGGATGCATGTCTTATCACATCCACTGCCTTTCGCAGTAGCTTAACTATAATCTGTCCCACATTGCCGCACCTCATTCACTGCCAATTAATTTTGAGATGGGAGTCTAAATTACTTATATACTTTGACATTGTATCAGAGCATGCTGGGCCTGTGGTGGAGTTCTGGGCCGAAGGTGGCCTGTGGTGATTTTATATTCTCAATGGACTTGAGGGAAGGTGTTAAGATGTATAATCTGTCCCACATCGAATATAAGTGTCAAAAGTCACCCCACTCATTGCCCGCCACTGTGAAGAGAATATAAGTGTTAAATGTCACCCCACTCATTGCCAATTGGTTTTGAGATGAGAGCCCAAATTACTTACTCCCTCCGTCCCATAATTATTGTCCAGTTTTACTAAAATGAAATATTTTATTTTTGGTCAAACTTAATTATATTTTACCTTAAACAATCGGATATACCCCTACATAAGTAATTGTTTAACCACTAAGATTTTATGGATAATGTTTTTTACTAAGGACAAATGTGTAACTTGATCCATAAAAAGTCAAATTAAGACAATAATTTTAGGACAAAATTTTTTGGGCAAAGTGGACAATAATTATGGGATGGAGGGAGTATATACTTTGACAGTAGTCATTTTAGTCATAAGAGCCCAAATGACTTATATACTTTGACAGTAGTAATTTTAGACATAGATCAGTTGTCTATTATACCGAGTTCTGAGATGAGAGTCCAAATTACTTATATACTTTGACAGTAGCCATTTTAGACATAGATCAATTGTCTATTATACCGTGGATGTAGGGATTGTGTATCTAAATTATTTCTAGCTTCCTTCGTATACGTAAAAAATTCTAGCTTCCTTTGTATACGTAAAAAAAAAAAAAAGAGTTTCAATTGTGTATCTAAATTATTTCTAGCTTCCTTCGTATACGTTAAAAAAAAAAAGAATTTCAACTTTGATTATTCAGGGGCAATACTAATCTATTCCAACATTTGTACTTTCTCCTTTCTAAAATTCCTACTAAAAATAAAAATTCAAATTAGAAATAATTTCGGAACAGAGGCCATTAAAGGCGTGACATTTTACTTTCCAATATAGTCACGCTTTTGGTCTAATTCTATATCCATTGCCATCCACATCCACAATAAAATAAGTACAATACTAACTAAAGACGAGAAATAAAGGCACCGGAGCTTCTGCCTGCCGCCGCCGCACCGTCACCGCCGCCCGGAGCTTCTGTCCTTGGCCTGAGTACTTTTGGGGGGAAAAGATTTATCGGAAGGTTCGTGTCTTTCTTTCTGTACCTTCATCGTCTTTATATGAACTGAATTCTAAATATGTCAATGGATACCACCGCCTGTGAGACCATAGTCCCCAGCCGCTACGTAACCTTTACGTTCCCCAATCCCCTCCCTCGCCCACTCCCCCACCTGCTCCACACCTCGCTCCTCCACATCGCCGTACTCGACTCTCCTTCCACCGTTGCCGCCGCTGCCGGCAAAGTCGAAGTCGCCGCCATGTTAGTCCCACCGAATCGCCAACACGACTGGATCTTCTCCGCTCAAACAGGCCATCTCCAGCTACTCCTCACCTTCCCCCAGCTTTCCCGCCTCATTCTCATCTCCAATTATTATAATGACCCAGTTGGGCTCCTCCCCTCCGCGTCTAAAGGTCAGTCGGTGACAGATTGTGAAAACCAGATGGACCAAATTCAAGTGAATTTAATGCCATTACTGTTCGCTTTGACTCCCAAATCGGCTTTTGATCAGAACCGCAGGTTTCCGGAAATACCTTTCTTGAGCTACGAGGATGATGTTATCCGTAGCCAAGTCTTGGAAACTTTTTATGGCCCCTGTGTAGGTGAAATGTTGGTCGAAAACGTCGAGTTGGAATTGGTGACTGGCAATGATAGCGTTCGGGAGTTTAGGAGGAGGTTGAGGTATAAGAGAATGCCTAATTTAGTTCAAACCCAGGTGAGGATTCATCCTGTTGTTGCATTAACAGCGGGCATTGAATTAGATGGGTTAAAGTTCAGGGTGGATAGTGGGATACTGGTTCAACCCTATTTGAGTCCAATGGTGGCATGTTTGTCACTGATTAGTTCATGTTTGGATAAGAGAATCCATATGGGGTTTAGGCCTAGAGCACTTTGCTTAGGAATTGGAGGAGGGGCCTTAGTTGAATTTTTGAGTTCAGAATTGCAATTTGAGGTTGTAGGTGTGGAGGAGGATGAGGTTGTTTTAATTGTGGCGAATAAGTATTTTGGATTGAATGAGAGTGAAATGATCCATTTGTGCATTGGAGATGGTATTGAATTGATTCAAAAGCTCGCCTTTGAAGATTCTGATGCTGACCTTCGGGATCGCTTCAAGTTTAGAAATTCTGGTGGTTTGGATCATCTGCATGGTAATTTTGACGTGGTTATGGTGGATCTTGATTCCAGTGATGCTATACTGTGCAGCAGCGCACCTCCATTGGAATTTGTTAAAAAGTCTGTTCTTTTGGCAGCTAAAAAGGTTCTGTTCGAGCATGGAGTTGTTATACTCAATGTGGTTCCTGCAAGTAAGTCATTTTATGATATGGTGACTAGTGAGTTTGTGGAAGTGTTTGAGGACGTATATGAGATAGATGTTGGGAACGGGGATAATATGGTTCTTGTTGCCTCTGCCTCTGCCTCATTAATTGGAGCAGCTTGTGCTGATTATGATAATTCTTTTCTCCGGAAGTTAAATTCAAGTATTCAAGGGTCGCATATGAATTCTTTGAGGAAAATTTCAGGGACTTCTTTGCTTAAAAGTAGTTGATACTGAACTTCCATCACATAGTAATTACAAGGATTGTATGTGACCAGCTAAAAGGAACTCGTTCTAAGATTAGACGAGCCACCTTTGAGTGTTAAAAGCCGTGGATGGAATATAACATAGTTGGAGTTTCCTATCCACACAATGTGCTGATTTGGTTCAAGGCTTATGCCTCCATTGTTCCAAAAAAAAAAAAGAGTAACTCTTGAACTCTCTTAGTGGAAAATATATTTTCAAAATATGTTAAGGTAGTATCTTGGTGATAAATTTGGATGTTTTTCTTGTTTTTATGTAGTTCACTGGTAAAAATCATCATCAGCTCTATGGCTTTCTCGTAATTATTCAACTTGGTCCACATGAACAGATAAGCAATTGCTTCCGAACGTGTCAACCTGAAAGAAATTGGTTAATTATCATTATTTAAATGTGCATTTGGTGCTATGCCTATTATTCTCAGTGTGTTTGGTTGACTTTTTGTTCTGATCTATCAGATTGTCCATACTTCTATCTAGCTATTGGCAAAGAGAAAGTCTTGGTCTCCAAAAAGCCTTACTGGGTTGATAACAAAGCACATCCATGAAAAATGAGTGGATTGGAGCTTCTTTTGAATCTTCCACTACCAATAATCACTGATATTCTGTCAAGATTACCGACCAAGAGCATTGTGCAATGTCGTTGTGTTTGTAAGACATGGCTCAAGCTACTCTCAGAAAAGGAGTTTGCTACTTTGCATCTATCCAGATCTCCAATGTGTCTCATCATAAACAAGCTCGATTTTGATTCTTCTTCTGGAAGCTGCTTCAGTCTGGTCGAACTAGAAGACGAACCCGGACACCATAATCTTAGTGTAGCAGGAATGAAGCTCATTCTCCCATGCAGTTGTGATGAAGATGGTTTGACCATTGTTGGCACTGTCAATGGCTTGGTTTGCCTAAATCAGCGTAAGTATCTACATGATGCTGTTTACATTTGGAATCCAACTCTACGAGAGTCCATTGCTCTTCCAACTCCAGAGGGTGTAAGAGACTATCCAAATTCCATAAGTTATGGTTTTGGGTTAAGCACAAAAATTGGCCAGTACAAAGTGGTCAGAATTTTTCTAGAGTTGGAGAAGAGTTCGCGGCGAATATTGAAGTCCATTTGCCATGTTTATGCACTTGGAGAAGGGTCATGGAGAGTGATTGGCGATTGCCCGTATCTAAATAGCTGTTGTTCACATGGTGTCTTTCTGAACGGTAATCTTCATTGGCTGGTCGCTGATTCTAATGGTTCCGAACTCATATCTTGTTTTGATCTTGAAAAAGAGTCATTTGGTCCATTTCCTGCTCCTCCTGAACTGAGCAAGGATTTCTATTTGACCAGCTTTGGTTTATTTGGAAGCTATCTAAGCGTGTGCGACAACACTTCAGACTTTCAAATCTCCATCTGGGTGATGAAAGAATATGGAATAAAGAATTCATGGGTTTTAGAATTCGTTATAGACAAGTGGTCTGCAGATCTTCACGTGCTATCGTGTGAAATAGTTCGTGTTCTCAAAGTTTTCAGGGATGGGGTGATCTTGCTCTTGTGTAGGGATGATATTTTGCTTTCCTACAATTCTACCAGGGAAACCTTGCACCAGTTTGCCGTTCACAAACTCATCAAGTCCTTTGATGATCGGATGAATGAAGATAGCTCTCCCGATGAAAGATACCCTCGCATCGAAGCATTGGAATTTGTCGCCAGCTTTCTTTCCCTTAAAGATTTCGCAATGGAGGCCGTTGAAACCAAAAATAAGACTGGTAGACATAGATGTTGAGCAATTTTGCATTTTGTAGTTGTACCTTGTACTATCCACTAGCAGATATACTTTGTAATGATTCTGCAGCTTCTGCCATTAGAGAAACCTTTCCTTCGTTTGAATTGTAACATACTTTGAAGTTATTCCATCCCAGTTTGAATTGATGTAAACTTTTCTGAAATAAACTGTGTTTGTTGGCTGGAAATACATTCATTTTCCTTTTTGGGTGTTCAAGTATTGGATCAACTCTTCTCTGGACAAAGGAGACGGTATTGATGGAATAAGAACCATTTTCAACAGCAAGCAGAACCAGAGACATTAAACTCAAGATTGGAGCAAAGCCCAAAGAAGTGCAGTAGTAATATGTCAAATTTCATTCAAACCTTCTAACAAAGAAGAATCAACAGAAGGTACAATTGGGGGGAAAGATTTATCCCAGCTTAGGATAGAACTAAAGAAGGGTAATGAGGATAAAGATGAGAAGAGCAGCGACAAAGGAATATTTCAGAGCTGCCAACATAATGGCTATGGATATCACAAACAGCTGCCATAGCACCTGAACACTGGCCCAGGCAAGCACCCCTGTCAATCCGACGGCCACAACATTATCCGGGTCCGGGTCCAGCAACAGATCAACCCACTTAAGATTCAACCTGGGACGTCTGTTCTCGCCGGTTCCCCCACCGCCGTTACCGCCGACGGGTTCGCCGTTATTCTTCTTGGACCCATTCTCCTCGATTCCTTCCGCTTCTTTGCTCAAAGGGTCGTTTTTGTTATCATTTCCTCCGTTCCCGTTATTACCGTTAGTTGCAGAGGCCGAAATGAAGAAGAATCTCTTAGTTGGGAGATTTATTCTCTGTGGGTATCGAGAAGGGCAGCTTTGGAGTTTGAGGGGATTGAAGATTTGAACTGTAGAAAATAAAGGCGGAAGGGAGGAAGGTGGTGGTGTTACTGTCACTCCGGCGAAAGGGGCCAGCTTTCCGAGAACCGATCTCATTCTTCCCGAGCTTCCTTTCCGGCAATTTACCTCAGTAACGGAGAATATATATATTAATTTATTTGTGGTCTTTTTAATTTTTAGTGTTTTTTTTATTAATAATAATAATTATTAAAATTGAGTAAATTATAGTAAATTTTATTTGGATTCTTCTCTATCTTGGAAGAAAGTCAACACAAACAACTTCATTCTTGATCATATATCAACAGTTGGTGGGCATCGGCCAGTTACCTCATCTCAATTCTTCTTTTCATCAAACATTCGATTCGTATATCCATTTCTTCGAGCTCCGAGGGAAAAGAATTAAAGGAGCTGGGCAGCAGAAAAAGAAGCCGAGAAGAATAGGATAAGGGTGAAACCTTTGGGGAGGAGTCGAAGGTCAACTCCAGTTTGCTAAATTAATTTTGATACTTCAAAATCAGTAAGTTGTTTATTTCATTCTCCTTTAGCTCCTTATAGATTGGAAATCGATTGTTTGACTTATGTTAAAGAACGTTGCTGGGAAAAGCTGGATTGTGATACTGGATTAATCTATGAGTGATATTACAGTTTACTCAAGAAATTTGGTTTTTTTTTTGGGGGGGGTGTGTTTGGGTTCACATTGGGATAAGTAGATACCAATTTTAATATGTAACTGAGGATCTGAATGAGTAATATATACGCTAACTGAGGATTGAAGATGTTCTGGGCAAAGTGCAAAATGGGTTTACTGATGATGATAAGTTAGTGGATAGAAGGGAAGATTGAAAGAAACTGTTCTTTGGAGATATGGATATAGGTTACTTGGTGACTAGATTTGTTCCTTTCTTGTTTGTGTATATCCGTGGTTGGATTAGTACATAGGCATTATTTATCCTTTGATTTCATGGTATAATCGATGAAGTTTTCTCGATTGTTTGCTTGTAGGTTTATCTCCTTCATTTACAAGCGCTATTTTTGGCAGAGTTGAAAAATCTGATATGCAAAATGAAGCTGATTCGGTTTGTGGAGTAAACTTAGAGAGCTGTGATTGACTTGGGAAAGTTGTAAGTATACCACTTATACTGCTGAGAGGTAATGGACCCTCAAGAAGCGAGTGGTGAAGAAAGAAACCTAATTGAAATTTTGAAAGAAAACTGTCCTATTGATATGAACAAATATATCAGTTATGTTCAATCTCCACAATGTGGTGCTATAGCAACTTTTGCTGGCACAACACGTGACACCTTTGATGGCAAAACTGTGTTGGAGCTCAGGTATGAAGCTTATGTGCCCATGGCTGTGCGTTGCATTAAATCCATTTGTTCTTCTGCACGATCAATGTGGAATATCTACTCTATTGCAGCTGCTCATCGCCTGGGCGCTGTCCCCGTAGGAGAGATCAGCGTGTTTATTGCAATCTCTGCTGTGCACCGTGCTGATGCATTGGATGCTTGTAAGTTCCTAATTGATGAAGTTAAAGCAACTGTTCCCATATGGAAGAAGGAAGTTTATACGAACGGAGAGGTCTGGAAGGAAAACTCTGAGTTTCTAGAAAGGAGGCCCGAACTTGGGAAAACTGAGAATAATAAGGATAGATCATGCTGTAGTAGAAAAGTCAAGGCGGAAGAACCTCAGAAACAGGGCTGTTGTGGGGAGAAGGTGAAGGAAAGTGATTCAACAGCAAAATTTTGTGGCAGCGAATAAGGATAGAGGCATTCAGGCTTACCCAAGTCAAGCGTAGAGAATGGTTTGGTCTTCTGAAAGTCAAGTTGGATATGGCCCATTGTAATCAGCATGAATGATATGTCACAGAGCGCAGCACTAATGCCTTCAATAAGGCATTCCAGAACATCTAATTGTACACGAGATGTTATCATTTGTTTCATACTACTTCAAATTACTTAAGAACTACAGGGTTTTGGATTAGAGCTGATTTCAATCTTGTTGAAGATGTAATTTACAGGGGATTCTGTTATGTGCCCCTGAAGTTGCAATAAAAGAACTTTCCTGGCAATACGATTGCAATTGAGAGATTGCGAATCAAACAGTTTTATCTTACTCAATGTTGCAAAGAAACTTTTCTGCTGTTTTTGTTCTTTAACTCAAGACTGATCTAGCTACCTTATGCCCAGAAATTGAAATAGAAGTACTGGGACTTGTCCATGTTGGTTTATTGTCAGGAATATGTGATGGATAGACCAGACAGCATCGACACATCTTTGACTGCACAAGAATGGCATTTGCTGCACGCAGAGCTTCACCGGCCTAAATTTCCAGCTTCTGGCAATGTTTCTAAATGAACGTAACACTATTAAAGCTGACCTATTCTGGTAAACTGCGAAGTAGACGATGCCCCCTTAAATATTCAGTACCTCAATTTTTCTTACACGTGCACTAACATTGATTTTTCTTTGCATCCTCGTCATTTGTTCACACACAATGTTCCACATTTTCTCTCAACTAATATAGAAGTCAGAATCAGAAGTTGATGCACACAATCTTATTCATATTTTTACTGCCCAGAGGAAACAACAGCATCAAGCTTGTCTTTCTTCAATGATAAATTATCATTCATCATAAGATATCTCACGTTATCGATGAGGAAAGGAAAAGCAAAAAAAGAGGATAAAAGAAGAAGCCATGTCAGGTCTTCCGGCAGTGTTGATTGCATTTCTGTTTTTCATGGATTTTGTGAATGGTGATAGAACTCCAGCAGCCCAAGACAACAAAAGTCATGTTGCCATCAATTGTGGCTCTAGTGGAGACTGTATTGCACTTGATGACAGCAGATGGGTCAGAGAAGCAGGCTCAACAGCTTTCATGTCCGGCGAATCAAAAAGCTCTATAGCCGCTACAACTTTATTCCATGGTGCCTAGCTCGTTTCATATAAGACTTCAAGAATCTCAGCCGGTGGGTTCTGCTATACATTTCGACCCAACCCAGGTCAGAAATTTATTTGTTTGCATTTGTATATTGCTTCTTGTCACGGTTTCGAAAATTCTGTAGATTGTTTAACACTCCTGAGGTGTTATAGAACTTCTTTTTCTGCAGAGACTTTTGGTGTCAAATACATAATTAAAGAATCTTTTTTTAGGGTGGAAGAAACCCGACTAGTGGACATTACTTTTTCCCCTTCTCAAAATGGCAAGCAAAAGAACAAATTTTATGCTTTTGTGAATAGTATTGAAATCATTTCCAGTTCAACTGGCCTTTATTACACTAGACGTGAGTCAGGAGCCCAGTTAGGTGGTCTAAGCAAAACGTTGAGTATCATTGGTAATGGCACTACAATTGAACTAATAATACAGCTGTGTGATTTTGGCACGTTTTGCTGGTGGGATGAGAATTCTAAGAACTTCATAGAACTCAGAACTTTCCGAATGAATCATCAAGCTCTAAAGAATAAGTACGCACATGTGCCAGCATATATTGCACCGCAAAAAATTTACCAGATGTGGGAATCGGGTAGAAGCATAGGAGTGACCAGACACGTAACTACAAACCGAAAATAACAATAGAGTTAGGATTTGGATATTTGGTTGGGCATGATGTTGCTGAACTCGACGGCAGGATGCCAGAGAGAGAAGCAAGGGATTTCACTTTTCTTATCAACGATTACATTGTGGAGAAGAAGGCTGATGTGGTCAGATGGAATGGTATTGGGATCCCACTATACAGGGACTTTCTAGTGATAATGGAAGGGGACAGAGAAGGCAGCAAGTCTGTTATCTTGGTTGATCTGCAATCAGTTGCTGGCTTAATTTTTGGACTACTTAATGCATGAGATATCTTTACGCTGAGCAACCTTGAAAAGAATCATGCATCACCAAGTTTTGTTTTCCGAAAAAATGTGTCAACCAATTGGAACCCCAAGATAGAAAGTGTTTTCTCAATGTTTGGCCGAAGGATTGTTAATGGGAGTGCAGTTACAGCTCTCATCATTATAATGAGTGCGCTTGCCTATAAATGGAAAGTTTGCAACAAGAATTTGAATGATGAAAAATATGCTGAATCACTCTCGGTTGGTCATCTTGCCGTTGCTTCTCACTTCTTGAGATGAAGGTGGCTACCCAAACCTTTGAAGACGCATTTGTCATTGGGAAGGGAGGATTTGGCAAAGTGTATAAAGGGCTCATTCCTGGGGTTCCGGAGATTGTTGCAACTAAACGATTGAATTCCAACTCCAAGCAAGGAGCTCGTGAGTTCTGGACCGAAATTGACGCACTTGCTAAGCTCAGGCACATCAATCTTGTCTCCTTAATTGGATATTGTATTGAGTGCCAGGAGATGATTCTGGTGTATGAGTACATGTCCTCCGGAACACTTGCGGATAATCTCTACAAGATCTCTGGAGAGAAAAAAGATTTTGCTCCTCTTAGTTGGGAGCAGAGGCTTAAAATCTGCATTGGGGCTGCTCGTGGACTGGAATACCTCCACACAGGCTGTGAATATGGAGTCATACAGCGTGACGTGAAGGATACAAACGTTCTGCTAGATGAGACATTGGTGGCTAAGATTTCAGACTTTGGGCTCTCCAAGCTTGAGGAAAAGACCCACTCTATGAGCTACATGATAACACAAGTTAAAGGCACATTCGGTTATTGAGATCCAAACTATTTTCGAACCCAGAAATTATCAGGGAAAAGTGATGTGTTTGATGTTGGTGGTTTTGTCATCGGAGACCTGCTGTGGACTCTAGAATCCCTGGAGAGCCACACGGTCTTTCATTATGGTTCCAAAATTGTATGGCAGAAGGGGATGTGGATAAAATTGTTGATCGTGATTTGCAGGGCCAAATCTCATCGGACAGACTAGGGGAATTTGTGAAAATTGTTCAGAACTGCTTGCACGATCTACCTGAGAGACAACCTACGATGGCTCAAGTGGTGGCAGGTCTGGAGCAGGCATTGGAGCGGCACAAAAGCTCTTTAAGTTAAGCATTACAACTGATCACTGGCTATTCGGGCGAGGAGAAAACCAATCAGTTTTTTCAGGTAAGTCAACATCAAACCCCGGTAGTAAAGGAGAGTCTCTTATTTGCAACTAAAGGAATCAAAAGCAAACAGGCTAGGAATCTTACATCAATGGCTGAGCTAAAGGACTTGCAGTCCAAAGGAAATGACTCCTTTTGCCTCCAAAAACCATTTTGGGTTTGGCCTTTGAAAGCACATTTTTACTTAGGTAATGCAATCACCGGTATGAATTTTGTAGAATTGTTTTCAAATCTTTGTCAGTCATTTAGTACCTCATGGAGATGGTGAAGTATACCTTGAATTTTGTAACAATTGGCTAACTGTAATTGCTCCTAATCACATCAGTCTCACTTGCACGTACTCTTTCTAAACACCAGGGAACAAACACAAAGTGGAACGATCACCCTTTAAAGAGCTGCCATTGTACTGCTATGAGACACTGGCTGGTGCTACACAAAATTTTCATCCACAGAGAAAACTGAGATATGTTTCTTTTGCTACAGTTTACAAGGTACAGCAGGTTACTAATAAACTGCATCATAGATCCGGGCTTGTTACTAACTTCTGTCTTTGATTGATGGTAATTGCAGGGGATTCTGTCAAGTGGTCAGGAAATCGTAGTGAAAAGGCATTCAGGCTCTCAACAACAAGAGAATATGGAATTCAGGAATGAATATATGGTCATGTCTCAGCTGCAACACCATAACCTTGTTAGAGCCCTGGGTTGCTGTGTTGAAAGAAAAGAGAAAATGCTAATTTATGAATACTTGCCAAATGGAACCCTGGACGCAATTTTATTTGGTGAATTAATGATTGTTCTACACACTTGTGTTAATATTCCTGATGTGCAGGGAAGCAAACAAGTATTAGGTTGACTTATCAGTAACATGTTCCAATCTTTAAATTTACAGATCCTGGAAAACAGTCTTTACTTGATTGGACGAGGCGCGAGAGCATCATTAAAGGGATTGCGACAAGCCTCCATTATCTTAACCGAAATTCAAGATTCAAGGTTATTCGTGGAGATCTAACAGCAAGTAACATCCTCTTAGATAGAGAACTGAATCCAAAAATATCAATCTTCCGTGTTTCAAGAGTATACAGAAACAACCAGGAGCAAATAACCAGGGTTTCAACGAGGGGAATGCAGGTGAAAAAGTAGTTTTCCTTTCTAGCTTTGCTCCTTTCGTGATCTTTCAAACCATCTCATCAAGACTAACTTCATTTGTTTATTAATGACTCTTGTAATGCAGTCTTGATACGGCTTCAGACTGCCTAACGGAGGGATTAGTTTCGGAGAAGTCAGATGTCTACAGCTTTGGGGTGCTGCTACTAGAGATCATACGTGAAAAGAGATGCAGCACTGGTGGTATTGGCACGGATTACCTTGGACTGATAGGATGGGTACGATGCATTTAACACTTGCAACATAAATTTTCTTCCATTTCCTAATCATGTTCACAGCCTCCACATTTTAATCTTCTTTTCAGGCCTGGAAACTGTGGATTGATAATAAAACAGTAAAGTTGGTTGATCCAGCGATTCTATCTCCAGGCATTGAACTGGAAATAGTGAGATACATCCACGTTGCGTAACTGTGTGTTCAAGAATCTGCAATGGATTTACCAGACGTGTCTGTACGTGTTTCGATGTTGAGCTTCCACCGCCCAAACTACCTGTTTATTCTGCATGGAAGAGTGTGCATGGCAATGAAATTTGTGCACAACACGGAGATTCTGTTAGGGATTCAACAACTTGGAAGGAAGATAGCAGTTTACCATGTTGTTGTAGTGAATGTACTGTATAGAGCTTTTCTCAACTAAGGAAACACTAAAAACTTAGGCCTTGAAGATCAGTATTGTGCTGATCACTGGCACCAATTGTGAGAACTACATAACTTGAAACAATCTGTTGGGCCTCCATAGTTTTAAACCGCTTTTACTTACAATTCAAATAATTGACTCTTAACGTGACATTAATGGATCTTATTATGGTTGCTTCTGACCTTTTCAATCTGTTGCTGAATTTCTTCGTCAGATCATCATTTTCTGGCTTTCGCATTTTTCTGGCCAGTTTTCTTTGTACCTTTGCAGGTCACCTGGCGAAAATGATACGCCCGGGATTCCAGCTCAAAAAAAGAACAAACAAAATCAAATTCATTTGGTCAAGGCAGCCGCTTAAAACCATGTCAAACAGTCATCAGCCTGTACTTCAGGCTGCTTCATGTCGCCACTGAGAAATACTCGGGTCTGGTCATTTTTCTTTCTTTGTTTCTTTTAACAAACTGGACCCAAATTTACATGCACTTCAATGTTTTGAAGAAACTTTTCGTCAGTATTTCCTCCTTAGTTTAATACAGTATTCATTTTATGAACAGTTTTGTCTTGTACATTTTCACAGCACAAGGAACCAAACAAAAAAAAAAAAAAGGAACTTCTTTTTCTTTAATAGTCAATGAGGGAATTAACTGGGTAACTTCCTGCGGTTTTCCCTCGAGATTGGAGCAAGTCAGACAAAATGATTAGTAAGAGACTAATAGTGTAAACACCAAGAATTTAGTGAGAAGTAGATGGGAATGGGGTTCTATTCCCTACACATGCTACTCAAAGTCGTCCAAGTCAACTGAGATATTATTATGGCTCATTCTAGCTATAATTTGCCTGGGAATTAACACTGAGAGCAAAGAAGAATCCCTGCAACAGGAAAGCAAAGGTACACACAAACTTTTTCACTTTCGACCAGACAAGCAGGAATATATGTTCTCTATCATTAGTCCAGTTTTGATCTGGGTTCTTTTTCCATGCATCTTGTTGCCAATCTTTGTGAATTGTGATGTTGCTTTGAATTCTGGGTGTGATCACCTCACCCTAACTGCCCTTGATGGCCGTGAATGGGTGGGAGAATCAGTTTCCTCATACTACTTGTCAGGCAAATCAAGAAGCTCCACTGCAGGAGACCAAACTTCTTCATTTCCGGGGTTTGATCCTGTTCCTTATAAAACTTCAAGAATATCTGCTACTGAGTTCCATTACAATTTTTACCTCGAGCCAGGTCAGAAATTCATCCGCCTTCATTTTTTCCCTGCTTCTTATCGTGGTTTTGAAAGATCCATTGATTATTTCAACGTCAAAGCTGGTCCCTTTACCCTTCTTAAGGATTATAGTGCCTCATTTATTGCTGAAACTTTGGGTGTAAAGTACATCGTTAAGGAGTTCTGCTTGAACATAGAAGAGAGCAAACACTTGAAAATAAGTTTTATCCCTTCTCAGAATAGCAGCTTGAACCGCAATGTACATGCTTTTGTTAATGGCATTGAGATTATTTCCATGCCAACTGGTCTCTATTACACCCTGGAAGGTGAGGTAGGACCTCCTATTGTCGGTTTAACTAATCGATTCTACATTATTGATAATAGCACTGCGCTTGAAGTGGTGCAGAGGTTCAATGTAGGAGGGACCTCCATCCCTCCAGTGGAAGATGTTGGCCTTTTCCGTCGATGGAATCAGGATACTGATTATTTTCTGGACTCAGCAGTCATTCAAGTGAATCATCAGGAACTTAAGATTAAGTATATAACCATCCCAACATTTATAGCACCGCTAAAAATTTTTCAGACATCCTGGAAAATAGGAAGAAGCCCTGGAGCAAATCAGATGTACAAGTTAAGGTGGAAGGTACCGGTAGATTTAGGATTTGGGTACTTAGTCAGGCTTCACTTCTGTCACCTTGATTCCATCGCAGACCTCGAGCAGAGAGAGTTCAGTGTTCTCATAAATAATCAGATTGCTGAGGCTAAAGCTAATGTGATCAAGTGGAGTGGTGGGGCTGGGATTCCAGTTTACCGCGACTATGTCATAATATTAAAAGGTGAGTTTGAAGGAAGCAAATCCAGTCTCTTGATTGGATTAGAATCATCGCATGGATCTGTCTTGAAACTCCTTAATGGACTAGAGATATTCAAGTTGAGCGATCTGAGAAACAATCTAGCAGCTCCAAAACCAGTATTTCCAGAAAGGATAATAACCTCTAAGGATAATGTGTCCTTGATCTTCAGCAAAATCAATGTTTTTGGGACAGGCATGACGATCCTCATTATTTTACTTAGCCTGCTTACTTATGAAGTGAGATTTTTCTGGGAAGCGAATCTCCATGATGGAAAACATCCAGAATCAGCCACTGTAGAAGAATGTTCTTATTTATTCTCACTTGCAGACATAAAGAAAGCAACCGAAAATTTTAGTGAGGAACTTGTCATTGGAAGGGGCGGGTTTGGCAGTGTGTATAAAGGGTCCATTCCTGGAGTTGCAAAGACTGCTGCAATAAAACGTTTGAATCCTAGCTCCAGGCAAGGGGCTCGTGAGTTCTGGACTGAAATTGAAACGCTCTCCAAACTCCGGCACTATCATCTCGTTTCTTTGATAGGATACTGTAACGAGCACCAGGAGATGATTCTTGTTTACGAGTACATGCCATGTGGAACGCTGGCTGATAATCTATACAAATTTCCCAGAAATGAGAAGGAATTCACTCCTCTGACATGGGAGCAAAGGCTTAGAATCTGCATTGGAGCTGCTCGTGGACTGGAATACCTCCACACCGGCAGTCAATATGGAGTCATACATAGAGATGTAAAGGATACAAACATCCTCTTGGATGAGAATTTTGTGGCTAAGATCTCTGATTTTGGGCTCTCTAAGCTTGAAAGGACGAGTCATTCTAAGAGCTATGTTAGTACAAATGTCAAAGGCACAGTTGGGTATTTGGATCCAGACTATTTCAGGACGCATAGATTGACAAGAAAAAGTGATGTGTATTCTTTTGGTATCGTGATGTTGGTAATTTTGTCAGGGAAACCTGCAGTGAACTCCAGACGACCTCGGAGTATGCTAACATGCTTTCAAGATTGTATAGCAGATGGCGATTTTGGTAAAATACTCGATCTGTCGTTACAGGGGAAAATTTCATCAGACGGACTAGGAGAATTTGTGAATATCGTTGGAAACTGCTTGCAAGAGATGCCCAAGAGGCGACCTACTATGTCTCAAGTGGTTGCAGATTTGGAGCAGGTATTGAAGAAACATGGGGGCGAAAATGGTTTTGCATCAGTAGATATAGTTGACCAACCTTGTGATCAGAGCAACATTCATTCGTTCCATTTCCAGCTTAAAGCTGAGAGTATTATATCCGCACCGTCAGAAGGAATCACAAGTACAACGTCAAGGAAAATGTTAGATACACAAAACTCACTTACTAGAGGAGCGCATTTGCAGCTGAGAGGACAGGACTCAGCTCCAGGTCGAAAGGCGTTGTGGGTTTGGCCATGGAGGGCAGTCTGGAACAGAGGTAAACCAACCTTAAAAGTTCTGGTATTCAAGTCTCATTTTGTGAACATTAAGCAATTACTGTTTGTCTAAATTAAGGAGACAAGGGAGTCAACAGTCTTCTGTTTTCGGTTTACTTGCTTCAAAATTCTCCTTCTATTGCACCAGATTATCTAATGTAGTTTTGTTTATGTTAAATGGAATTTGAGAGTCCAACAAAACGCAGAGTAACATTCTTATGTGACATTTCTTGCGAGGATTTATTCATCGGTTCTAGTCGGACTTCAGGATGGACCAATATCAGGAAATGGATGTCACTTTTTAATCTGATTGATGCTTGTTCAGGAATTGTGGATTTTTTTCCCTTACCCTCAATAGTAAACTACTACTTCAAGATCATTAACCAGGCTTGAATTTGTTACAATGCTGAAGAAGATATTTATTGCTTACTTGTTACTGCATTTTACCTGCATGTTATTTGCCATACATCAGGAAACAGGCGAAATGCTCAAGAATTAGTTCCTCATACATCAGGAAACAAGCTACAAGCTGTGGAATCGTTTCCCGCAGATGTCCTATTGTATGATTATCAAACATTGGCTGATGCAACACGTAATTTTCATCCCGAAAATCTCATTAGGTCAGGAGTTTCTGGCAACGTTTACAAGGTACTGGAGATTACTCAGGAGCACTTATGGATCATTGATAAGGGTTTGTTATGAATTTGATATGAATAATGCACTGCAGGGGACGTTGAGGAATGGGGAAGAAGTTGTAGTGCGGACGCTATTAAACGCTTCCAATCAAGGCGACGTGGAGTTCAGGGGCGAAGTTGTATCCATGCGGAAACTGGAGCACCATAATATCGTCAGACTCATCGGCTGCTGTGCTGAAAGATCACAAAGAATGCTAGTTAATGAGTACATGCCAAGCCTGGATGCCTATCTATTTGGTTAGATACTGACTGATCATTCTTGGCATTATCATGCTTCCTGGTGCATATAGTAAAGAAGTACAACATTGTGTGCAACTTTTGATTCTTTTCAGATTCGGCGAAAGCAGATTTACTGGATTGGAATAGAAGAAAAGTCATCATTGAAGGGATTGCTTGCGGCCTTCTTTACCTTCATCGCGATTCAAATGTCAAAACAGTTCACGGAGATCTGAACCCAAGTAACATTCTCCTGGATAAAGAGCTGAAACCCAAAATATATTGCCCTGACTTTGGGAGAATACTCAAAAAACTCAGAGACCCAACATCAACCCTGGTTTCAAGGGCGCAGTAAGTAGATACTCTTTTTAATTGAACTTATTCTCATCATGAATATCCAAAGTCTGTTCTGGATCAATTTCGGCCTATTTACCAATTACCACTAATACAGGTACTACATGGCCCCAGAATATTTTATACTTGGAATATTTTCAGAGAAGTCAGATGTCTACAGCTACGGCCGGCTGATATTAGAGATTATAACTGGAAAGATGGTATTTTTTTGGGACAATGGTAGTGTTCCGCAATTCGAAAGATGGGTAAGATTTTGCACCTTGTGGCATTATATTGAATTCTTGCATACTGGCTATTCAACTCTGGTGTACATGCTCTATATTAATTTTCAGGCATGGAAGTTTTGGGAAGAAAATGAGATGATAGAAGTGGATCCTGCAATATTATGTCCAGACACTGAAACGGAAATTTCGAGATATGTTCATATTGGTTTGTTGTGTATGCAATATTCTGCAAGTGATCGGCCAGACGTACCAACAATTGTCTCAATGCTTAAGAATGAAACTGCAGAGCTTCCTCATCCCCAACTACAAAGAGTTATTTGTAAAAGATCAAGTTTAGCAGAGTGTGAAAGTTTCCTACTACAAAATTCAGTTGGTGATATAAGTTCGACAAGTTTTGAAGCAAGATAGCAATTACCAATTTACCATGATGAGTATTCTTAATTCAAAAGATGTAACTAAATTTATCTATCTGGATTTTTTTATTTTTTATTTTTTACTAAGTAGCTATGTAACAGAGAGAACAATATTCTTCAACAAAGATTAATCATTACTTTTCTCATTTTGCTTATTCCATTCATATATATTTTAAGAATAATGATACCCAAAGAGAAAATTTTACAAGAAAAAATCACAAACACCGATCACATTCACATCCATTCTCTTTCTTTTTTTTCTTATATATACTTTCCATTTGGAAATTATACATTTAAGATAAGACGATGTGATAGTTTAAATGATCGGGACATCGTTTCTTATAAAGTTTCCTTTGTACATATCTCTATTTTTAAGAAGTCACAAACTTTTATTTCTCTCCCAATATTTTTTCTCTGCTTCATCAAATGGTATAAAACGAAGCCAGATCACGACACATTCGGATTCTTGAGTTGATGAAGAAGTAGGAGTGGCCGTGTGGGCCATTGGAAAACGATTACTAAAGATGCATCTCATCTGGTCCAACTTCTATTCCTCATCATAACCACGTTATTTCTTTTTCTGCTGTTTTCCCTGCAAGTTGCAATTCAGTAATTCACAAAGTTGCATGGAAAAGTCGTCCCAAAAGGCCAAAACCCGAAATGAGATTGAGAGGTGATCATTTCACTTTCCATGAACCTTATTTTACAAAGAGTTACTTGGGGCAGAAGTAGCCTAGGTTTTTATGAACAAAATTTTCCACCCCTTCTTTTAAATCTAAAACTTCCAATATTCTGTCTTTCTTCACCCAATTACAAAGATAAAAAATTTATTAGTCTACAAATTTTTACTTCCAACGAATATAAGAGAAGAAATGGGAAATGAAACCGAGTAGCAGAACTTCAATCCGATAAGGCCTCCCCAAAATTACGCCATGTCCCTTAAAAAATCAATCTTTGTAGGGATTCTTATAATTTTCTTTGCCAAATTTCTACGAAGCAGGTGGGTTTCCGATAGAGTTCCGGCAACCAGACGATTTACAACTGACGTTGCCATCAACTGTGGCTCCGATGGGAAGTCAATTGCGAGTAATGGTCGTCAATGGGTCAGAGAATCGGCCTCCAATTTCATCCCTGGTAAATCCAGAAGAAGCTCCGTTGCTTCCAAAACCTCATTCGATCCAGTTCCCTGTAAGACTGCCAGAATCTCCGACTCTGAGTTCCGGTATTCATTCCAGGTCAACCCAGGTCAGAAAATCCTTCGCCTTCATTTTTGCTCTGCCTCCTACACTGGTTTTGATAAGTCCTTCCCTCAATTTAGTGTCAAAGCTGGTCCCTTTACACTCCTTAAAGACTACAATCCTGCAGTCACTGTGAATAGTTTGGGCACAAAGCATATTGTTAAGGAATTCTTTCTGAATGTGGAACCAAATGAACAATTGGCCATAACATTTTCTCCTTCTTTGATTGGCGAATCAAAGAGCAAAGTATATGCATTTGTGAATGGGATTGAGATCATCTCCATGCCTATGGGTCTCTATTACACTCCTGAACATGAACTAGGAGCCCGTTTAATTGGTAGCAATCGGTATTTCATTGTTGAAAATAGCACCGCCCTTGAAGTGATACAGAGGTTGAACATTGGAGGGAGCTCCATACCCCCTGCAGAAGATGTGAGCTTGTTTCGGCAATGGAATGAGGATATTAAGTACTTGGTTGAACCGAAAGCTCGCCGTGTGGATCATCTGGCGCTGAAGATTAAGCTTTCAAATGTTCCGGCATTGATTGCACCACCCAAAATTTACCAGACATGCTGGAAAACAGATACAAGCATGGTTAAGAAGATGTATCACTTTAAATGGAAAGTTCCGATAGACCTGGGATTCGCTTATCTAGTGAGGCTACATTTCTGTGAGCTCAACTATGGGATGGCAGAAAGAGAGTCTAGGGAGTTCAGCATTCTTGTGAACAATCAGATTGCAGAGGCTAAGGCTGATGTTCTCACATGGAGCGGTGATATTGGAATCCCTGTGTACAGAGATTATGTAGTGATAATGGAAGGCAATAAAGAAGGCAGAAACTCTGATCTCTTGATTGAAATGCAATCAAGAGATGCATTAGCTTTTGGACTCCTTAATGGGCTGGAGATCTTCAAGTTGAGCAACCTCAACAACGAGTTAGCTGCAGCTGCTCCAAAACTTGAGTTTCCGAAAAGAATGTATCTAGCTTTTGGCCTAACCAATCGCACTGGAACATCCTTAAGGCTATCCTCTATGATCTTATTCTTGGCTGTTGTCCTAATCTACTATATCTTGGTGAAACTTGGGAAAAAAAAGTCCCAAGTTAAAAAATGTGCACAGTCAGTCTCGGTGAAACCATCTTGCCTTCGCTTCTCGCTTGCTAAGATCAAGAAAGCAACCCAAAACTTCAGTGAGGCATCAGTCATTGGGAGGGGTGGATTTGCTGTAGTTTATAAAGGGTGCATTCAGGGCATTGCCGGGTCTGTTGCCATAAAAAGGTTAAAGTCCAATTCTACGCAAGGAGCTCAGGAATTTTGGGCAGAAATCAAAACACTTTCAGAACTCCGGCACAAACATCTTGTGTCATTGATTGGGTATTGCAATGAGTCTGGGGAGATGATTCTTATCTATGAATACATTTCTGGTGGCACTCTTGCTTAGGATCTGCATTGGCGCTGCCCGTGGATTGGAGTACCTCCACACTGGCAGTCAGTGTGGACTCATCATACATCGTGACGTGAAGGATACAAACATCCTGGTGGATGGGGATTTTCAAGCTAAGATCTCGGATTTTGGCCTTTCTAAGCTTGAGCAAGAAATTCATTCCAAGAGCTATATTAGCACAAAAGTTGCAGGTACATTTGGGTATTTGGATCCAGACTATTTTGAGACGCAGAGATTGACAACAAAAAGTGATGTATATTCATTCGGAGTTGTGATGCTGGCAGTTTTGTCAGGGAAACCTGCAGTGGACAAAACAAAACCAGGAGAACCACTGAGTCTCATATTGCGCTTCCGGCAATGTATGGCAGATGGTGATATCAAAAGCATGGTAGATCCCGACATAAAGGGGGAAATTCCATCAAAGGTATTGGCAAAATTTGTGAAAGATATCGAAAGCTGCTTGCTCCCGTTGCCCAAGAAACGACCTACCATGACTCAGTTGGTGGTAAGTCTGGAGCAGGCATTGGAGCATCATCTGGATAGAGTCAAATCTCCTCCACCAATGGAGAAAATCAGGGCCAAATCTACTCAGGGTACTTCCTCATCCTTTGGAAGAAAAGAAGTACAGGTTACTGGAAGGGGATCAAAACCTGTCCGGAAACCATTCTGGAATTCGTTAGTGAAAGATCTTTGGAACACTGGTAAGCAAATCAAGATAGTTGTGACAAATCATATATTAGCTTATTATTTGTGGTTAGCTTCTATTGATTTTGGTTTTATGGTAGGCTAATACATGCGCTGATCTGACCTTTTAAATTTAGATGATGAATTGGTGATCGATTGGCCTTTCAATGGAATGAAGATGAAAATCGACCGTTTTCTTGGAAGATCTGTCGAGATTCCTACGAGGCGTAGTTATTTAGGACAATAATCAAGCATTTGAACGTTTAACGTTGGAGATCAGACTATCATCAGAGTATAGGAATTGAGGTCTGTTCCCTCAATGGACCCACCCGCCTCGAATGTAAATTAGAATGTACCAGTTTAGTTTAGGAGAACATCAGAAGAAATGTGGCTCAAGGTTTGAGCATTGATGACGCAAGTATACGCTGTAAGTAGAATAGAACTGAAAGTCTGCAAGTATCAGTTTGTACAGATGAACTTTCTTAAAAAAAGATTGTTGTTATTTTCATATTTTGGTGCAAAAGGTTCGTAGCAACAACATAAGCCGGAGTCAAAATTTTGTTAGCCTTTTAAAAGAATTCCATTAACTAATAATATAGTACTAGTTTGTTATCAGTGTTCAATTACTTTAAATTTTTGAAGTCTTTAACCATTAGATTTTCTTTCTGTGCTATAGTTGTCACAAGTCATGTCGTTGATGAGACTTATGAATTAGACTTCAGTATGCCTTTTTGGTGGCTCTCTATAGCAATGCAATGTATGAGATCGTACTTCTCGAAAAGAGGAAAAAGAGCGATCCTCTTAGCTATGGAGGTCGCAAAGCACTTGGGAATCGCAACTAGTTTGTGAATCGGATTCTCAAAGGTGATTGATCTGATCCTGACCATGAAGGATCGGAATGAAATTTCCTTGGACCCTGAATTTCGAGGGATCCAGTCTCTTTTGCATACTAATTGGGACGTGTGTTTTGTTCACACGGCTAGAGACAATAACTCGTGTGCCGATACTCTTACTAAGGCGACACTAGATAAGGATAGGGGGTTATATTTTTTTGATGTCCCCCAAGTTGTACAGCTATGTTACTAGTGCAGGATTGTGTAAGTTCATCTTCATGTAGTTTCAGGCGTTAGCCCTATGTTGATCTTGTTTACCAAAAAAAAAGAAAAAGAAAAAGAAAAAAAAGGGTTCTTTAGGGATAAGTAACATTCAATTAAATTGCCCACCCTATTGGCAGGAAAAAGCCATTATGCACATGCACATTCGTTTTCCAAATTGTGAGGTTTATGAAGTCAACTAAAACAATAGAAGCTAGCCCACCACATCTTGGGACAAAGAATCCTAAATCGTCCTCGTGAATGATCTGTCACATGTTTTTACTTTAAAGGTCATGCCATTTATTACTAATTAGTTTTGAAATGGAAGCCCAATGTGACATTGACACCACAAACACTAAAATTTGCAGTTCCACTCTTAGTTTGAACACTTTCATCAACTAAAAGAAACTTCTGCAGTTTTATCCTCTCACACCATTGATATGAGAAGCTATGCACCCAATCAAAATTTTGGTTTTCGTCATATCTTGTTTCATCTCACTCTCTTCTGCACATGTAGGAGTTTTTGTTAAAGGTGGACAAAGTCCGACAGGGCAAGATTACTTGGGAGATGTTGCCATTAGTTGCTGTTAGCCGTGGAGTTCTTGTCATCTCTAGATATTTATTAGATAACGTATTATCAAGAGGGCCGAATTGGTTAGCAATCCTCCAAAAAGTTTGGAAATATATGAACCCTATATGCATTTCATGGTAACCATTTCTATGAAACTCAACATCCAATTAGAGTAGTTTAGCGTATCTAATCTTCCTATACATCAACTAAATCACTTGGCAAGTTTCTCTAATTCAGGCTAAACTATAAACATAGTAATAACAAACATCAGATTTTTGAATTAAAATGAATCGCGAATAACTGAATATCAGAGAGGAGTGACCCACACCTGCAGCACACTGTAAAATGCCCAATAAACCCACCGGCAAGTGCTTGCCGGAAAGATGGAGCGGCCAGTGATTTGCCCGATTGATGTCGGAATTGGATTTCAAATTGCCCTCCAATCTTCTAATTACTCACTCCGTCCCATAATTATTATCCAGTTTAACTAAGATAAAAGAATTTATTTTTGGTCAAACTTGATTATATTTTGGCTCCAACTCCCGAAAATACCCATGTATGTGTAATGTTTAACCGGATGTTTAAATCCAGTACATATTGGGTTAATTGTTTAACCAGTAATTGTATATAGATTTATAAACACACTTTACTCCTTTTCTCACACTAGCACCGACCGAATGTAAAAGCCAACCCCAGTTGAAATAATCCACCGGAAAAGTTTTCACCGGTATGGAAGGCAGAGAATTCTTCAATTGTAAAGCCTTCCCTTGTGTCAATTGAACCAATTTTTCAGATGAAGAATCTCAAATTCGAAGAATCTTCATACTCTAATGCCTCTGATTTGGAATTTAAATCTACTGGACCTATCTCTTTGTCACCATCGGCGGCTATGGAGGAAATGGATAATTTTGACGTTTTACCCTGATAGAATTTGGTGAGAGGTGAGATTATTTCAATTTCTCTCCTCTTATGTGGCTATAGTTCACTGGAAAAAATGTCGTTCCTACCCAAAACTTTGCCCTCGTCGTCAATTGTACCCAATAGATGTTCGGTTAGTCAACTTTACCCTAATGTTTGAAATTTTCACCAATTTCGTCCAATCGGCCCATTTTTCATCCAAATTAACGGATCTCCGTTAGTTTTTTAATAAAATAATAAATTTAATTACAAAAACACCCCAGTAGTTTGTACAAATTTTAAAAATAATCCCTAAAATATATAAAAATAACAAAATTGTCCCTTTTCACTTTTTTATTTCATTTTCTCTATTTTGTTCCATTTCTCTCAACTACTTTTAATGACCATAAAAATATATTATATGAGTTTTTTTAAAAAAATATTTATTTATTTTCAAACTCTATCGTAAAAATTAATCTTTGTATTATTGTAACCCATGATTGTATTTCTATAAGCATGTTAATTTTTTTAATAATGTTGTTTTGGCCTATTTGAGTCGAAGTTTTCTTCCCCAAATTCCTTTTCGAAAACCACCGGCATCACCGCGGCACCGCCTTGGGCCGTCGGAGTTTGGGCTTCGTTTGCTTTTTTTTTTGAAACAGCTTCATTTGCTGCTACTGCATTGTATTCACTTATACCGTGTGTGGTGTGTATCCAACTCAATAAAATGATTTCCGGATAATAGAGAAATGTGTAACTTACTTCATAAAAAGTCAAATCGGACAATAATTTTATAATAAAATTTTTTTAGTAAAGTGGACAATAATTATGAGATGGAGAGAGTATTTTTTTAATAATAGCCGTGCCCGTAATAATACTAAGGGTCTGTTTGATAAAGTTAATTACTGCTTAAAATTAAGAGATAATACACAAGAACCCCCTTGTGGCTTTCAAAAATACACGAAAACTCCCGTATAGTTTCAAAACCACATGACAACCCCCTCATGATTTTCCCAAAGGTGTAAAGTAGATGGAAAAATTTAACACTAACAGAGTTTGCACGCCACTTGCGCGTTGATGAAAGTGATATTTTCCGTTGCCGTTAACTAATTTTCTGGGACCAAAAATAGCCCTTGTGCATTTGTGCTATTTTAATATTTTTATTATCTATTTTTTTTAATTTTCCTTTTTTTCTTTTTGTAGGAAGCCAAAGTGTTTGTTTGGACAAGCACTCATTTTACATTTTAACTCATTTTACCTCTTAAACACAAAACCTAATGGAAAAGAAAACATCATCTAAACAACTTTCTGATTTACATTTTAAATTCCAATGTGAAACACTTTTTGTTAGTGTAATGACCATTTTAGAACTACAAATAGTTCAGTGACAAATTTGGCAGGATTCCGTTATTGAGTGATTGTTTTTGGCAAAGTTCTTTTTTGCAGTGACTATAATTGACAGTATTTAATTGTTTAGCGATGACTCGTACTTGATATTTTCAAAATGTCGTTCAAAATATTTTTTCAAAACTAACATTCAAACAACTTTTTGCTCAAAATACCATCCAAACAACATTTTCATTTCCCATTTAGTTTTCAACTTGAAACACTTTTCACTTTTAAGTGGCAAAATGAAATGTAAGATGACATCCAAACAAGACAAAAATCATTATCATCCTTGACTATTCAATTTCATTTGATCAACAACAAACCTTCATCCACGGCAGCCACCCATCGACCACCTCATTCAACAAAAAAATTCAACAGTTAATTCTTAAAGGATTCTCGTTACATGGATCTAAAAAATATCAGCAAAACTATGAATTGAGAGCACCACAGTTAACTAAATTCTTATAATCCTAGAAGAACACTAAAATCTTAAAAAAGTTTCTCACACTGAACAATAACCACGGTTCCCAAAATCTCAAAATCAAATTTCAAGAAGGGGTAATATATGTTGGGTTCAAGTGTTTCCTTCTATCCATGTGGGACAAGGGAACACGAGGCATATTCCTTCAACACACCCCTCTCAAGCTCAATGAACTTGGATGGTAATTTTTATACGTTTTTTTTTTCAATCTTCGGTTATTTTTCTGGATAAACTGTCGTCTGCCGGGCCAGTCAAAGCTCAAAGTCAAACCCTAGATTTCTTCCGTGAGTTGGTCAAAGTTTCAAGACACAATTTGAGTCAGTCTATCTCGCCCCACAAGTCCCATAGGGACGCAGATTAAAACCCACTTTGATATCATCTTGACGGTTCTAGGTTCATATGTGGTTCCACCTCAAAACTAATTAGTGATGAGGGAAATAGCATATGGGGTATATATGTTGGGTTCAAGTGTTTCTTTCCTTCCATGTGGGATAACGGAAGCATATTCATTCAACATAAATCAACAAGATAGAGAGCTATGTAATAAAGGATTAGCTAATCTATAGCAAGAGGAACAATCGCCATAGCTGTATCTCTACGCCTCTACCGGATTCACTGTTGACCAACCATCCATGGCCGATTAAAATCTGAATTACACAATAACGGTGGAAACACAAGTTGGTGGTTTGCCTTTATATTTATAGTTATGGCATACGGAAGAGACAAATCTTGTTGATGAATAAAGAAGACAAAGGGCAAAGGAAACGTTCAAAGTTCAAACCTTAAGAATTGATGGTTTGGGAGAAAATCTGGTAGATGAAATATAGTGAAAGGAGAAGAGGGAGAGGTGAAATGGCTAATTGCCTTTCATTAATAATACTCCCTCCGTCCCATAATTATTGTCCAGTTTTACTAAAATGAAAGATTTTATTTTTTGTCAAACTTAACTATATTTTACCTTAAACAACCGAATATACCCCTACATAAGTAATTGTTTAACCACTAAGATTTTATGAATAATATTTTTTACTAAGGACAAATGTGTAACTTGATCCATAAAAAGTCAAATTGGACAATAACTTTGGGACAAATTTTTTTGGACAAAATGGACAATAATTATGGGACGGAGAAAGTATATAAATGGAATAAAATGGTCAAATAAAAAGCTAACGTTAGTTTAAGGCATTTCAGTCCACTTTACACCTTTGAGAAAACTATGAGGGGATTGTCATGTGGTTTTGGAATCATAGGGGCGTTTTTCGTATGGTTTTAAAAACTATGAGGGGGTTCTTGTGTATTACCCCTAAAATTAATTGATTAAGTATTTTTTTCATTCAGCATGTTTGATAACAAAAAATAAACCTTTTAATGAATTAAATAGTGTTGTAATTACAGTACAAAATATAAGCAATAAAAGTTAGTTTATTGCTAATACTTAACGAATTCAGTTATAAGCATTCAGAATTAAGCACTAATTTTTATCAAACAGGTCCTAATACTCCGTTCATTCTAACTTAAGTGTCATTTTAACAATTTCTTCTTTTATCCCATTTATTTGTGTCTTTTAATAAAATAAAATAAAATAAAAACTTACCGAGGACCAAAAAAAAAGTGTTACAAAGAAATTGTTATTAAAAAAGGAGGTTAATTCTTTTCTTTTTAGAACAAAGGGGGTTAATGCCTAGATTCACACATTTGTAGCGCATAAAATACCTATTACATCATGCTTCAACCATAATTTGATCCCAATGGCGAAGTTTTTGAATCATTATATACCCTTGACTAGCCAACAAAACCATACAATCTCCCAAAAATTTATGGTTTGAGAAAACAAAATTTTAGTTTCACTGTTTGATCCATATACAATAAAATTTCTATTAATAATGTTGAGCTCACAAAAATTTATTGCTATATAGAGATTGTTAGTTTATTGATAAATTAATAATTATTTTATCTATAAATCAATATTTTATTGATTTAATGGTATTTTTTTCAATTCTATTAGGAAATAAATACTCAACTTCATCTCTACTTTCTTATATTTTTATGATCCTATCATTGTTATTTGCTGGTTAGAGGGAAAATCAAAGATAAAATTTTCTTAGAAGTAAATTTGAAGAAAAAACAAAGTTCCATAGTCTCATACTTTCTTAACTCTTTTTTTTTTTTTTTTTGTATTTTAGGTTATTATTAATTTATGATTTTTAAGGGACCTATACTTATAATAAGAAATTTTTTGAAAATTTATTATCTTATTAATTTATCGATTTTATTTGATTTTTGTACTAGTTCCGGAAATGGACCGAAGAAATTTATTAATATATAGAGTATTAATTTATGGAGTTTTTACCGTAGGCATTCTGTCAAAGCTGAATGTCATGTTTATTGAATTGAAATAATTTAGTAAGCATAATTCTAATTTTGAGACGGTATAAAACAATACTACCGATGTTTGTTTTACTAGCATGTACCAGTATGTTTCAAGTTCAGCTGGTTAACCGTTTGGCAATAACTTCAGTTTGTTTTGCCAATCTCATTTACTACAACTGCAACTTTATTAAAAACAGATGTTTCCATTCACTGCAGACGACGATCTGCAAGTTTTGCTGTACTCTGTTTTTCTTACATAAAAATCTTACCAAAAAACTATAAGGAAATCATGGGTCCAAGGTGTCAGTCAGTTGTAGTAAGTATATTGCAGAACTGGGAATTAATTGGCCGCATTTTTTCATTCCCAAGTTTACCAACAGCGTCATGGTTTACCCCTCTACCACCTAATAACTCCTTCCCAATATCCCAATCTCATTACCTCGATCTTCTGCTAATGTTGAACGGTGAGCCATGCACCTCAGTCAAAAAAGTCAAATACTCCCATTCACGATCCAGAACCAGAATCCTCTCGGTTGTAATCTTCCTGTTTTGGGTGCGTGATTCATAGTTGACTAGTAAGTATCATCAAAATGTCTTCCTATCCATATGCCCATAATCTCATGTTTGATCAAATTACGTTTGAATGATTTCCATATATGCCGTATGCATTCTGTAATAAGCAAACAAACAATACCGACTTAGGAAGCAAGTAACGCCTTTCGTCTCACTTTTAGCATCATCAATCGTGTTTATTGATGTATAAAATGATGCCACCAGGTTCCACCAGCCATCTACGTACCAACATAAATTAATTGGTGGCCTTTTGTACCTGAGGACTCTTTCTTGGGTTTTTTTTTTTTTTTTGGCTAACTTTTCAGCTCAGAATTCAATGAAAACACAATGGGTGGTTGACAACATTTAATAGTACCATATAGGCAACAACTGTCTATGAACAGATGGCCCTGTTGCGGTGATCCCACCGTTAGTCCTGACTGTTCATTCATTTTTTCAGTTTTCTTTTAATCTCTTTTTTTTTTCCCCCTTGTAATTTTCACACAAATGATTTCACCAATTGCTGCAATTTTACATGCAGCACTGATGCACACACCTACGTAAGAACATGTCCCTAACGAATTTGTATCAGAAAACCAGCAGCATTTAAGGCTCTCTTCCACAGTATTTGTTTTTCGTACCTATCCTCACTAAATTTTCAATTGCAAGCCTTAATTGGTGTTCAACTGTAATTTCCAGCTCCACTCTGTTCTTATACCCCCCTTCCTAATATCCATTCCCTATAAAGTAACATTCTTTGTTTTGTCTAACACTGTCAAAAGGTTTCCAAACCCCTTTAGTTTGGTTCTCCGTCAAAAAAGCTGAAATAACAATAATGGATTCTGTATCATTGTCTAGTACACTTTCTCCTTACTACCATGTTATCTTCACAGCTTTAGCATTCCTTGTATCAGGCCTGATTTTCTTGCTCTCTCTAAAATCAAGATCAAAGAAGCTGAATTTGCCTCCAGGGCCGCCCGGATGGCCAGTGGTGGGCAACCTGTTTCAAGTTGCTCGATCTGGGAAGCCGTTTTTCCAGTATGTGAGGGATCTGTTGCCAACATACGGTCCAATCTTCACACTGAGGATGGGAACCAGGACGATGATCATCGTGGCCAACGCAGATTTAGCCCATGAAGCCCTGATTGAAAAAGGTCAAGTCTTTGCCAGCCGACCCAGAGAAAATCCCACCAGAACCATCTTCAGCTGCAACAAATTCACTGTAAATGCTGCTCTCCACGGCCCTGTTTGGAGGTCCCTGAGGCGAAACATGGTTCAGAACATGCTAAGTGCCACCAGGCTTAGAGGGTTCAAAAATGCAAGGGAAACCGCCATGGATAGGCTCATTGAAAGGCTTAAAATTGAGGCCGAGGCTAATGACGGCGTCGTCTGGGTGCTGAAAAATGCCCGATTTGCTACTTTTTACATTCTCTTATCCATGTGTTTTGGGATCGAAATGGACGAAAAGATGATTGAATCAGTCGATCTGATGATGAAGACTGTTTTGATTGTTCTTGACCCGAGATTAGACGATTATCTTCCACTTCTGAGCCCGTTTTTCTCGAAACAGAGGAAACGAGTTCAAGAAGTCCGGAAAGAACAGATCGATCTTCTTGTCCCGTTGATTCAGAAACGCCGGAACGCGATTCAAAATCCGGGATCGGACGAAACCGCGGCGGCGTTTTCTTATCTCGACACGCTGTTTGATCTCCAGATTGAGGGCAGAAAATCAACCCCTTCGTATCCGGAGCTGGTTACACTCTGCTCGGAGTTCTTGAACGGCGGGACCGACACCACCGCGACGGCGGTGGAGTGGGCCATAGCCAGAATGATCGAGAATCCCGACATTCAGACGAGGTTGTACGAGGAGATCAAGAGTGTGGTCGGTGATCGGACGGTCGACGAGAAAGACATGGAAGAAATGCCGTACTTAAACGCCGTCGTAAAGGAGCTTCTCCGCAAGCATCCGCCCACTTACTTCTCTTTGACCCATGCGGTGATCGAACCCGCGAAATTGGGTGGGTATGACGTACCGACCGACACCAATGTCGAATTCTTCTTGCCGGGTATATCGGATGACCCGAATATCTGGTCCAACCCGGAGAAGTTTGATCCGGATAGATTCATGACCGGCCGGGAAGACGCAGATATAACGGGGGTGAAAGGAGTGAAGATGATGCCGTTCGGCGTCGGCCGGAGGATTTGCCCCGGGTTGGCCATGGCCACGGTGCATGTGAACTTGATGTTGGCCCGGATGGTTCAAGAATTCGAATGGTCCGCTTACCCGAAAGATAGCAAAGTGGATTTCAGTGAGAAATTGGAGTTCACGGTGGTAATGAAGAATCCATTAAGAGCCCAAATCAAGCCCAGGAAGTAACGTTATTGTAAGTTTTGGGCTCAAAACAAAAACCACTGCTAGATCTTCTTTCTTCTCTTCTTCTATATAGAAATTTCTATAGTATAGCATAAATATGTTTCCTCTTCTTAATTTTTTGTTTAAATTAAGGGGGGGATTTGGGATTTGCTTTTGGATTTCTTGTTTCGTTGATTTGTTTTGATTTAGCTTCACGCAGAATTTGGGATTTGGGATTTTCTTATATTGTGAATTATTTTTGTTTAATTTCAATAGCTTTAAGGCTCTATTTTGTTGCATTGAATTGGGACCAAGAATTGGAATTGGAGCTTTCCGGATTCCAATTCTTGTGTTTGGTTGCTAAAAATAGAGGTCCACGAATTAGAATTATAACTCAAGATAGGGCTCGATTCTTTATTTTCAATTCTTTTGTGGGAGCAAATAATTGGAATCCAAATTCAAGGGATTTAAAAAAGGGACGTGGGTCACAACCGGGTTGTTTCCGGGTTATAACCTAAACGGATCGCCTTCTCAATTTTTGCCTTTTATCTTTTTTTTAAAATTTTTTTTTTATTTTAAATTTTTTTTCGGGGCTTTCATCGCTTCGCCGCTTCCTTCTTTTCTTTGGTTTTCTTTTTATTTTTTGGTCTATTTCTCTCATTATTATTATTATTATTATTATTATTTCATATATATCAATTAATAATTATCAACGAAATCAAACTAAAATTAACATTATATTTTTTTACAAAAAAAAAATCAAAAGTATAGCTGTATCCAAAACAAAATTTATTAACTAAATATTTTATTTTTGGATTAAAATTTTTATTATATTATGACATAGTAAACAATATAACATTTTCAAATTTTTTTTATAGAAATTTGTTCCATATATACACCTATAGTATAATATATATTTATATACATATATATTTTAAACTATTCATGGTATCTTTTCTCCAAAAATTATGTAGGTTGAGTTTTAAGTATGTATTATTTCGTATATAATTATATACTAAAAATAAAAAAAAATTAAGCATATATTATATACTAATGTTAATCTATGTATAAATAAACCTTTAATATTCATAAACTAAATTCACAATATTATATAATAAATTTTTTTGAATTTTTTATATAAATCAAAACATCAAAAATTAAAAATTTTGAAAAATAATAAAATAGATGAAACCAAAGATGTTTCACATTTTACTTATTTGTGTATTAAGCGAGAATTTTAAGTCACAATATTTCTTTTATTTCTAACAAAAATGTGTCCATAATAAATTACAAAACTGATAAAGCAAATTAATTAAAAACAATAATTTGTTTTAACAAAAAAAAGTAAAAATTGTATTAGTTAAAAAACCACAAAGTAGTCAAATATACATGTACACAATGAATTTATTATTTTTTTTTTTTGTGTTATACATATCCATAATAAATTAAGGCTTTTTTTTTAAATTTTAGTTTTTGACAAGAAGTATAAATTGTACTATTATTAGTTATACAATAACAAACTAATTTCAATTCTAAAGTATCCAATTTTTTATGCATCCAAATGCAAGAATTGGAATTAAAAACTTAATTCTAGTAAATGTTTAAAATCTCCCAAACAAAGAAATTGAAATTGAATTACAATATTAATATCTCATTTTTAATTCATAGTATTGTAATTCCAATTCAATTGCAATTCAATCTAACCAAACGGAGCCTAAGTAATTTTATCGAAATCATTTTAGGATAAAATGAATAGTTTCTATAAGCATTTTTCATTAGGCCATGTACTATCATGCAACACCAATTTCAGCTGTAATAGGTGGAAGTTGAAAAGCATGGTTTTGATTTAGAAGTTGAGTCAAATATAGCAAGAATACTAGTAAGAACTAATTCAATCAGACGTCATGTGATCTATTATTAGTAGTCTTGAGTAAAAAGTTCAATCTGTCAAACTTATCTTGTGTCTTCCACAAGAATAGCAATATCTCATGATTCCATATTCTTTTGCTAATCATAGTTAGAGGACTCATCAATGATCAAACTACTGATGTGAGGATGTATTAATGACTAAAAGTTATTAATAGTCACAACAACAATTACAAGTCTTTATTCATGTGAGATCGATTCCAACAACAGTTACAAGCCTTTATAGGTGTCGTTTTAGTAAAATGGAGAAATTACAAAATAAGTGTCGTTTTCGGATTTCAATGCATTTGTTATCAAAAATTTCTAAACATACCCTTAAAAGAAGAACATTTATCAAAAATTTCTTTTGGTTGAGGATACTCTAATAATTTAATTATTATATTTAAGTTTTTTTTAAACTGTGTGTAAAGTCTGGATCGACACTTTATTTTAAAATGGATGGATAGAGTATGTCATTATCCGTCGATTTAATCAGCACATACTTTCTTTGGTAGTATGTAAAGTAATTAAATTTTATCTCTTATAACTACAACAACTGGGTTCGCTTTCAGCTTTAATGTGATTTAGATAAGCCAACTGGATTGCACCACAAAGTTCTGGAGCTAAGCTGAGACTGAGAGTAAATTACTAGTACTACTTTTTAAAAAAATTCTTGTGGGTGCGGATTAATGTAGGTAGTGTGGAGATTGTTGGGAGGTCCACCAGCAGCCGCCGATGCCGTTGCCTGATTTGATTAGGCATAATAAATATGATTTGGTTTTATTACACGATGTAACATGTGCCAATCAGACACATATACAATATTTATTACCCGAAAATTTCTTAAAAGTTAAAAAAAGAAAGCATACTCCCTCTATTTTTAAATATATGTCGTTTTAAGATTTGGTAAATTTTTTTAAATATATGTCATTTTTATAAATCGAGACATATCTGACAACTTTTTACTAATATTACCCTTACATTGAAAATGAAACAATATTTATAATAAATTTCTATTGGTTTGTGATGAATTATATAGACAATAAATAAAGGTATTTTTGTATTCTAACTACATTAATTAATGTGTTATTGGTTTTGATAATTTCTCTAGAAAGACATATAAAAAGAAATGGAGGGAGTAGGAGTAGTAGTGTGGATGATATAACTACTAGTACTACTTGGTTGTGTATGACGGGTGATTCAATGTTTGATGGGCGAATGCAGTAATTTGGTGGAAGAATCCGATGTTTAAGATTAGACCAAGTATTTTGATTCCATGTAATGGACGTCACAATTATCATGCCACGAGAGGACGAATGGAGTCTGGAGGCATTCATTTATGTGTGAGCTCTGTGGAAACAAAACAACCATCCACATCACAGAAATATATAATAACGTGTAAATTCTGTGAAATATTTTTATCTTGCTCTAGGTCTAGGGGTCATTAATGGCTCTCCATGTTACCCACTTGCTTGCAAATATGCCTTTCTCGTTACCACTTCCTCACATACTGGCCATTTCCAATCTGCCCTTTCCTATTCCCATTTCCCTAAAAGAGAATTGTAGCCACTTTCCTTCATATATTATACTCTCAATCTCTTATCCACATGCCAAATCACTGCTTTCCAAGATCAGTGATCTGAGTTGAAGCAAGCTTTTACAGCATACATATTGGTTGAAATCACCAAAGACTTAGAAACATATTATTGATACATTAGCTTCGCACAACTCATCCACCCACACAAACTTTCCAACTAACACTTTACCAACAACAACAACAACAACAACAACAAAAATGCCGCGAGAAAGCTCCTATCACATCGGCAACTGAAACTAACAAAATCACCCAGGTAACAGAAAAACAAGATTAAGAACGAATTCCTAATATATTTACAGGGAAAGGACACAAGGAAAACTCCACCTCTTAGCAAACAACCCCCCTATATATATATATATGCCTGCAGATGTGAACTTGTTGAACAAAATCTTTCCCAACTCTTGAAATGCAAGTCTGGCATTGGGGAAGAGCAGAAGTTTTAAGCACTAGATGGGGTCTCTACCTGTTTGTTTTCCGGCTTTCTTGTTACATCCCAGTCATCACAGATAGTCCGGCTTTCTCCATCTCCTGCTCTGCCCCCCTCAGAATGAAAACACTCACCACGGGCTGGTGCCGTCCTGTGGTTGTCAAGTGTCGGGAATGAAATCCTATGGCCATTTGAGGAGAAGCCATAGGTATTTGAGTTAGTCGATTGTGCACTTCCTCTAATGGCTGAACTGAACAGAGGTTGCATAAAACGTTTTTTCTCAGTAACTTCACGCAGAGATATCCGACACACGGGACATGTGGAATGCTGGTACAACCAGGCATCGATGCATGAAGCATGGAAAAAATGTCCACAAGCAGGCAGTATCCTTAAGGTGTCTTCCTTATTATAGTCAGCCAAGCACACTGTGCACCTGGATTATAAAATCACAGACTTAAAAACTTAGGCTTTTAGACATTGCAAGACAGGTTTCCTGCACAAGAAACCTAAGACATTCAAACAATATGAGCAAGTATACAACTAGGATACCGAAGATCAATGCAAAAATTCTGCTTCTAGTACCTTCACGGGAGTATCAGATGATAACCAAACCAAGAGATTAAACTGGATAAAAGTTTAACAGCAGATTTGACCAGATAGATTTGAGATCAGCTAGGAGAGAGAGAGAGAGAGCTCTAAAACATGCATAGAACACTCAGATGTATGAAAGCAGTAAAAGAACAGGCTCTGTTATTCCAAATTTAACAGGTTCTCTCTGGGCAAGCCCACAGAGAATACATGTTTTGCTATCTGACAAAGCAGCATGCCACCTCTCGAGTCCTCAAAAAAAGGACGCGTGGCTTACCAAGGCCAGCGATTCAGTCATCGAGCTCTAAAGTGCCTACATTTCAGTCACTGTAACAGCCAAAGATCTCGCTAGACCTCCTGGGGAATGTTGACACTCACAGTTTCAGGAAGACCTTAGGAAACAATGTTCCACTGAGCCCAAGGCCCCCCAACACACACACACACACAAAAGGAAGAAAAAAAAAACCCCACAACAGACCTATGGACGTCGGCCACTGACAATTCATTGAGCAACATAAAAAGCTAAGCACGCTTGGTAGTTTCAATAGGATCTAAGGAACTACGAAAGGATATATACTAATACAATATCCACTCACCCACTGGAACATCAGCCATTCAGCCCAACGTTACTTCTAAAAGAGAATGACCATATGAAATTTCAGGCATGTTATACAGGTAGCAAATCCGAAGAGAGCAGTAGATAGCACATTAGACACGTGAAATTCAAAATATCATCAATATTCACCAGTCATGTTCAATTGATCACTGAGCTAGTGAGACAACCATTAGAAATTATGAAGTGGACCATGAGGTGCACAAAACAAAGAAAATACTTCAACAAGACTGAAAGTGAGTTCAGATAAAACTTCCAAGCCACCCACCCCCTAACCAGCTCTCCTCCCCCCCCCCTCCAAGTTTGCCTTTCCTGTCTTGAAATCCCCAGACTTATCAAAAAGCATTGCTGCCCTTATCATTAAAGGAAATGGCCAAAAGAATTGCGTCTCATCATCGCACACCATGATCATAAAATGATCTCAGCATCAATGTTAGTACCCAAATCAAGATAAAAATGTAGCAAATAAGGAAAAACTTACTGAATAGTCTCTGCAGATGAGAAGAAACCATCACTGTACTTCTTCGTAGGAAAGTTGGACAAAATAACATGTTCAACTCCGTGGAGACCTCGTTCCAACTGTAACAATATGATGAGCAGTTGTCTTATTTCACAGAGCAAAGAAAGATACTAGAGCAATGAATTCCATAATGCCATATAAAGTGCAAAATTTCGGATAGTCAGCTGACACAGGACACACAGATGGGATAAAATTCCAAAAGAAAGATATGAAAAACCAGAAGCAACAAGCAAGAAAGAAGAAAGGCACTGTACAATAGTACAAGTACAATTCCGGTACAATCCACATCCTATTACACAATTTTGGGCGGCAACGCAGTCAAAGGGGAGTCTAGAAAAGAAACCTGAAGGCTAAAAAGTAAAAGCACAAACAGCCAAGAAAGTGGTTGTAAATTGAAATCGTTTAAGACAAAAGACAAGGCAGCAGAAGATACGAGAAGCACTCAAAAATACGAATTTTTGTTCGATCAAAACACATGGAGGACTGATATTGAAGCAAAATTCTTGGAATTTCAGTGGGTTTTTAGTGATTCACAGCACAAGAGTGCCTTTCCTCCCTCAAAGAACAACTTTTGCTGACAACACACGCAGAGGTGCATCAAAAATGAAGCAACAACCAAATGAAACGGTAAAACATCAATTGCAATAAAATCATAATTAGTAGTATGAATCCTGAAGGAAAGTGGACACAATTAAAAGAACAAGAAGATGAGGACTCACAACGCTAAGATCAGATCTGGTAGCTCCACGTATAGAGCGCCTCGCTGCACTCATTTGAATTCTAGCACAAATAAGCCTTGTGCAAACAAACACAATGAAAAGAATACTAACTGCAAATCCAATAACTGTCATCACCAAATTAATCCCAGAAGACATCATGCCGCTTTCTTATTGCAACTTTATAGAATCCTTGTTTTTTTGCTTAGGCCTTATTCCTACAGCTACAAATTCTTAGAGCCCTTCAACAAAGTTCAAATCTTTCACAGTAATATACAGCAGCTAACACCGCAGTCAGAGTCATTTCTTGTCACCCAACTTCAGACTTTTTCGACTTTTGCGAACAACCCACCTCGAGTTTTCTCCCCTGTTTCCTTCTTCCTCTCGAAAAATACAATCTTTCTTCATTTAAATGATTTCCTCCTCCCCTGCATGAACACTCAAATATCTGGAGATATGCATTGAGAAAAATGAGCATTTGATACTGAAGACTAGCATAGTGACGATGTGCTATGAAATTTGGAGTGACAGTGAGGCCTTGGTGGAATTATTCTGCTGCAACAAAGAAGTAGTAGTATCGGGTATGGGTAAGCCCATGTGCAGAGGAGACAGGGGAAAGCAAAAGGGTCTTTGTTGTTTTTGAGACTCGAAAACTATATTGTGTGTCTTCTGCGTAGATTGTAGAAGACTAGAAGTGTGTCAATTTTGAGACAGAAAAAAAAAAGGGGGGGCGGGGGGCTAAAACAGTAACACAGATGTAATTGGAGAGAGAGATGTAAATATGATCAGGTGATAAACAGAGATCTAAGATCCAGAATGGGGGAATGATTGTCCATTATAGGTCAAGATTGTGGGGGTCCTTTATTCCTAATCCTAAAGGATGCTGCTAGTTGCATACACTACATTAATATTATAATAATAATAATAATAAAAATTTCTTTCACTATTAGGCGTTGTGATTAAAAATACGAAATATAGAGAAATTTTTATCTCCGGAAAATACCTTATTCGATACGATTTAGATTGATTAGATAGTGATTTTCGACATGCGACCTATATGTAATAATGCCAAAAAAAAACAGTTGTTAACCTCTCTTTGGAAGAAACTCTTCACGGGTCTTTCTTCCTGACCAAACACCATAATCTTCTTCCTTAGGAAATTTCTTGTCTATGTAGTGTAGTGTGTTAAACCGTACCTCTCTTGGGAAATTTCTTATGGGTGGAGGGATTCGGATTTGTACTTCTAAAGTTCTCAGAATGACAATATTTGGTTACTTTTTTAGGGAAAGAACTGAAGATTGAGAATTATCCTTTTTTTTTCTTCTTTTTCAGAATATGACGATATTTCGATACCTTACCTCCCAACTTTTGTTTTGGTGGGTTCCCAATTCCATCAGCTGTATCAATACAAACTATTCTCCGTTGAAAAAACAAAAAAAAAAAGAAAGAAAAAGAAAACAAATCAGATTGAATTTTAAAATTCGTACCGAAAGAGTATTCTTTTTATATATATTGAAAAATGATAATACTTAATCCTGCAGTGAAATATAATAACAATATATATGTGTGATATGCATGAAAATATAATAATACAATCTAATTGTACTTCCATCTTTTCACGAATGCGATTGATTATTTTGTTTCTTTTTGAATTTTTCAATATCTCATTTCATGTATGAGGTTAATTTTCACGATGTCCTCAGAGGCTAAAAGCGTTTTGTAGGTGAAGTTAGCAGATTCAAGCGATCAATAAGGTACAAATAATTAATTAGATGCATCAAACGCGTTCCAAATTTCTAGCATTGTAAACAGACATCTTGAAATTTTATGTATGAAAGGGTATAATGTCACCTTCAAACCTCTAGTTTAGTGTAATCGTACCACTAATCCACTACTTAATTATCCATTATTCAATTTGTTTGTCATTGTTAATTCTCATCCAAAAAAATTCAAATGACAAGCACTAAGTTGTTTTCTTTCTTTTATCGTTTTTCATTTCAACTTTGGCACGTGGTTTAAACTTTAAAGTATAATGGACTGGATTCCACTGGGTTTAAATTTTTATTACCATATGAATAAAATTGCCATGGTTACTGGTGTACGTTTTAGATTGTCATGGAGTTACTTCAAAAATAAAATTCTAATATTCGAATAGGTTCTCCATATATTCGAAGAATACATTATTTAAAACATGTACTCATTCCAAATTTCTTTTTTAGAAACAAAAATTGGAAGTAAATGAGTTTTATTAACTTGTTGGGAGCCTAATATGCGTACAACAGATTACAGCTATAACCTTTTAGTCTTGAAAGTAAAAGATCCGAACTAAGACGGTGTGACGCGGGTATGAACATATATGATATTCCTTTTTATCTGAAATCATTATTCCATTTAAAATTTCACTTATAATATAAATTATACTATAAATAAAAATTTAAATTAGACAATAATTTTATGACAGGTAAATAGTTTATATTCAATTACCCAACCAAGTTGCTTAATATAGTAGTGTAATCATATTGATGTAACCATCAAAAACCCCCCCAAAAAACACATCTTTGGGGGGGACCAGCAGACCCTTCCGTAGATATATATATTTTAGGATTCAATAGATGCATGTTCATGTCCGAAACTTGAGTTCAAAAGGAAACAATCAAAGTAAATTGTATGTCACGTTGCTTTCAAATTTCAATTAACCCTAAAAGCCATATATTCTTTGCTGCGAATCGGTTGCTTGTCAACTGCCAAAGGGCAATGACTAGTTCAATCATCTACGTACTAGTTTTCTCGTTTTTAGTAGTAATTGGTAGTTGTGAGTTGTGACTTGTGATCTTATGGGTGAGACTTGACCTTAGCTTCAGGAATAAGTTATTACTCTTTATAAATTTGTTTTAGTAAATATTCTTTGTACACATTTTTCATTTTTACCATTCGATTTCTCTTTAGCCCTCTCTAATAACAATCTCGTAAATACCAAACTATTTCGTAACACTAAACCCTTTGAAAAGCAATCATACTATCAATTTCAACAATAGATTTCTTCTCATCATTCGCCAGGTAAGTATTGAAACAGACCTTAAAGTTCCATTATTGTAATTGTTATGCTTCTAATATTCATGATAAAATCTCAAAATTATTGCTCGGTAATATTTTGAGTTTTTTTTTATAGTAACTATTGATGGAGTCGTCCTTCTCTCTTTAAATTCTAGTGAGAGAATGTCCTGTTTCTTCTCCCAAAAAGAGGAAAACATCTTGACGACAAAAACACCAAAATTCCCTTTAACTATTCCACTTCCACTATCCAACCTTACTCCCTTAATAATTTCATTCAATTTATTATTTTACTGTCAAAACCACCTTAATTTAGCCCTTGGTTTTTGCTGAATCGACTATCCAGTTTCGTTTGCCCGTCTCATTCAACTTTTTAAATTCTAATTCTGATCAAGATCTGAAAAATTTTGTCGTTTGGAGACCATGCAAATTAGTTGTCACTTCAACACATTAATTTAATCATAAAATGTGATCTTGAACTAATCCTTTCTGCTTCCGGTTCTCTTTTGTAAGCAATTGTAGTTATCAAAGTTGTTTGTTTTCTTTCTTGAGCCTCCTAAATCTTTCCATTTTCTAGAGATAATTATATTTCCTAGACTTCAAATAATAAAGGCTTCTGCCTTTTGGGTTTTGTTCTTTTTCCTTTTCACACTATTTACCAAAGTCCGAAATTCATTCTGATTTCCTGGTAGTATTGGTTTTGTCCATATTTCATAAATATTGTTCCGAACATTCTCTGTTCACTGTACTTGGTGTGTTGACTATTTATAAGCATTAGATCTACGTCTCCTTTGCTTCAAAAAAAACAAAAACAAAAACTCTTTTCTCCTTCCCTTCTGTTTTCAACTTGTGGGCTTAGATCTCATCTCCAACAATGAATTACAAGCATGCAATGGATGAAAATTCGGTAATGGCAATGTCTCTTCAAGGTTCTAACTTTTCAGAAGAAGCTCATGATCTCCGGTCCTTTGTTGACATCGATCCACACTTGGTACATCGCCCTTTTCTTCGATCCAACAACATGCAACTAACGGATTATCATACTCAGCTATCCTGAGATAATCTGCAGCTATCCCTCTTGGGCTACTTGATTGATAATATTGAAGTGGATGATAAGATCATGCAACAGTATATGGTTGCAAATTGGCTAGTTACTGTGCGAGTGCTTCACTATGACAGGAACTTCTTTGTCCTCAAGTTTATGAACAGATCTGAGATGCTGGCTATTCTGGACAATGGCCCTTTATGCTGTTAATGGTGGTTTATTAATACTTCGTCAATGCTATGATCATGAAGATCTATCCCTTGATAGTATCAAGATTGAGAAATTGAGCGTCTAGGTTCGTATGCATGGAGTGCCAATTACTTCCATGAATTACAGAGCCCTTGAAGATCTGGCCAGCAGAATTGGTGAAGTGGCATGTATTAAGCAGGATTGTGTCTCCCTGCGAAAGATCACCTACATCAGAGCGAAGGTATGGATCAAACCAGGTGACCGTCTGGTTCCTTATATCCATTTTACTAAGAGAAATGGTAAAATGGCTAAAATTCGATGCAAGTATGAGCATATGCACAAGTACTGTTAACGGTGTGGACGCTTGGGCCACCCTCTTCAAAGATGCTATCCGATGGATGATGATGCACTAACCACCTTTTTGAATAATTTTTTTGCTGCAAGTGCTGTTAAGTTTGATTCCTCGTTGTTGATTGATGTTAACAAACCCCTGTACACTGGTTCTATTAGGGCGCATGCACATAAGAAGAAGCGGTGTACTCGACTCCCTGATTATAATGTAGAACAAATGCTGGATTTCTATGATTCTGCCTGATGATTATATACATGATGGTTTTACAATTTCTGAGCTAGAGGAAGATGATCCTGTGCACTGGTTTCCTTGCTCACCACATAATCCCGGTGGAAACAACACTGATGATGATAATGATTTCGATAATGATGCTGATGATCGGGATGATTCGGATCCTGATGATAATAATGGTGATGATGTGGCACCTCTGATGGGGGGCTAACATAGATGATGATCACTTTATGGCCGACTTCAATGCGGATAATTTTATGATGATGACGGTCCTCCAATTCTTTTAGATGGTAGAGTCAATCACTATGCGGATGCAGTGGTAGATTATTCCAGAATTGCCAGCCCCTGCTGCGGTGGAGGACTCTGATTCCTTGCATTCTATTGGTCAAGGTGACAGTTTTCATTTCTTTTCCTCTGACTCCTCTGCATCTCACCAAAATACTGAACATTCCATCCTTAATGATGCTAGTGATTTTTATATGCCTTCCTCTATTTATGATATTCTGGATGTGCCTCCATCTGAGGACATGTTAGCTGATCAATCTTATGTTCCGGATTTTTTTATCCCCAATGTCCCTGATTACCCTCCCTATCATGACATTTCTCCAGGTTCTGTTTTTTATGGCTTTCAATCAAGTATTGACTCTAGTGATAGTGAAAGTGTAAGTTCTGGTTTCATTGCTAGTGTAAGGAATGGATCTAGGGCCTTTGTTACTGCTTCCTCTGACTCTTCAGTGGAAGAAGGTTCTCTGAGAAGAAGTTCTATTCCTATTGCTACCCTGGGACGCCGTCCCTTCAAGAAAAGAGGTTCTCGCAGAAGTCTCTCCTCTATTTCAGCTCCTCTTCCAACACAAGATGACTATCCACAGACAGATAGTGATGCTGATGACTTCTACATGAGGGCTAGAAGAGCAGTTTCTGAATCAGACATGCCGGCTCCTCCTCATAAGCCATTGAATCTCCAAGTGTTAATCATGCATCAACTGCAGTGCCTGATAGCTGTAGCCGGCCCTTTGGAGGTGGTATTCCTACTGGATGGAGAAAAAAGGTGGATGATGCTGAATTTGATGAGTTGGACGACTCTGAAACTTCAAAAGTGTCAACAGATAGCAGAAAGAGAGGTTCTGAAGATTCACTTACCAGCATGGAGAGACCTGGAAAGAAGAGAGCTAGCTATGGGGTGGATGAGGAAGTGAAGAATTTGTTTCAGGCTCTGGAACTGATGTGGGAGACCAGTGAACCGGGAGCAGGTGCAGGTGCTCAGCTGAACGATTTTACGGTGGTTGAACCAGATCAACCTCCTCTGTTTCCATGAGTAGAATCTGTTGGAATTGTAGAGGCATGAAAAATGCCTCATCTAAAAGTATGTTTGGAAGGTTAGCTAAAAATTATAAACCTAGTATTATGTTTGTTATGGAGACCAAAGCTACGAACTCTAATATTTCAGCTTGGCTCTAGTGGTCTATCTTTCAGAATTGCTGTGTGGTAGACCCTATATGCAGTAGTGGGGGCTTGGGTCTCTTTTGGTTAGCTAGCGTTAAACTTTCAGTTGTCTTCCAGGATGCTAATGTGTTGGTTACTCAAATCACAGAGGCAACTGGATTAGTCTGGATGGCCATTTTTATGTATGGTCCTCCTGCTATGCAGAACAAGGACCTCCTTTTGGGCTAGATTAAATGGAATCATCCAAGGTTATCGTTATCCTAGGATTATCTTAGGAGATTTTAATCAGGTTATTGAGCAGGAGGACAAACATGGTGGTCGACCAGCTCGACTCCAATATACCAAGGCTATTCACCAATTCCTTTCAGCAAATGATTTGGAGGAGCTCAAACATTTGGGTTGTTGGTATACTTGGACCAACAAAAGACAAGGTTCAGATGCTACTTTTGAAAGGTTAGATAGAGCTTTTGCTAATAATATTTGGCTCACAACCTTTAGGAATGCAATCATTAGAAACCTTCCCATCATGACATCGGATCATGGCCCTATATTGGTGGATATTAAACAGAAACATAGACCAAACCAAAAACCAAAATTTGAACAATTTTGGTATAGTTGTCCTACTTCTAAACCCTTGGTCACCACATTCTCTTAACATACCTGATCCATAGGAGAATCTTTCTTTCAAACTTCATAAAACCCTCTATCAGCTTCATCAATGGAGCAAAACCAAATTTGGCCATCTAGATTCTTTAGTCAATAAGTTAATAGAAAAGTTAACCCAAGTACAGGTTTAGTAGGAGGCTGACAAGACTAATCCAAATTTGATTAGTGCTTTGGAAACTCAGCGTGTAGAGCTAGAAGAAGCTTTATTACTTCAACAACAATACTGGCACCAGAGGGCTAAGATTAATTGGTCACAGTTGGGAGATAAAAACACCAAGTTCTTTCATAATTGGGTTGCAAGGAGGAAAGGTAACAAATGGATCAATGAATTGTGTGATGATCAAGGAGTTTGGTTTCAAGACTCTGCACCAATTGCTTCCCTTCTGCAAACGCATTTCTCTACCATATACATGTCACCACAATCAGCCTCTCAGGAGACTTTCGATTCTTCCTTCTTTACCTCTCTCTTAAGTAATGTGGATGAGACTCTTACCTCATATCAGATTCATCTTTTGGATGCTCCATTTACACATGAGGAAGTATGGAAGGCAGTTCACCAGATGTCACCTTGGAAATCACCGGGTCCTGATGGTATGCCAGCTGGTTTCTACCAGCATTATAAAGAGATCATTGGCCAGGAAGTGGAGACACATATAGCATTGACTTCTATCTTAGCAGCTTTTAATACCATGACTTTTCTCCCAAGAATGGAATCAGACACATTTGGCATTGATCCCTAAAACTGCTTCTCTGTCGACACCGAATGATTTTCGTCCCATTAGTCTATGCAACGTCAAGTACAAAATCATTACCAAAATAATTACGAATCGCTTGAAACAGGTAATGAATTCACTCATTGATGATCATCAGAATAGTTTCGTGCCAGGAAGTAACATTAGCAAGAATATCCTTATAGCCCATGAAGTTCTTGAAACAATCCGCCATAAAAAGGAGATTTGGGATTAGCAGATATCAAATTGGACATGAGCAAAGCATATGATCGTGTTGCTTGGCCTTTTCTTCAAGTTGTACTCAAAAAAGCTGGCATTCCTTCTCGGCTGCTCACTCTGATCATGCACTGTGTTACTTTTGTGTCTTACTCCATCCTCTTCAATGGTGAAAGTCTGCCACCTTTTATCCCGAATAAAGGTTTGAGGCAAGGTTGTCCTCTATCACCTTACCTTTTTATACTTTGTCAGCAAGTTCTTTCCTCAGCTATTCAAGCAAAAATTCAAACGTTTCCTGGTTTGGGAGTTAAAGTCAGCCGCCATGTTCCGAGACTAAGTCGTCTCATGTATGCTGATGATAGTCTTTTGTTCATTGAGTGTACCCCTACGGCAATCCAAGCTCTTGCTGGTCTGTTAGCGAATTATACAAATTACTCAGGTCAGAAGATAAATCTACAGAAATCTTCAATCCTGACAAGTGATAATACTACTCCAACAATGCAGGACCTGATTCACACTACACTTAATATACCAAGGGGTTCCTTTCATAGCAAGTACCTTAGTATATCTTTGGATTTCTCTCAAAATAAGACGACAATCTTCCAAGATTTTACAACCAGAATCAGCAATAAATTTACATCTTAGAAAACCAGGCTACTCTCACTCTCGGGTCGTGTTACTCCTGCTAAATCTACACTTTCCTCCATGTTGGTCTACCCTATGGGTGTCTTTAGACTTCCATAGCATACACTGGACAAAGCCGACAAGATCATTGCAAATTTTATCTGGAAGGGGGATACTCAAGAGAAGAAGATTCACTGGCGTGCATGGAAGAAAATTACCAAGTCACAATTCCATGGTGGCCTGGGTTTGAAGGCTACTAAGGAATTTAACCAAGCATTGTTGGCAAAAATGCATGGAAGATGATGATGGAACTGCAATCGCTTCTGGCCAGATTCTTTATTACCAAGTACTGTGCGGGTGATACTTTCCCTCCATTAGACATACCAAAGAAACTCTCTTGGGGATTCAAAAGCATTTTATGGGGTGCGGAGCTATTGCAAGGGAATTTGAAATGGAAAATTATTTCTGGAAAGGACACTCTTCTCTCTTCTAATTGGATCCCAGGAACTTCCAATCCGATTAGTACTTAATCTGTTTTGATATCTTCATCACTCCTACCGGGCCAATGGAGACTTCAGGCTTTACGAAATTTCTTCTCGGACCATATTATTTCTACCATTACTAGCATTTTCATTGATCTGGCAAGACATGACCAACAGGATCGTTTGGAATGGATCCACACTGATCATGGTCAATATACTGTCAAAACCAGTTACTAAGTGGCAATTCTACAATCCCGCAACCTGTCCCTAACCCAGCCATTCTGCAGGCGGAAAAGATAGCATGGGAAAAGCTGTGGCATTCTAGAGTACAACCAAAACAGAAGTTCCTTTTTCGGAGGGCCTTGCTGAATGCTATAGCTACTCGCACAGGGCTTAGCAAAAGGGGAGTTCCAGTTAACAAAATTTGCCCGCGGTGTTTTTGTGAGGAGGAGGACAGTACACATTTGTTCCTTAAGTGTGAGATGTCGCAGGCAATCTGGGCTCTTGCATTCCCTAAATTTAGCTCCATCTTCAATTCTTCATACCAATCTCTGTTCCAATAGTTTATTGCTTGGTGTAGAACACAACCATCAAAGCCGGATGTTGACTTACTGCTTCTAATCATGTGGCGCATTTGGTTGGATCGGAATGATAAAGTTTGGCGGAATCAGGTTCAAGATCCGGCGATATCCTGGAACTTAATCTAGTTGGAGGCTCGGTCCCTTCTCAATATTCAACACAGGCTTGCTCTCTCACCTCCAAATTGCTCACAACAGAACAATCAGGGGCAACGAACTCGGATGCCCAATACTGCATTGGTCATCTTTGATGGTTCCTTCAGTCACCAAACTCGCCAAGCGGCCGGGGCATGGAAAATCCTCTCTCCACATGGTATGGTGTTGCAAGTTTCAACTCAGAGCATTAGTGCTCTTACGCCGCTGCAAACCGAAGCTACTACATGTTTATTAGCTTTGGAAGAAGCGGCAAATCTTGGTCTTACTCGGATTCAGGTATTTACAGATTGTGAAGTTCTATCACGGGGTTTGCAATCTCCTTCGATGCCATCGGATTCACGAGAAGTCCTCTCCCTTTTAAATATTTTAATTTTGTCATTTACTTTTTGTCCATTGACTAAAATAAGTAGACCGGATGTGGTAGAAATGCATAATTTAGCTTATAATCGTATGCGATATAATAGCTTAATACCTTTATTATAATAAAGCAGGTACTTTCTTTAAAAAAATACATTTTGATTTGATAAATGACGAAATAGTACTTGTAGTATTATTACACTGTGCTTTCTCTGGAGAGTTGACTTCAAAGTTAACATTGAATATTTATTCCGATTTATAATTTATTCCGTGGAACTAAAATAAGTTATTAAAGTAGAAGGTATTAAATATAATTTTGCAGTCTCCATGAAGAATAATCGTGATTAGAAGGACAAATGTATTTGTTAAACAGTACGTATATTGATGGCAACCCTAGCTAGACAAGATATTGGTGTATCGAAGACGAGGCATTTGGTAGTGACCAAAGCTAAACTCTCCAATTGTATCACGAAACTCTGTATTAAATAAAATACTGCAAGTCATAGTTCAAAAGTAATGGGAAAAAAAAGGGTATGAAATGATTACCAATTACCACGATCAAATGAGACAGTGATATATATTGTTAGGGAAATGCAAATTTGGGCTCTTTTTCACATCTTCAAGTACAAAAGTCCTTATCTTTTGCGTATCTTTGGATGCCAAAAAGTGCATTTTGCATAAGCAATGATGCTATCCTGAGTTATTGGGGATTATCCAATTCTGAGATATTTTTGGAACATTATGATTAATCCTGTCATTGCTGTGTAGGATTACAGGGACATGGTATCTGCACTATGATTGGGAGACAAAATGAGTAAAATAAGTCTTAGCACATATGATGATCTATCTTTAATGGCATTTTTCTTTCTTAAAAAAAAAAAATTAATAAGTCCCAAATTCTAAGATACTCTTTTTTTTTTTTTTTTTGTTGAAGGGTTAAGAT